ACTCTGCACTCAGCAATCACTCCTGGTGGTGCTCAGGGGATCATATGAGATCTGGAGATCGAACCCGGGTCGGCCATGTACAAGGCAAATGCCATCCCCACTTTACTATCGCTCCAGCCCCTCTTGTTATTTTTTAAAATGTGATTTTTCAGGCCAAGGATCAGACTCAGTGGATGGAGCAACCTGTATCACCAGGCCCGGGTACTGCAACCAGGCCTGATTCCATCTCTTACCTTTTTAATCACCTGCCAAACAGGTTCTTCCTCAGGCCACCCGGCTAACTAGCCAAAATAATAACTATCAATTAGGGGGATTATCACCTTATGTCCTCAAGGCAACCTAAGAAGCAATTATCTCCCGCTTCAGATGGAGTTCAGACAGTGGGGGGAGGGGGCTTGAAGCTCAGAGTCAGCCACGAGGCAGGAAAATGAGAAGGCAAAAGGGAGACATCAGAATACTGGATTCCAGATCCACAACCTTAACCACCATTCTGCTGCCATTAGTTTCAATTTATTTGCTTTCAACATCCCCAGAGTCTAGTCATAGACATGCAAACCAGATGATGTCATTGAGCAGGTGACATCATCGACACATGGGATTTTGACTCGGGATCAGAGCACCAGAAGGGTCAGTAAGAGGCGGGCTTGGGATAACATCCTTGGAAGGTGAGGTACCCTGTGTTCCTCAGGGAGAACATAATCAGCTTCTTTGAATTATTTTGCTGAGTGATGGAGAAGGAAACCAAGACTCAGGGGTAATAGGCAGAATTCTACTTGGTTCTTTTTATTTGGTTAGTTTGGGTGGCACACCAAAAGTGGTCAGGGATCACTCTTGCCGGGTTTGGGGAACCATACGGGGTGCTGGGGGTTGAACCCTGATAAGTTGCATCCAAGGCAAATGTCCTATCTCTCCGGCCCCTCTATCTGGTCCTTTTGATGGGGGGTGGGGAGGTTGTTGTTTGGTTAGGGGATACCATCTGGGACCATACAGTGAGGAGAGAAACTTTCGGTTAAGCCCTATTTTATCAGTGTTCCACTCAGCACAAAATATGAATTTTGGGGCCAGAGATATAGTACAGTGGGTAGGAGACTTGCCTTGTATGCAGCCAACCCAGATTTGATTCCTGCTACCATATAGGGTTCCCAGAGTCCCACCAGAAATGTTCCCTGAGCACAGAGCCAGAAGTCAGCTTTGAGAACCACTGGGTGTGGCCCAAAAATTAATTTTTAGGAGACAGGAAGAAAGCATAGGGGCTAGAGACACATGGATCCTCCCCAGGATAGATCCCAGCACCTCATTCCCACCCTCCAGCACTGCAGGGTGTAGCCTGAAGGTCCCCAGAGCACCACCCTGCAACACAGGGGTGACTCTGCTGCTCCCCAGCACTGCAGAGTCCTCTAATGCGTGCACAGGTCTAGTTGGCCAAGTGTAGCCCAGAGTGGTCCCAGGGTCCCCCCATGTATCTTTAGTGCTCAGATGCTGCAATTCCTTCTGTCAACCATGCAACCTGAGGAGCAATGCCTGAGTCCTTAGTTCCAGGCTCTGAAACTGGGTGTTTGCTGTTCTGGGCACCCACCACAGTTATGCAGTGACTGGTGTCCAATCAACACCCCTCATAACTACTAACAAGACTGGTCTCATTTGGGTGGGTGGTCTCAGGAGCCCAGTCTCCCAAATTCAAGGCTGTCCTGAGATTTCACATACAAGGAGCAAGGTCAGGATAGGGGCGGAGAAGGACAGGACAAGGAGGGGGAAATGGGGAGGTTGGGGTTGGGACTGGGAGTTTGGGGATTGAGGGAGGCAGGGGAACAGGAACAGCAAACACCCTCCCACCCCCACCAGCCAAGGCAGCTGCTTTCAAATGCACCAGGTCTACAGTGCCAGGCCCTTACAAAACCTGGGGCCCATCTACTACTCATTCATTCAACATCATTTGGGTGAAGGGTTGATTCTTGGACCACAATTGGTGTGCTCAAGCATCTCTTTTCAGAGGACCATGTGCTTCACGTGGGAGAGAACCAGGTGTGTACAATAGCCCTGTCCCCTGCAAAATAATCTCTCCAACACTTTTTTTTTTTTTGGCTTGGGGGCCACATCTGGCATTGCTCAGGGTTTACTCCTGGCTCTGCACTCAGGGATCATTCCAAGTGCATCTTAGGGCACGATAAGGGATCCCAAGGATTGAACCCAGATTTACTGCGTGTAAGACAAACACCCTACCCGCTCTGACCCCAAATACGTATTTTTATGACAACGCTCACTGGGCCAGGCACGTTGTTGCCCGCCCCCAACCCAAAAGCCTGTTTAGATTAGAGATGGCCTTCCAAGGATGTTGATTATGTCTCCTGGACAGGCGTGCCACGAGGACCAAAAAAACCTTAGTGGCAGGGGAGGCGCAATGGCGAGGGTGGGGGGGTTGGGGGGAAGGTGTAGACTTGGCTGCGGCAGGAGCTTGGGGTTGCACCCCAACCTCTTTCTGGAGTAAGAAAGGCGATACCCGTGCTCCCTAACTCCATAAACTGGGGTTCGACAAGAAGAGAACCCTAGGGACGCCTCAATCCCTTTGGCTACCAAAAGGCTACGAGGTACGGGATTGGGCGGGGGTGGGTAAAGGGGGTGGATCTGACGCGTTCGGATTGTGACGCGCGCAGGCCGCCCGGCAAGGAACATGGGGCGCGGCGAAACAGCTGGCCCACGACGAGGATGGATTGGGGGCCCCTCAACCCAACGTCCCGTCCCGCTAGCTGGTTTCATCTAGGCCCGGGGCCGCCACGGAAACCCCGGTGCCGATCCCGGTTCAGAGCTCCAGTCGCTCCTACTCGCGCCTTCGCCGGCTTCACCAGCACGCATGCGCCCGCGCCCTCCCGCGGGCCTTGCTCCCGGGCCGCCGCACGCATGCGCAACCCCGCAGCCGCAGGTACCCGCCGGCCCCGCCCCGGGCCCGGCCCACGCGCTCGCCTCGGGGGGGCGGAGACTGAGGCGGAGCCGCCGCGCGCACACGCGCCTTCGGCCCCGCCCCGCCATTTTGGCTTTTCTGGCGGGAAAGGCTTTCGCTCCCGGCTCCTCGGCGGCTGGCGGCCGTGTTGCTGTTCATCGTTGGTGGCCCGCGACTTGTGTCCCGAGGCTGGGACGTTGCCCTGGTGCGCCCCGGCCGTGGTGAGGTTCCCCACAGTGGCTCTGGCCGCCCCTCCCGAAATCCTGGCGAAGCTCAGGCGTCACAGGAGCGACTCCCGATATCAGCGTGTAACAGCCGTGTTCAAAATTTCCTCGACGTCCTGATTGAGTACAGAAAGAGATTGGTATCGATAGGCCCTGAAATTTTACCGAATCTTCTAGAAAATTAGACTCCACAGAGCCTGTCAGAGACTAGTATCTCCGATTTTACAGAACCCCCAGCCTTCTCGGGCCACCCAGAATCTCATCAGCCCACCGCGGCCTAGCACTTTCCCTTCCCCCCAGGCCCCTATCTGGCCTTTAACGTTTTAATCCCCCCCCCCCCCCCCCCCCGCCAAGAAATCCAGTCAGATTTCTCCAGATATCCAGTAGAGGCCCACTAGAAATGCACAGACCCCAAAGATACCCAGTCAGAACACCCCAGGAACCCGAGACCCCCAAAGTTGTCACTTTGCTACCAGTTTCCCAGACGCCCCTCCACCACCACCACCACCCAGAGCAGAGGTACCCCACACTTGGTTGACCTGCCACCTCCCTTCAGAAAGGCTCCCTCAGCAACCCCTGGAGTTGAACCTTTAGGAAAACAACCTTTAAGGGAAAGCACCCCCCCAGTTGTATCCAGGTCATGGTGCCCGTCATTGGGACCCCCACCCCTGAGGCTTTCACTAGGGAAACCCTGGGTCAATTTTCCTGAGCTCCCCAATCCCCGAATCCATTGGCAAGAATGAGGACCCCCGCTTCAGGCCTCTAGTGACAGGAAAGGTCTGTCAGAGGAAGAGTGTCCCTGAGAAAACACTCCCTTTTCTAACCAGGAAGCAAGTGCTGTGTGGTTTGGGGGGTGGGGTGGGGCCAGGGGGGTGCTTGTTGAGGGAAGGGGGGCTAAATAGGTATTGGGGTGTATGGGAGCCCAGTGGCCCCTGTGGGAACATCTGTCCTTCAAGTGTCTGGAGGGGGGACTGTAAGTCTTTGGGCCACAGGTGTGAAGAGTGTGGCCCAGGATGTGGAGTCCCTAGGAAGAGCTGAACAACCTGGATTTGGGGCGTAAAGGCCACCAAAGAGGCTAAAAGGGTGCAGAGGCCACTTTGCCTCTACACCTCAGGGGGCAGGACTGGGAGCTGAGGGCTCTGAGAAGGACTGGGAATGGGGACGAGGGAGTCTAAGGGTCTGAACTCAGATAAAGTTAAGGAGGCTAGAAGTGGGGTGGCATGGGGGCCCAGAGAGCACCCCACACACACCTGCTGGACCACTTCCCAGCATAGGGGACCTGTGAGGAAGGAAGGACTGACCTTGGGGGAGCAGATTTAGGCTCTGCCCCCTGGTGCAGGGAAGCCCAGAGAGTGTTAGGCAAGTCTTGTCCCGAAGCTTTAGACCTTAGGGAGACTGCGGGTGCAGGGCAGGGCTGGTGGAGGGCCTAGGCCAGCCAGGGCTGTAGGAAGGGTGGGGCCACAGAGTCCTTGGCCGGGCAAGAGAAGAAGGCAGGATACAGAGACCTCCACCCTATGAGCCCCCCTTTGATCCCTGTCAACCAGTCCTCTCCTCCTGGGGCCCCCATTTCTCAGCCCACAACTCCAATCGGTAAAACAGGTCTGAGCGGGTGCTGCTGCCCCAGGCTGGGGTAGGCAAACAGGTTCTGAAGCACCCAATAGCCTCAGGTCCAGGTGGGGCAGGGCGGGTCCCCGCCTCAGGTGGCTGCACTTAGATGCTGGTGCCCATCATCCTGCTCTTCCCTAGGAGCTCTTGGGGCCACTGGTCCCTTTCTGTGTGCGGCCCAGGATGAAGGGGCTCTGCTAGCCTTGCCTGCAACCGCTGAGTGGCACATGTGGCCCATGGACCTATCTGAGGGCCAGGCTGGCGGCCCCACTGCCAAAGGTAGGTGGCTGGGCCCCCACGTGCCCCACGGAAAGGTGGGAAGGTTCAGGGGGTGAACAGGGTGCCAGGCTGAGTCAGAGACTGAGAGGTTCCTGGGAGAGGCTGACCTTCCCCCCTTGATGCAGGAGGAGCTGCCGTGGATTAAGTACCTTCTGTCTATGCCCTCTGTATGGGCACCTTGCCTCCTTTGCTCTGGACCTTGCTGGGGGCTCCCTTCCCCATCTCTCTGATACCTACTGGCTATAAGACAATACTCTCCCACAGTGTTACGCAGGAGATTGCCCCCCCCCCCACCAAAGCCTGAGCTCTCCGAAGTGGAGTTTGTTTTCTTCCCTCAGGTCCTGACCCTGATCCATGCTATAAGTATGGCTGAAAAGGGGAAAGAAGCAGACTACTAAATGGGGACCATTGATTTGATCTCAAACAATCTCCTTCGGACAGATAATCAATGTGTGGGAGAGGTTCTCTGCTGAGGTTTTGAGATCTGGGCTGTCCTTTCCTCCCAGAGAGCACCTCACCCCCACTTTCTTCTGTGTGTCAGAGCCATGTGCGGGCAAATGGCTGTGCTGGGCAGTGCAGACCCAGAACCGGGTCTGGCACAGAGTGGGTGAGTGGAGGCAGACAAATTGAGTATGGGAGCTGTCTCTGCAAAGAAGGTACTGGGCATATGCTCAGCGGGAGAGCCCTCGGTGACAGGGGAAGCAGGAGCTCTTGCCCATGGGCTCCCATCACACAGGAACAGCCCGCATCTTGTTTCCTAGTCCACACCTCTGACCAGAGGAGATCTTCCAGGTCAGATGCCCACTAACAAGTGACCAACATTTAAACCCCACAGGTACCAGCAGAGGGCGTGCAGCTACTAAGGAACCACAACGCAGGCCAAAGCAGTCTGGGGAGCAGAGAACTGGGGGCAGAGTGGAAGCAGTTCAGTTACAGGGAGAGTGAACACAGATGAAGAAAAGGGACTAGAGACAAGGAGGAAGATGGGGAAGATTAAAGACGATCTGAGGCTGCACTGAGGGGCCTCAGGAGGTCTGAGGTTGCACTGAGGGGCCTCAGGAGGGGACGACAGATGCTGACAGTCCTCAGAGCCTGCAGTTAGGAGCCAGATTGACCTGGGTTAGCCCGTGCTTAGCACTCCCTCGTCAAGACCTGGCTGCACCTGCCTTCAGGTGCTCCTCCAGAACATGAAGACCACAGGGACAGCCCCTGGCATTTTGTCCCTAAGTTTCACTGGTCTAATAAGAGAGGAGCCAGATTCAAGCCCAGGGGGTGAATTTTAGTTCACTATAGGAACCTTGGAAGAGTTTGAAAGGGAAGAAAGGGCACTCACAGTCAAACAAATGGACTTGAGCTAGTTTGGCTTCTTTCTTCCCAAGGCTCCTCAGCTCTGAAGTATAAGAAGAGCAGCCACCTGGCCACAACAATGCTTAGAAGAGATCAGGCACCCACCTGCCTGAAATGTTCCTTTCTAGTCTTGAGCCTCTACCATGTGCCAGGCCCTCTGCTGAGGCCTTTCCAATTCCAGCCTGTCTTCTCTGGAGGGAAGATAATACCTCCTCTATTTTCCAGAGGAAGACACTGAGGCTCAGGCTAGTTGAATCCCTGGCAACCCAGGGTTACATTCTGGGTGGGCTAAACCCTGCAGCCCACCCAATACCTCTAGTCAATAGGGCAGGGCAGGAGCCTCAACACTCCCAGCCCTTCTACAGAATGCAGGCATTGTCAATACAACTGTAGGCAGACTGAACCCGACATTTACTGTGTGCAGGGGTGCTCTTCACAGAATGCCAGCCCCAGTGAGAACTCACTGCCTGTGAGTTTTACCAGCAGGGAAACTGAGGCTCCAAAAGGCGAAACAATCTACTTAGTCATACAACTCCGCACTTGGCAACCTGCCCCATTTGTTTTTCTTTGCTGGGGGGGGGGGGGGGGGATCACAACGGTCAATGCACAGGGGTTAGGCTGTGTGCAAGGCAAAATGCCTTACCCGCTGTGCTATTGCTCCAGCCCCAATTGCCCCATTCCTAACAGCTCCTTGACTGACCAGCTTGCTGGCTTGCCTTTCCTCCTCCAAACTGGAGTCCCTGACCAGGGCTCTGGTGACATCAGGCCAACTCTTCTCCGATTCTGGAGAACCGACCCAGCCCCCAGGGCAGGCTAGAAAGCCCGGAGATGTGGCTGGTGGAATCGATCCAGGCTGCCAGCGCTTTATTGGATTGTTCCTGGCTCCTGCCCACCCCCCCCTTGACCCTCAGCCCCTCCCAGAATCCTCTCTCCTTTGCCGTCCCTGGCTATAGCCCCTCAGAACAGAACCTGGGAGGCAGGGGAAGTAAGGAGAAAAGGGGAACTCCAGAATATTCAGTAGCCAGACCCTTAGCAGCAAAGGGCACTTCCTGACCTGGAAGTGGGTCCCACATCCCTTGCTTGGGTAAGATGGCTCTGAGACACTCATGTTACCACCCACAGTTCCCTGCTGTTGCCCCCTAGGTCCAGTCTAGCCAGTTTAGAATGAAAGGCTCCCCCTCTGCAGGGGCCTAAGAGCGAGAACCTAGGGTTGTTCCTCCCCAACCCTCTTCTCTCCCCAGTGTACCACTGGGAGCAGCCAGAGGAGAGCGGCCTGGGGGCACTACTCGCCTTAGAAGAGCAGATACTGAACTCCACATTCGAAGCCTGTGACCCCCAGAGAACAGGTGGGAAGAGCAAGATGGGATCAGAGAGTCTGGGGAGGGGGAAGATGGAGAATTAGGGGGTGGAGATGGGGGGTTGGAACTGGAAGTCCTAGGGAGGAATAAGTGAGTGCCCATTCTTGGGGTGCCTGCAGAACTAACTGGGTGATGGTGGGAAGTTTCAAGAGATAATGGTGTAGAGGTCAGTCTAGGAGAAAGTGGGGGTGAGGTGAAACTGGGGCATCAATTAATGGGAGGTTGGTGATTTAGGGTCTGGGGGAGAGAGGAAAGACAGCCATTGTGTCTGGAGGAACAAATAGTTCTTTTTTAGCCCCGCCTGTGAGGTGGGGGTAACTGGACCCCATTTCCAGGAGAAAATGTGGATTCAGAGACGGGGAAGAATTGTCCAAGGTTTCTTAGCTGGGCAATAGTGCAGAGCACCCAGATTTAGCCGTGACTGTCTACTTCCAAGTCTTCACCTGTCCCCAGACTCCTTCACCGCATCTTCTGTCCCCAGGCACTGTGACTGTGACCCACCTACTAGCCTATCTGGAGACAGTGACAGGCCGGGGTCCCCAGGATGCACGCCTCCAAACACTGGCTTGTAGTCTGGACCCCAACGGGGAGGGCCCTGGGGCCACTGTGGACTTGGACACTTTCCTGGCCGTCATGCGGGACTGGATCGCTGCCTGTCAGTTGGATGGGTGGGTCCCCCTTCTCTACATCCCCCAGGAAGCCCTGGAGATCCCCCCTTATACCATTGGACAGCTGCCAGCATCCTTTGGGAGATGGTGGCTGAGGAGAAAGAAGGGAAGGAATGGAATGGGGTGGGGGGTCTGGGGACAAAGTGCCTGAAACTCAGGTAAAAATAGAAACCGGAAGGAGAAGGGGGATCTGGGGGGGGGGTTACAGAGGTCCCTCACTTTCCCTTTACCAACTCAGCCCTTGCCCTTCCTGCTTTGCCATCTGGCCTCATTCACTTGCCATCTGGCCTCACCTTCCTCCCCACAGTGCTCACTTTCTCTTGACCTGCCCCCCCACCCCCCACCCGCAGTCCTTCTGCAGTGGCTGGTCCTGGGGGGAGGTGGCTGCGGGGGACTCAGCCTCATCCCTTTGATGCAGAGGATTAGAGCTGGAAGAGGACACTGCCTTCGAGGGGGTCCTGACCTCCCAGCGGCTGCCATCTGGTGAGAGTGCTGTCTATAAAGCCATGTGGGTAGACTCCCCACCCGGGTACAGGCCAGCAAGTGGTGGGGACCCCAGAGACCTTTATTCTAGCCTGGAGTTGTGTTTGACTCCACCCCACTCCCCACCTTCCCTGAACTTTGTTTATCCTTGCTGAGATATGGGTACTCCTCATCTAGTGCCTCCTTACTGCTCTCTGGTCCCTGAAGCTGCTCTCTCTTGTAGAAGAGAGAGCACACATCTGTCCATCACAGGCTTTCGTTCAGGCTAAATTGTGGGGGGTCTTCTGATGAAACTTTCATACCACAGGAAGCCCCAGGGTATCCGAGTTTGAGGTCTTTTATTCTCCATGACCCCTTATAGCCCTGCATTCTTTTTCTACAGAAATCTGTTGGTCTGATTCGTTTTCTGCCTGCCATTTTCATTCAGTTTGCTCACCTTTCTGTCCTGCACCCTCACACATGGGAAGGGCGCCATTGGAAAAGTATTTGCGTTTGACTAGGAATAGGCCTCACGTGCTAGAGCGGAAGCCTAATATCTCCACTGAGACACTGATGGCTCTGAATTCAGTCCCTGCCACCACATGGTCCCCCAGACCTCCTCTGGGAGTGGCCCTTATTTTGAAAAGAGGGAAAGCTGGAGAGCAAATACATGGGTTAAGGTGTTCGCCTTGTATGAACCGACCCTCATTTAATACCCGGCAGTAATGCCCAAGCACTGCCAAGAGTGACCCCCTGACCCAGAGCTGAGAGTAGACCTCCAAGCATTGCCAAACATAAGCAAAAAGACATTTGCGTTCTATTTCTCCAGCCTCAGAAAAGCAAAACCAACCCAAAAAGATACTGTTTCCTGAACCTTCTTGTGGTCCTCCTTCTGACTGAGGGGCCTGGGAAGGGGCAGTGTGCAGGGCATGGGGAGGAAAGACCCCTCACCCCAAGTTTGGGAAGCCAGGAGGCTGAAGGGTCTGAGCTAAGGCAGAGGCAGGCAGATTGACCTGGACCCTGGTATGGTGGTGGGGTGAGAGGAGTAAGGGAGCCAGGACACCTGGATAGCTGGACTGGGGCTGAGTGTAAAGGGGTTGGGAGGAGGAAGAACTTTGAGGGGAGCTGAGATACGGCCCGGTGTCAGGTATAAGAAGTACAATGACTTTGGGACTAGTCCGGAAATCCAACGTGAACAAAGCAGCTATTCTGGTGGGAGGCCTTACTACAGCCCCAGGCGCGGCTGAGATGAGATGTCCAGGTGTGCACAGAGGCCCCTGGAGGACCCAATCCAGAACTCACCTCTCTCTGTCTCCCACCAGGATGCCGGGAAGCTGAGGAACCAGCCAATCTGGAGAGCTTTGGAGGCGAAGACCCCAGGCCTGAATTGTACTTATCCTCAGACCCTCTCTTTCCTCCCTACAGCTGGTACCATCATGCTGCCTGGGGCTTGAGTTCCCTGGGAAGGGGGTTAGCAAGGTCTTGCTCAGGGAGAAAAGACAGTACCCCCATTCCATTTCCTTTTTCTCTGGAAGAGCTGCCTCTCCTCTCCTGCCCCCCACTGCTCCCAGCCTGGGAGGACAGGGCTGCACGCCTGACTGGCTCCTTCCGTGGTCCCAGGCCGGCCACCGCTGACTTGCTGAGCAGCCTGGAGGACCTGGAGCTCAGCAACCGGCGGCTGGCGGGGGAGAACGCGAAACTGCAGCGCAGTGTGGAGACTGCTGAGGAAGGCTCCGCTCGGCTGGCTGAGGAGATCTTGGCCCTGCGCAAGCAGCTTCGCAGGTGGGTCAGCCCCATCCCAGTGTTTCCATGAGCTCCAGGCACGCTTTGCTCACCCTCAATCCTTTTGCTCTGTGTCTTAGACTTATACCTGTGACCACCCTCTTTTTTTTTGCATTTTGCACTGGGAATGCACAGGGGTCACTCCTGGCTTTGCACTCAGGGATTACCCCTGGCAGTGCTGGGGGACCATATGGGATGCTGGGAATTGAACCTGGGTCGGCTGCGTGCAAGGCAAACACCCTACCCACTGTCCTGCTGTGCTGTCGCTCCGGCCCCTGCCCCTTTCTTTTTTTTCCCTGTCTTTTTTGTCTTTCTTTTGTGTCTTCCTGGTTCTTGTCTCTCAGCCTCTAAAGTTCAGGCCTGTCTCTTTATTCTTTCCTATATGCCGTCCAACAGCCTCTTCATTTCCTCTGCTCTTTCTCTATGTCAGTTTTAGTCCCCATTTTAGTCTCTCAAGTCTCTGGTGCATCTCCTTTTTCTTTTAGATAGAAATTGGATCTCAGTCAGTTCCCCCCGCATTCTTGTCTCTTCCTGTCCTTTCTTGAGGGATCTGTCTTCCTGTCTGGGTCTCTCTCCCTGCATCTCTGGGCTCTGTCCCCACCACCTGGGACTTATCTAATCTCTGTCTTCTGTGGATCTGTCTCTGGCCTCAGCCTTTATCTCTCATGTGACCTATCTGCCCAACTCCACTCAGTACCCAGCAGGCTCTACAGTGTGCCAAGGCCGTGGATGAGGAGCTGGAGGACCTGAAAAGCCTGGCCAAAAGCCTGGAGGAACAGAATCATAGCCTTCTGGCCCAGACGCGGCAGACGGTAGGTTCTGGGCACAAAGGTATATCTTCCATCTCCACACCTTGGCATTTGAGCACTCTGCTGCCTATGAAGAGGGAAGGGAAGAGGCTGCCTGGCTGCCTCCCTCACTTCTGGTCCTGATTGCCTCAGACTTTGGAGTCATCAGAGCTCCCAACACCCATTCCCTAGCCCTGTACCTCAGTGTTCTGGACCTGAATTGTGTTCCCAGGGGTGGGAGTGGCAGTGTGAAGCTAAAGAAGCAGGAAAAAAGCCATCGTCTTTTCTCTGGGTCACATAGGAAAAGGAGCAGCAGCATTTGGTGACTGAGATGGAGACTCTGCAGGAGGAGGTGAGCTGAGGTCGTTTCCTCCCCATCCCATCCCCAGTCCACAATCTCTGCTTTCCTCAGCGACCTATGGCCAAACACCCTTCAGTGGTCCCAGTAATGTACAAATTTTTGAATATGGGAACTATAAGTTGGAAAGCATGTGGGGTGCAGAGGAGTGCCCTCACCTGTAAAGGTAGACAAAATGAGACCGTCCCTCACTAAGGTGTGTGAAATTTACACCAGAAGGTACAGCAAAATGGGCCGCAGGGGAAGTGTCCACTGAAAGTTAGCCAGTGCTGTTTATAATTAGCTGTGACTGTATTCCTGATTTCCTTTTTGGATAGTACTTAGTTGTGCTCAGAATTTTCTCTTGGCTTGGTCCTTGGGTTTGTGCCTGACTGTTCCTAGGGGCTTATGTGAGGTGAGAACCCAGGGCTCCTGCCCCCAGAACATACACTCCAGCCTTTGAGCCATCTCCTTTGTCCCTATAATTTTTTTTTTGCTTTTTGGGTCACACCCAGCAATGTTCAGGGGTCACTACTGGCTCTGCACTCAGAAATTACTCCTGGCAGTGCTTGGGGGACCATATGGGATGCCAGGGATTGAACCCAGGTTGGCCATGTGCAAGGCAAACACCCTACCCGCTGTGCTATCGCTCTGACCCCCCCTATAATTTTTTTTAATGGTGAAAATAGCATAAGCCTTGAAGTTTGTTCTGACTTCAAATCCTGTCTCTGCCCCATTGTTGACAGTGACTTGCCCTCCTTGAGCTTTACTGCAAACTGGTTATGTGTTCAGCAGCATTGTTGTGAGCATTCAGTGATTGCTATAGCTCAGGCCTTGCCAGAAGATGCACAGACCAGCTCAATATCAGGTCTGATTTAAGCCCCTCTGGGAGACTGAAGACATCATTTTATTCTGTATCCAACTAGTTCCTTTGGGATAACGCTGCCATTCCTGTGGTGCTGAAACTCCTCACCACCCCCACAAGGTGGCATCTGAATGGCTAGGGAAGTTGGCGGTGTCCTGCTACCTGGAGAGAAGCCGTCTTTGCTCAAGTCAGTTCTCTGCTGGTCAGGAGATTAATATTCATCATCCCATCTGGTCCCGGCCTTAGTCACCACTGCGCTGGCCTCCATGGAGAGGCTGCCACTGCTTTCTGGTCTCTGGACATTTGGTCCTTACTGCACCTGTTAGTGACCTCATCTGGATCCCCTTGGCCCCTGAGTGCTGCTGCAGCTCTCGGCACTTTTATACCCTTCTAGAGCATGGGGGGTGGTTTCGCTGCTCCTCTGTCTCCTCAATTATTGCATACAACTTGCTGATTCTAAAAGGTAGCTGGGAAATGCCTTTCAGATTCCCAGATGTCCCCAGGGGACTGTGGCTTCACTGCTTCTGTCTCCCCTTGAAGCTATCCCGAGGTTTGGGGGTGGCTCCGGGCCCATCTTCATCTGTTGTTCTCTGATGCTCCCATGCCCCTCCCCAAGCTCTGCCACCTCTGCTTGTTGCAAGAAATAATACAGATTCTGCCTGATCCTACAAATCTCTTTGTCCTGCTCTATACTGTACTATGGTGCTATGGTTTTTGCTTTGTTGTTTTGAGCCATATCCTTGGCTCTGGCTTTTGCATTTAAATCCAAAAAGTTTTCCACTTTCCTATGACTCTTCCATGAAAATCCCCCCTTAGGACAGTGGAATTCTGGCTTCAGGATCAGTCAGGAGTGAGACATGGAGTACAGAGAGTAGGTGACTGTCCATCCCATATGTCTCTTTCTAAGAAAGATGAGGAACTTTCTCTAAGCCGATGGCTGAATATTCTCTCCGATCTCTTGGATCTCACTGGCCACAGTGACATCAGCTGATGATATTCAGACTGTCTCCTGGCCTGGGTAACTGGGCCCCTGATTAGTTCCAAAGAAGAGAACACAGACGAGAGTGATAATACAGCAGGTACAGTGCTTGTCTTGAATGCAGCCAACTTGGGTTAGGTCCCCAGTACCCCATATGGTGCCCTAAACCTGCCAGGAGTGATCCCTGAGTGCAGAGCCAGGAATAAACACTAATAACCTCTGGGTGTGCCCATCCCCCCAAAAAAACAATAAAAATCTAACACAAAATTAGAGAATACAAAAGAAATGACTTCTATCTGAAGAGCTCTCATGTCCCTAACAAGATGTTTTTAAGGTCTCTGACTTGGTGGCCTACTGGTTTCTGCCTGTGGCCTTGTGATCACATATGGCTGCAACAGTTTCCTTGTGTTCTCACTCAGAGTAGAGCAAGAGAGCCCCAGCATAATCTCCTTTCATGGTGTTCTTCATCAGAACGGAAGGTTTTTCCAGGGGCCCCGCTCTTACTACCCCCACCTCCAGCAGACCTCTCACATCGCAGTTACCAGATCTGGAACCTGGGACACCCCCAACTTCAAGGCAGGTCGAGGGATAGCCAGCTTTCCTCATCCTGGGGAGTTACAGATGAACACATGAGACCAGGGAGTACATGCTTTGCATGTGGGCACCCCAGTTTGATATCCAGCTCTCCATAGTTTCCTGAGCACTGGAGAGAGAGACCCTAGAGAACACCAGTGGAGGTAACCGAAAAGATGAAATATAACAAACCAAGTGAGAGGCCAGTGAGAATAGTACAATGGGTAAGGCAGTTCCCTTGCAAGGGGCTGACCTATGTTCTATCTCTGGTGCCCCTATGGTCCTCTGGGCCCTGCCAGGAATGATCCCTGTATACAGAAGCAAGAAAGAGTCTTGAGCACTATTGGTATGCCCCCAAAACTAAGTCTGTGTGTGAAAAAGGATGAGAACAGCTGCTGAGTTAGCCACTCCTGTTGGAACGAGAGGTAGTACCCACCTGCCATGTGGAAAGGACCCTCCTCAAAAGCAAAAAAATGGATGGGAGGTATTTCCTGCCTCCCAGTCCAGAAAGCCTGCTGCATGGGACATCCTAGACGCTCGCTCAATAAAAGCTATTCTTGACTGCCTCCTCTCTACCTTTCCCTCCCTGCAGCGGCCTACAGGGCAGCTATAGACCAGCTTCTCAGGTTACAGTAGAATAGTGCAGGAGTAAGGGAGACTGAGATCCTTGCTTTCCTGTGAAGAACCTACAAGAGTGGGGTTTGGGTTACTGCAGAAGTGGGCTGGGGTGGCTGAGTAGCCAGGTGCCCTGCTGAGTCGCCCAGGAGCCAGCCTGCAAATCCCCACCAGGTGGACAGATGTTGACACAGCATTCCTGGCTCGTCCTTCCTCTGCCCTTCACCCTGCAGCCCAGCCCGCTGAGGCTGACACTGATGGAGGACTTGGCCCCAATCCTGACTGGAGAAGGGGAAGAGGAGCTGACTTTGGTGTCCCCAGGGATGCTGGAGGATGGCCTTCTCCCTGCGCTGAAATACCCCCTCCAGGGATCGCCTCACAGTGCAGCTTGTCTTGGTGTCTGGGAAGTTCATTCAAGATCATTCAATTCTCAGGTTCCGTCCCAGGCTTCTCTGGGCTGCCCCTTCCTGGCCCTCTTGTTTTCCTTGGTAGTTCTCACCCTTGAGGCTGCAACTCGAGCACTGTATCCTCTGGACATCTCTCTAGGCTTCCTCGGTGCTTCGACCTGGGACTCACTCCATCTTGCTGCTTGCCTTGTGTGTTCCTCCTGCTTTAGTCTGCACTGCAAGTGGAGACAAAGCAGGTTTCCCATTCTCATCTAGGACTGGCAGCAGTGGATTGAGGAGGGGCTGGGGTTACAGGCCCAAGCTATAGAATTAGATTTGGATTTGAGTCCGTTCACCATGTGACTGTGGCTGATGCTGGCCAAGCTGCTTAATCTCTCTACTCTTCAGTTTCCTCAATAAAATCAGGGAGGATGATAGTAAAAGCCATTAATATTTGGGACAGACAGACATACATTTTTCATGAATGAGAGTGTGATACATATAGCAGCACCTGTGAAACCATTTTTAAAAACTAAACAGTGGGTCAGGGGAATAGTTTAGGTGCTTAATTTTCATGTGGTTGACCCTGTTTTGATCACTGAGCCCCACCAGGAGTGATCCCTGAGCACAAAGTCAGGAGTAAGCTCTGAGCACTGCCAGGTGTGACTGCAAAACAAAACCCTGCCAAGCACTGCTGGATGAGTTTGGTCAAGACCCCCGGTCTACCCACCAGTTTAGAAAACATAAGGAAAATGGAAAAGCATAGTTCGGAGAGCCCGGCAAGCTACCGAGAGTATTCGATATGCCAGACACAGTAACAACAAAGTCTCCAATGGAGACGTTACTGGGCCCGCTCGAGCAAATCGACGATCAACGGGAGGGCCATAGTTACCCCACACATCGGGGAAGGAGAAATCAATAAACTCAACCCAAAGGGCTACCTCTGTGGGATAGCCTGGTTTCTTCCACCGAAGAAGGATCCCCCAAAATGCCAGGGTTAGACACTGGAGATATAATACAGTGGGGAGGACGTTTGCCTGCCGGACCTGGGTTTGATCCCCAGCATATGGTCCCCCAAATACCACCAAGAGTAACTCTCGAGCACAGAGCCAGGAGTCACCCTTGAGTATCTGGGTGTGGCTCCCAAAACAAACAAGCAAAAAATTCCAGGGTGGGGAAAGTGGGGGCAGAAATAAGATTTGTTTGGATCCTCATTCTAGCAAACTAAACATTAAAAAACATTATAAGATAACCAAAACAAAAAAGAACATAAATTGAGTAGAAATAATAATAAAAAATTTATTTAAAATCCCTTTCTCTTTTTTTGTTGCAATAATTGAGGCTACCACACTGGGTTGATACTTGCACAACTTACTGAGAGTCGCACATTTATATTTTTTGTCACATAAACCTGGTCAGGCCACTGGAGGTAAAAGGTTCTGCTGCAGCACCTAGGGTTCCAGACCAAGTGCCACCAGGACCTTGCTGATATGTGGTGTCACCAACAATCAGATACATGACCTTTTGCAAGTCAGGTACTTTTAGCTATTGAGCTTTCCCCTGACCCCCAAGGATTTTTTTGAAAGCGAATGCTGGGAACAGAGAGATAGCTTGCCTTGCATGTGACTAATGCAGGCTCCATCCCCAGAACCATGTATTAGTGATCCCTGAGCACAAAGCCAGGGGTAAGTCCTGAGTACAGCCAGGTGTGGTCCTCCCCTTTTCCCCCACCCAAAAAATAAGTGACAAGTCTCGAGGTGCAACTCAGTGGGAGAGTATGTACTTTGCACATATGAGGCCCTGGTTTTGATCCTAGCATCCCCTCTCCCTCCAAAATAATGTTCTGTGATTCTGCCAAGTAAAAAGGTCTCAAGTGGGAAATTCCATCTGGAGTACTTATAAATGAACCATTATATAACCTGAAATTGTCTTGACTGTTGGGAGAGTGGCTGTGGACCATACCTGAAAGTGCCCAGGGACCACTCCTGGTTGTCCCTGATGGTGGTTGGGGACCATAAGTGGTGCCAGGGTTCAAACTGGGATATTCACATGCAAGGCAAGCGCCTTTCCCCTTGTTTTAAATTACTCTTTAAAATAATCTGGTTAGGAAGGGGCAGAGAGATAAAGCACAGTGGGTAAAATGTTTGCCTTGCACGTGGCCAACCAGGATTCAATCTCCAGTATCCCATATGGTCCCCCAAACCCTCCAGGAGTGATGGTTAGCATTAGGTTAGGGGTAAGAGGTTATGGTTATAGTTAGGGTTAGGGATTAAAGTTAAGCTTAGGGCTAGACTTAACATTAGGGTTTGAACTAGGGTTAGACTTAGGAGTTAGAGTTTTCGGGTTAGGGTTATATATAGGGTTAGATTTAGGTTTAGGGTTAGGAGTTCTGTTAGGGTTATGTTAGGGTTAACGCTAACCCTTAACTACACCAAAAAAAAAAAACTGACTAGGACTTAGAAGCTGTTTCAAAGGGCTGGAGTTCATCCTTCACATGCCGAAGCCCTCAGTTCAACCCCTGACACTACATGATTCCCTAAGCACTTCCACGAGCAACGCTCAAGCACCAAGAGTTTTGGCCCAAATCCACTATTCCCTCAAAAAATGTCTGGTTAAAAAAAAAAAACTGAAGGGTTGAAAAAAAGCAAATTGGGAAAATAATGATTGAAGCTGGGTAATGGGTGTACTACTTTCGTATGTTAAAAAAAATTAAGGCAAAGGCTAAAAAAACAATACAAATTTTATTTATGTGCTTATTTAGATGTAACATTTAGGGCCAAAGAACAGAGATAATACAGGAGGTGAGGCACCTGCCTTGCACGTGGCCAACCCTAGTTCCAACCCCCAGCACTATATACTGTGCCCTGAGCACTGCCAGGTGTACCCTCATAAAATATCTAACATTTACCTAACTTCTGGTGTATGCCAGGTACATTTGAAACACTTTGTGCTCATTAACATGTTTTTGTGTAAATTACAGCTTTGTGACCAGGGATTATTTCTATCTTTAAATGGCATGTACAGAACATTACTTCCCCCCACCCCCACATTCCTTAAAGGAGCTCCAGATCAATGAAGGGTGGTCCCAATGCAGTACACAGCCAGTCAGAATAAAGGGGATCTGTCCTGGGTACTGGAATCAGGAAACTGGAAAAAGGAAATGGTACGCATAAGACCCAGGCTTAATCCCATGACCTCCTGAGTACTGCTGGGGTAGCTTAACCTCAAAGTAGGGAATAAGAAATAAGCACACACAAGGTGCTCAGTGAACTTTACCAGGTATTATAATTGGCTCTTTTACCCATATCAGACCCAGGAGGAGGGGTCGGAGAGATAGTAGAGTGGATAAGGTACTGCCTTAATGCATCTGACCAAGATTTGATCCTTGGCACCCCATGAGATCCTCTGAATTCACCCAAGAGTGATCCTTGAGTGCAGAGCCAGGAGTAAACCTTCAGCACAGCCAGGTGTGGCCCCAAAACCAATAAACTCATAAAGAGACGCCTATCTTCATTTTCTTTGAGGAGAATTTGGCCCATATCCATGCCACCTTAGAGTTATTTTTAAATTTTGGGATCACACTCAGCTATGCTCAGGGGTTACTCCTGGCTCTACACTCAGGAATCACTCCTGGCTTGGGAGGAAATGAGATTTGCTCAGGGGACCAAATGGGATGCTGGGGGTCAAACCCGGGTCAGCTATGAGCAAGACAAGCATCCTCCCTGCTGTGCCATCTCTCCAGACTTCAGGGGCTATTGCTGACTTCGTTCAGGTGTGATCCCTAGCTGTGCTCGGGATAGGGAACATATGGTGCCAGGGATCAAACCAGAGGGCATCGAATGAGGGTTGGCAGCCTGCAAGGTAAGTGTACCCTCTCCAGGCCCTTTCTTCACCCTTGTAGATGGGACTGATGTGCAGAGAAATCAAAGCTGACCCCACAAGCTAGTTGTAGTAATCCAGCTCAGCAGCTGTCGCAATGGTAATTGACAGAGCTGTTTGCTAAAGTGACCTGGACTGTTCCTCCCTCTTCTAGAATGGGAAGCTACAGGCTGAACGGGATGGAGTGAAAAAGAGGAACGAGGAGCTGACTATGGAAAAGGACGCTTTGAAGGTGCTACCCTTCCCAGGGTTTTGACATCCCCCCAAACCCTGATCTGCTGAGAATTGGTTTCTTTTGGAGGGGGAGAGGGGAGTGCTGTGCTCAGGATTCACTTCTGACTCAGCACTTTTGTTTAGTTTTGTTTTGTTTTGTTTTTGGGTCACACCCTGCGAAGCACAGGGGTTACTCCTGGCTCTGCACTCAGGAATTACTCCTGTTGGTGCTGAGGGGCCTATATGGGATGCTGGGAATCAAACCCGGGTCATCCGCATGCAAGGCAAATGCCCTACTCTCTGTGTTACTTCTCCAGCCCCTGACTCTACACTTTTGCTGGGGTTCAAATGCAGGTTGGCCCTGTGCAAGGCAAGAGCCCTAACCACAGTACTATCCCTCCTGCCCCAGAGAGCTGTTTATCTGTCACATCAAGCTCTCAGCCCAGGCAGCTCACCTGAAATGCCTCCTCCCCTGATGTAGCTGCTGTCCAGTGGCACCAGCATCACAGAGGTTGAGGAGGGGGAGTTGGAGAGTACGGTGGGCCCAGAGGGCAGGGAGAGGTGGGCTCTGGGAGGGAGACCAGACAAATGGACAGGCTCCTTCCCTGGCAGCGGCAGCTCTATGAGTGTGAACGATTGATTTGCCAACGAGACACCGCCCTCTCTGAGGTAAGGGGGCCAGGAGGGAAGCATGGGAAGCCCAGCCCTACTCTCCTCCCTAGCTGAGGGCCTCGAGGGTTTCCCTGTAGGGCCTGGAGACCTGTTGCACTCCCTCAGGCCTTGGCAGTTCCTCAACCTGATTCTGTTAGGCCCCACTCCAGCCTTGGTGTCTTGGTGGGGGCTGGGCCAGTCTGTCTTTTTTGGGCTTTCAGCGTACTCGCCATGCAGAGCGGCTGGCCACAACTTTGGCAGAGTACAAAACCACCACCCAGGTAATCACTTGCCCTCACCCATCCCTCAATGACTTTCTGCTCAGCCCCCTGTCACCCCTTCTCTTTTCCCATCTCTTTTGGGGATTTGTTTTCTGTTACTGCTGGGTATGACCCACCCCCTCCCCCAAAAGAAAAGAACAAAAGTCAGTGTTAGAATCGAGCCCAATGTGAGGAATGGGGAAGAACCAAGAGCCGGGTGTCTCCCCTCCCGCCTTTGCAGGAATTAAGGAACGAAATTTCACACCTGGAGGAGAAGCTGAGTCAGATCCATGAGGGTCCCGATGAGTGAGTGGAACATCAGGGGGTGGAGGAAAGGGGGCGAGTACAGGATCTCCCAAAACAGGCAGGGCAGCAAGCCCTTTGTGGGCAACTGACAGGCGGTGAGTAGGCACAAGGCTGCCTTTCCTCTTCTGACTCTGGCCAGGCTGCCTGAAGGGGCCCAAGCAAGAAGAGTGGACTGGACCGGACAACTGCCCCCATCTCTGGGCATGGAGATCGGGGCAATTCAGCAGGTGGGCCTGGTACCCTCAGACCACACTGGGGTCACCCAGACAGGAACTGCCAACAGCTTCCCAATTTGACCCTCACGTCTTAGCCCATTCCCTGCCTCTGAACCTGGACAGTTGGCACAGTTGGAGAGTCTCCAACTCACACCCTAGTCCATCTCCCCAGGACACTGTAGTGCTTAACTGCTTTGCTCACCTACTCCTTGGGCCTGGCACCAAACCACCCTAGTCCTGCTGTTACCTACTCCCTTTCAGCCTCCTGTTACCTCCTGTCGCATCCCAGTCTGTCTCCATCCCCATATCTACACCTCCTTTCTGTCTCTCCTCTTACAGAGCCAGGATGCAGCTGCCTCCAGCCTCAGGAACCCTCTGTGTGGTGTGTGGCAGTGGGAGGACATCACCAACGAGACTGATGAAGAAGTCGAGTGTCTGCCTGCAGTCCAGGTTAGCCCAGCCATCCAGAAGGGGGAAGGCCCAGTATCACTGTGCCTTCATTGTTACATTGGAGAGGTATTTGACCACGGTCTTGCTGGGTGCTCAGCCAGATGAAACACAAGCTGTGTTCTTTAAGGTCTGGCCCACCAGTGTGGAAGACCAAAGTGAGCAAAACAAATTGCACAGTGCTTCTGTGGAAAGGGGTTATAAACAGGAAGTTAGGAATCCTTTTGTTCAAAATGATATGACAGTGGAAGCGAATATATGAACTGTTCTTCTCAGCTTTAAACTACATTAACCTTGTAGCTGAAGCGATGGTACAGTGGGTAGGGCATTTGCCTTGCATACTGCCAATATGGATTCGATCCCATATGGTCTCCTGAGCATTACCAGGAGTAATTCCTGGGTGCAGAGACAGGAGTAATCCCTGAGGATGTGACCCACAAACAGAACAACAATAATAAAAATCTAGGAGCTGGAGTACACTACAGCGGGTAGGGTAATTGTCTTGTACATGGCTGACCTAGGTTTGATCCCCGGCATCACATATGGTCACCTGAGCCCACCAGGACTGATATCTGAGTACAGAACCAGGTGGCAGCCCTGAGCACTGCTAGGTGTGGGCACTCCTCTCAAAAAAAATTTGAGTCCCAGGAATTCCCTGTCTAGATGTAAGATTGTAGGTACACGATTGCAAGGAGAGGTGCTGGCAATGTGTGTGTGTGTGGATGGTGGGGGGGTGGGGCGCGGAGTGGCAGTCTGGTTCCTGGTGTGAAAAAAATTCCTCTGGGCAATTTGGGGACTGAGTAACATGAGGGCAGGGAGGCCAGGAACAGCAGCAGTGATCCAGAGGGAAAGAATGAAGACTGAGTCCAGCCAGAACCTAGGTTTGGAGCAGAAGGGAGAGGCAGAAAATATGTGTGTGTGTGTGTGTGTGTGTGTGTGTGTGTGTGTGTGTGTGTGTGTGTAGGGTGGCTGCCAGCAGGTTGTAGCATGGTGCTGGGAGGGAGGAGAGAGGGAAAAGGGGAAGGTGCTGGCAGGCTCATGTGGTCGTCTCCAGCAATGTCTTGGGGTCTGCAGCCCAGAGGCAGAGTGGGGCTTACAGCTGAAACCAGGGTAATATGGAAAACTGTCCTTGAAAAAAATTGGGGTGGGGGGACCAATAGTGGGTATGATGTTTTCTCTGTATTTGGCCAACCCAGCTTCAGTCCCTGGCAGCACATACAGTTTCTAGAACCCTGCCAGGACTGATCTCTGAGTGCAGAGCTAGGAGTTAGCCCTGAGCAGTGCTAAGTGTACCCCCCCACACACACACACACAAAGAAAGCTGTCCTATTGGGTTATGTGAGTAGAAGGGAGAGAGAGATGTGCAGAGGAAGTGGGACTTGGGTCTGCAGGGAGAGCAGATTAAGGAGTGTGCCAGGATGTGAAGTCTTGGAGGAGAAAGCCTTCTGGAAGAGGCCAGGTGGGTGTGAGATGCTTTGGGGTACCTGGACCCCGGGTCCTAAAGGAGAAAAAGGTGGCAGGGTCCAGGAGGAAGGCAGGTGAGAGATGTGGATTATTGTTGTAAGACGTAGCCCTTTTCTTTCCCACCCCAGGGCCAGTCCACACCCCCTCAGAAAGGAAAGAAGGAGCGTTCAATGTGGTAAGAAGTTTCTCCCTGCTCCATTCCTCTGCCAGGAAGTGATGCCTGAGTTTCAGGATAAAGTGTGGCAACTCCAGAGAGCTGCATCATTCATTCCTACACTCACACTGAGGCCATCTGGGGCATGTGGACCCGCTGAGGCAGGTCCAGCCCTGCTGTCCTCAGCAAATATCTAACAGTTGACAGATTCTGAACCCCAGTGGTTTCTGGGAGAAACCCTGCCCCTGCTCCTTCCTAGTGGGGAAGGCACCCCAGGAAGACATGGGGTCCTCTAGGAAGGACTGTTAATTTTTTTGCATGGTTTTCATGTGTTTTTCTTTCTCATGTTTTTTTTTTCCTTGTGGTTCCTGTCATACAACCCATAGTCATGGTACTCACATACTCAGTTCCAGTGCTCAGGCACTCAGCCACCGTGCTCACTGGGGGCGCACACTTTCACACATGGTGTTTGCACCCACCAAACTCAGATGGGGCAGCACAAGCTGTTGCAACACCCTGAGTCCTGAAGCAGAGGCACCTAATCTGTGCTTGTTGCATGTGGGTGGCGCCATCGGACTCTGGCTTAAGAGCCATTCCCCAGAGTCTTGGAGTACTGGTGTAGGAGGTATGGGGCAGTGAGAGGCTCAGTTACTCATTCCTCGTAGGGAATACCCCTCTCCTGATGCCTCCTGGGAACCTGGGGTGAAGGAGACCCACTGAAACCCTGAGGGGTATCAGGACTCTGGAATCAGGGGGTTCACTTCCCAGCTTGACTCCTTTGAGAGAACGTAGGTGTCAGTGTGTGGTAGCTGTGGCACCTCACTAAGACTGTTAGCGCACAGGGCTCTGAGGACAGCACAGAAGCGTGGGCCCCCCTCTCCCAGGACTGCCTTGGCGCTCTGGCTTCCGGCGGTGCCTCCCTCTCCGTCCTTCCTGCTTTCAGGCTCCCAGCTAGAGCAACTAATGAGGCTGCCTGCCATGGCCTCTAATTGGACTTGTCTGGCAGAGCTGGGCGCAGGCAGGATGGGGGCTCCCAAGCTGTGACCTCCTCCTGCGTCATCCAGGAATGGGGGGAGAAGAGGCTGATCAGCAGCACGGGTGGTGGGGTGCTGGACATGTGATGGTGGAGGCAATTGTGAGTTGTAAATTGGGAAATCAGCGAAGTGGGGACCCCTAAAGGTAGCCGGAATGAGGGTGAGGACCTTGAGAGGATCCAGGGATGAGCCCCTAGTTCCCACGTAAAAGCGGAGGGGTCAGACAACTGGGGGTGGAAGTAGGTGGCCAGGGCTCAGGCCCTTCCCACAGAGATGCTGTGTTGCGTGGGGTTACATTGAAGCTGTTCACTCCAGGATTGGAACCTGGTGTCCCAAGCCTCCAAAGATCTAGGAAGATGGAAATGGATTGAAAATGACACAATTAGGGCTGGAGAGATAGTCCAGCAGGGAGGTCGCTGGCCTTGTACATGGCCCACCTGGGTTCAAATCTGCCATCCCCTGTCGTTCCCTAAGCACCATGAGGAGTAATTCCTGAGTGCAGAGCCAGGAGTAACCCCTGCACACTGCCAAGTGTGGCAGTGGTGTGGGGGTTGCTACTAGTACCCTGGAGATTCAGAGGGGTCTGAGTCTTGGGTCTGTTTGGAGCGTGAGAGCCAAGAGTCTTGACCCGGTAAGTTGCTGCAAATCTGGCTGCCAAGATGAGGTAAAAAGACCGCCCCACACTCTTTGAGGCCACTGGCTCCTGAGATTTAGATGAAATTCCCCTGAAAAAAGCAGTGTCTGGGGGTTAGGGTGATTGCTCAAAAGGTTAGTTTTCATGTGGGGTCCCCTAGCTGTGTACCAGCACTGTGTGACTGAGAACCACCAGAATGACCCCTGACCACTGAACAGGAGTAGCTCCAATGCACCACTTGTGTGGCACCCCCAACCCCCTAAAAAGTCAAAGACTTTTGGGCTGAAATCATTGTATAGCAGGTAGGACGTTTTCCTTCCATATGGTGGACCCAGGTTAAATCCCCAGAACACTATATGTTGTCCCCTGAGCCCACCAGGAGTGATCCCTGAATGCGGAGCCAGGAGTAAACTCTGAGCACTACTGGGTATGGGTTCCCCCCCTCCAAAATAATCAGACTGATCAGTAGTGACTTTGTTGTCACCCAGGTTGCCTAGAAGAGAGGAAGAGGAGGAAGAGGAAACCCAAGTCATGGTAGGCACTCCCCAGTGCACCCCCAGTCCCCTCCACTCTAGACCTTCCAGGAGGCTTTAGTAATGGCAGCCCTTCTCTGCCCCCTCATCCTGAACAGACATAAAAATCATTTGCTAAGAAATAACAAGGCCCTTGTTATAGCTAATGAGAGTGAAGGTGGTGTGACAGGCGCCTGCAGGCCAGTGGGCGGCCAGAATGTTCCCTGAGGACCCCCAGCAGCACATTCCAGCCTGCAGCCGTCACACCACAGGCCTCACAGACATGCCTACACCTCCAGATTGTGAAGATGTACATGACTCGAATAGAGCACACGCACACTCACCCACACAGCAGGAGCCAAGGCCTCCCTCCAGCATGTGCCCACACAGCTCCCTGGCCCTAGGTGCTATATACACGAGCACCAGGATTGGTACCAGTCACTGTCCCGCTTCTCAGGCCGGGGACGAGCCTGCGAGCATTTAGTCCCTGGCTCATGAATGTGTGCCCCAGTGTGTGCCCAGCTGTCCCATCTCCAGATACTTCAGTAGGGGTCCCCCAAACCCACCACCCTGTGCTCCCTTCCACTGAAGCTGGGACTCCTCGGTTCCTCAGCAGATGTGGCAGCCAGGGTGGAGGTGAAGGCTAAGGATCATATCATAAAGGGCTCACTCTGCAGATGGTGGGGGCTACTGTGGGGATCAGGGAGCCTAGGGAGGGACCCACGGGGCTAGAACAAAGGCTTGTGTCAGGGCCCCATGTTTGATCCCTGGGCCAGAGGCTTCCCCTGACCCACAGAGCTGGGCCGGGAATCCTAGAGAATGACTCCTGGCCCCACCTGCAGTCCTGGGGAGCTCCTGCCCCCCAACAAAAAGATATTGCCTGGGACTCATGTTCCTGTTATTCTTTATTGTCACCGTTGCTGCCATTATCATCACCCATGGAGCAGGGACCAGCTGAGACCTCCAGCGGGACTAGAGTCTGGAGAGACTCGGAGGCTGGTCAGCCCTGCAGGTCTATGGGCCTGTCATCTTCACACACCCCAGCCCCATGGGGTGTCTGCAGGGGCGAGACAAGCACAGACAAGGGTTCCTGCTCTCCAGGAGCTTAAGCTCCTTCCAGAATCAGAAGGAGACTGCCAAGAGCACCATTGTGTGCTGGCAGGCCCCTCTGCCTTGTTTTTGTGTTGTTATTAACTTGTATTCACTCCGTCTCCACTTCAACTCCCTGCAATGGGGACTGTCATGGTTCCTGTCACAAGTGAAAAAAGTGGGGGCAGCCCAAGGGACACATAGCCAGAGGCTGGCAGAGCATCTGGAACCTCAGCCTGGCATCTGTCTCGGGGATACTCATACTCTGAGCCACCATGTCCCACCACTTCTGTATGGCCACTCCTGTCCAGGGATGAACCGAGGGCCTCCCATCAGAACCCTGAGTCTCAGGAGCTTATCTTGGTCCTTCCAGGCCAGTCTCCCGGTTCCTCAGGGAGTTCCCAACTGTGGATCTGTGCTGGCAAGTCGTCCTGGGAGGTAAGGGGCCTCACAGGTGCTGGGGGGGACTCTGGGGCAGAGAAGAGGCCCAGCTCAGTGACTATGGCCTCTCTGCTGCACAGCCCTCCCCAGCCAGCGCTGCAGCAAGCCCTGGTGCCTGTGGCGAAGGAGCCCGTCCCAGTCAGGAGGCCGGCCTGGAGCCAGCTCTGCCTCTGTCCTCTGCACCCGCCGCAGCTCAGGTGCGTCCCAGGCAACTCCAAAAGGCAGGTGGTGGTTAGATGGGGCCACTGCCTGCTGCTGGAACCTTCTGAACACAACCCCTCCCTCCAGGCTCCCCCGGCATTCCATGGTTCCGGCACCAATGCTGGCCTTGCTGCTGCTGTTGCTGCTGCTCTCAGTGCTGCTGCTGGGCCACTCGCCGCCCCCCACCTGGCCTCACCTCCAGCTCTACTACCTCCAGCCCCCACCTGTATGAGCCCAGTCCAAACCACAGCGCCACCTCCCTCAGTTACTGCATTCCCTGTCCTGTTCTTCCCCTCACTGCGCCCAATTTCCCAGGATAACCCTGGAGCCAGGACCCAGAGGCAATGCTCCAGGCTCCATGCCCTCTGCTCCTCTATTGGGTTTTTGCCTGAAGTCACTTGGTTTTTTGACTTTGGCTACTACATTTCCTACTAGCAAAACATGCCCCACAATGGGTCAGACATGAGGGGCTCTGTTTTCTTTAAAAGTCTGAAGGTGGGCAGCTGTGGGCCCAGAGCTCTGACACCCATACCTCAAAATCTCTGCCCCTTACTGCATGCTTCAGAGAGGGTGGGTACTGTAGTGTCCAAGGTTTCCAGCACGTGCACGGTGAGAAGAGGATGCCAGCCTCCCTCCTAAAGAGAAGCAGTAAATTCTCCCAGACCTGGGCCCCAGATGTAGTTTGGCTCCGGCTGGGCCTCTCCTGGCAGGAAGAGGGAGAAAGGGGTCTTCCAACAGATGGCCACAGCAGTGCATTGTGACAAGCAGGAAAGGGGCCAGTGTACCAGTTACTCAACAAATGTGCAGATCGGTCCTCCACTATAGGCACGTGACCCTAAGGCCTAAAGCTGTAGGTAAACAGTGCCAGGCCAAGGGTGCTCATTTGCTTCCAAAGATGAGTGCCGGGGGATTTTATTTCTTGTTTTTGGTTGTTTCCATTTTAATTTTGGTGTATCTTATAGATAAATGGAGAAATCCTAAGTCTCTGTATTGGATGAATTTTTGCATATGTGGACACCGGCCCAACCTCACCGTACCACTGAACAGTTCCCGAAGGGACCTTTGGGCAAGGAATGGGGAGTCACGCCTACTCAAAGACGGTGCTAGTGGGGCCAGAGAGCACAGGAGGGAAGTCACTTGCCTTGCACACAGCCAATGCATGGCACCATGTATAGGCCCCGGAGCCCTGCCAGAAGTGATCTCTGAGCCCACTACAGTAAAAAATGAACAACAACAACAACAGCAAAAAAAAAAAAAAAAAAAACATAAAAACAGTGCTTCTGTGGGAGTTCAGAAAATGCAACCAACTCAGCAGGGGAAGTTTGAGATTTCTTCACAGTCAGAAATCGAAGCCAGGGGAGATGGTTCAGAGGGATGGAGCTTTCCCCTGAAAGGGATAATAACCTGTGCCCCATCCTGGCCCAGTATAACAGGAGTGCAGCTTTATTGCTGCTTCCTCATGTGGTGAAAGGCCTAGAGTTGGGATAATGCACAGATTTAGGTCTCAGTTATTCTTTGCCTGCCGCAGTTCTCCTGACATTTTTGTAAAGTTTGACCAACTTCGTTTTTTTTTTATTACTGTTTTGGGGAGGGGGTGTTCTTTGGGCCACACCTGGTGATGCACAGGGATTGCTCTTGACTCTACACTCAGAAATCATTCCTAGTGGGCTTGGGGAAACTGACCATAGGGATGCTAGAGATCGAACCGTGGCAAGACAGACGCCCTACCTGCTGTGCTATCTCTCTGCCCCTAGTTGGTCGTTTCACCCTTTGATACTAGGGATTTATGATTAACAGAAACAGGGTCATGTCCACAACCTAAGGGCCAATTACACCAAGATCTGCCTCCCGAGTTGCAAATTTGGAGAGCTCTCACCAAGCGCCAGCACCACTGTTTCTGGTGCAGACTGCCTCAGCACCCGTTTCCCTGGACCAATCAGAGCGCTGTCTGCAGAACCCAAATGTTGGGCTGGAGGTGGGCTGCCTGGGTCAACACCGGAGTGGGAGAGAGATGCAAGTCCTAACTGGCGCCTTGCTTCGCTCATGGCCCTGTGTCCCTTCTCCCTTGCCCGACCCTCCTGGAACCTCCCACACCAAACCAGCATCCCAGAGCCCCTGAAGAAACAGTCTGAGGCTGCATCACAACATGGGACCTTTCCTAGCAAGCACTTTGCTGCTTGTTGGTTTGACATAGTCTGTTTTAATCCTCTACAGATGAGGAAAAGGCTGAGGTTAAGTCCTTCAGAGCTAAGCCTTTCCCAACCCCACAGCTATGTTTCTTTTGGGCGCACACCCAGCATGCCCAGGGGTTACTCCTGGCTCTTTGCTCAGGAATTACTCCTAATGGGGCCTGGGAGACTCTATGGGATGCCATGGATGGAACCCGGGTCGGCCCTACCTGCCCTACACAACTATAAGTTTGAAGTTTGTGGTTACCTGGTCTTAAATATTTCTCATATCAGAGCCCCCAAGATTTAAGCTGCACGCAGAGCATTCCGAAAGAGAGAAAAAGAAATGGAGTTCACGGAAATGACAAATATGAGAGAGACGAAGGTGCCAGGCCAGGCCGGGGATGGGGTGGGGACCGGGGATTAAGAATAGAAGAGTTTTGGGGAGAGAGGATGAAGCAGAGTCCTCCAATACCACCCCAGATACCCAAGGAGCAGAGTCCCTGGGAGACACCCGGGTGGTGCAAGGGTTCAGCGAGAGGAGGGGACCGGCTGGGCAGGTGTGGGGGAGAAGACGTGAGTGGCGGGAAAGGCAATATTTGGAGGAGGAAGAGTCCCGGCTGGGGCTCATCGTAGAACTTCCCCGCGAGCGTGAGGCCCTGGGTCGAATCCCGGCACCCCGCCCCGCCCTCAGACACGGACGCGCACACGGGGTGGCTCAGGCAGGCTTTATTGGGGCGTGGGCTGCGCGCTCAGCGCGCGTCCAGGACCAGCAGCTTGTGCATATACGAGTTCAGCCAGTGTCGGCGCTCTAGGGCGGCCAGCAGCCGCGCGCGCTCCCGGAAAGCCGCGTCGTCTGCCAGCGCCAGGCTCCGTCGCGACAGCGGGGCGGCCGGTCCAGCGCGGGCCCGGACAGTGCTGGGGAGGCTGCAGGCAGACGCAGAGAACGCGGTTAACGCGCGCCCGGGCCCCGCGCCCACGGTCGCCCGCCGCCGCCCGCCTTCACCGCCCCGCCCGTGAGCGCGGTGCCCCATCCCTCTGTATCGGCTTGTGCCTTCCCACCCCTGTCCCGTGCATCGGGTGAGAGCCCGCAGAGTAAGGATATCGGGCGCCCAGCACTCCCCCTTGCTCCCCCGACACCCACCTAGAGCCCCTTAAACGTTGCTCAACGAAAAAACCCGTTTGGGCTTCCATGCCTTTAAAGTCTCTGGACGCCCTCGCTCAAATCTGCCCCTTTGGTTCTTGTAGATTCTCCATCCTCTCCAGTCAGTGACCTCTCTCTGGCTCTCTGTACCCCTTTCCGCATCTCTGTGGTCCTTTCTCTTTGGGTCTTTTGCACATACCTGAAGACCCCCGCGGGGGGCAGGGCAACTCCCAAGGCAGGGCGGGTGCCCCAGGGCTCCAGCAGCAGCAGCAGCAGCAGCAGCCGCACCCGGGGGCTCCAGGGCACCTGGTGAGTCTCCATCACCTGCAAACAGACACAGATCCACTGAACCCCACATTCTGGGCCTTGAAACCCGGACCCCACCAGCCACCCACCGCCCACATTCCGCAGCCAAGGCCCCCCTACCGCACAGTGGGCTTGGCCAGCAGGGCTGGCAGCCCCCTTATATTGCCTCCGCAGCCCCCGCAGCAGGCAGTGACGCAGACCAGGGGCTGGGGGCACGGGGTCAGCTCCCCTCCAGGCTCATTAGGAGCTGCCAGCAGTAATGAGGAACCACCGGGGGTGGGGGCCCTGCCAACTGCCTTGCTGCCACCAACTAATTGAGACCAAGAGCTGGGACCTGAGGCGGAGAGGGAGGGAAGGAGACAGACAGACGGAGAAGTGGACACAGGGGGTGTGTCAGAGAATAAAAATAGCACCAGGGAAGGACCATCAGAGAGAAGTCAGAGACACAGACAGGGAAGCCATAGAGGAGGAGGGAGAAGCGGGGACACAGACAAAGTGAAGGAAGGAAGAGAAGAACAGGAGAGAGAGAGAGAGAGAGAGAGAGAGAGAGAGAGAGAGAGAAAGAGAGAGAGAGAGAGAGGAGTGGAGACAGGATAGGGAGGCAAGGGTCTCAGGAAGAGAGGACATCTGCATGAACAGATAAGACACCAAAGGAAATCAAGGCAGGGAGATTCAGTGAGACAGGAGGGTGGAGTAAGAAGACAAAGGGTGTGCCAGAGAGATAGTACAGAGGGTAGGACGTCTGTTGTGCATAAACAGACCAGGGTTCAATCCCTAGCATTTTATGTGGTCCCCTGAGCACAGAGCCAGGAGGAACCCCTGAGCAGTGCCCTCCCCCCAAAGAAAGCCACGAGGAAGAGAGATAAGCAAGATCCAGAAAGTCTTAGACCTTGAGAAACAGAAACAAGAGTCCTGTACTACTCAAGCTTTCCCCCAGGAGTGTTGCTAAGACTTTAGTTCCCCTTGGGCTGGAGCAGTTGAAGGCAGGTAGGATGCTTGCCTTGCATGCAGCCAACCTGGATTCAATCCCTGGCATCCCATATAGTCTCCTGAGCCCACTAGAAATGATTCCTGGGCAACACCGGGTGTGGCCAAAAAAACAAAACAAACAAGACTTAGTCCCCCCCCCCCCCAAACCTGGTTCTTGAGGCTGCCCTGTGCTCAAGAAGAAGATGGGCAAAGATTGGGAGGTCCCAAAGGGCACTGACTATGGGGGAGCAGATCTTCCTGAGCCCGGAAAAAGAAAGGTTTACAAAGGATGGGCTAGAAACCCCAGAATCCCTGGGAAGGAAGTGTCCAGGGACCTGGATTTCTAAATCTGAGAGGAGGGGGCTGGGGACCTGGTTGCAGAAATGTGAAGCATGAGGGTCCCAAGAATCTGAACCCTGGGCAGGGGACAGGGGCCCCAGGGTTCAAAGGGAAGATAGCCTCATTGAATCACAACCCCCAAGTTCCCAAGACAGCAACCTCTATCACTGTACCTTTAAGAGCTCAAGCAGGTCGCTAGGCATCCACAACCCCTAGGGAAGGGTTCAGGTGCGTCACTTTTACCCTTGGGCCCCCAGCTCCTGCCACCCCTCCCAGAGCCTCTGCCAGCATTCACTGCATCTCTGCATCCAGCTCCGCTCACCTGTTGTTATTTTGGATCCTCTGGAGCAGGTAAGAGACCCCAGGGCCCCAAATAACTCTATTCCTTCTAGATCCCCCTGCACCCAGCCTCCACCTGACCTGGGGTTCCACTCTAGCCTCCATAAATAGCCCCGAGTCCTGTCCTGCAGCCCTGTCCACCCCAGACTGGGGGATTCAGACCCCAACACTCCATCTCTGAAGGACAGTCTCAGAGCTCCCAGTCTCCATCTAATTTGGGATCCATAGGGTCAAGTTTCCCCATCTTAAGGAGGGGAGATTCACCCCTCCCCAAGATTTGCTGCCTCAAAAATCTCAGTCTCTGAGTCTCCAGGTGTTTTCTTTCTAAAGAACTGAGTTTATTTATTTATTTTGCTTTTTGGGCCACACCTGGCAATGCTCAGGGATTGCTCCTAGCTCTGTACTCAGGAATTACTCCTGGCGGTGCTTGGGACCATATGGGATGCTGGGAATCGAACCCGGGTCAGCTGCGTGCAATGCAAACACCCAACCCGCTGTACTATCGTTCAGTCCAGAATCGGTAGTTTAAATCCAAAGCTACTCCGCCTCTGGAACCCCAGAGTCTGAACCCCCAGCAGTTTTCTTGCCCCAGGAGCCCCAGGAGTCTCCCTTCTCTCTCAGACAGGCAGCCTCCCCGCCATCCATCTGTGCTTCTTCCCCAGTAAACAATGACTGGCATGGTGTCCCAAGGGCCCTGGCGAAGCCCATCCAGCCCAAGGACTCCAGAGGAGGTGCCCCCCCGCCCAGCCCCAAATTGAAGTCAAGAAGGTCTGGGGTCTTGGAGAGGAGTCAGTTTTGAATCAGTTTTTCTGGGACCCTCATGGAGAAATGGAAGTGATCTATGACTCCCAAGAAGCCCTTGCTGGTCTCCCTTAGATACCATAGCCATCTTCAGGGAATTGCCTGGTGCCCCTGGCAGGGGAAAAGGCGGGGTCCCTAGGGTTGGGAGTAGGGGTGAGCAGTGAGCGGGCACTTCCAGGTTTAACCCCTTATTTCCTGCTTCTCCTCAGCTCTTTCCAGTCTCCCAGCACCATGAAGGCCTTAAACCCAATCCTCTTCCTCCATATCTTCCTCCTGGCTGCGCTGGGTTCCAGGGCAGCCCCTTCAGCCCAACCCTCTGCTGCCCCCTACTCTGAGGCTTCTCCTGGTGGGTCTGCAAACCCCACCCCAGAATTCTCTGGAACTTCTTATCCTGAGCCCTCCCAGGCTGCTCACCCAGTTTCCCCTGAGTCCTCCCTCCCTGACTCCACTGAGAACCCCAACCCTGACTTCCCAGAAATCCCACACCCGGAGTCTCCTGAGACCCCCAGACTCAACTCACTCAACAATTCAGTATCCGATTCCCTGGAAATACCCCAAGTGAACCCCTCCAAAACAAACTACTCACAACCTTCCGAGACCACTAAATCTACCCTGCCCAAAGTTCCACAGACAGAATCCCCGAGCACCCCCCAATCCAATAGCGTATCTGCTGAGTTCCCAAACCCTGGCCAAACTCAACATCCACAATCCCCAGAGGTTGCCAAACTTAACTCCTCAGAAATCTCAGATGTAGAAGTCCCTGACACCCCAACTCCCAGTCCCACCACAACCCTTTACCCTGAACTGCCAGAAATCCATAACGCAGACACCACTGAGACCCCAAGCTCTAAAAGCCCCCAAACCCTTCTTCCGGACCCTACAGAATCACTGCACCCAGAATTCCACGTGACCCAGAAGCCCAGCCCCCCTGAAACTCCCCAAACAGAAGTCCCCACAACCCACTCCCAGGATGCAACAGAGACCCCCGTGGTGTCCCACCATGAGATTGCCGCTAGTCTACACCCAGAAACACCTGCACCCCTCAAAGAGGAAGCTTCTGCCCTCAACGAATCCTTGAAGCCCAAAGCCAGTGTCCCGGGAGCTCCCCGACTCGACTCCCTCCACTTGCTCACAGACTCTCCAGCCACCCTAGATATGACTGCTCCCCAGAACATAAGTCCCAAGGGAACCAATGCCCCTCCAACTTCAGCCCGCATCGTGAGCCCTCCTCTTCCTTCTGGGACCCCCAATCCACCGGCCCCTGACACCCCCAAATCCCCTCAGCGGCGCAACCGAGGCGAACGAGTCAACACCATCATTGTCGTGGAGCGAGTGGAAGAGACAGGTGAGGGGCGGGGCGGGGCGGGGCCGAGGGCGGGCGGGGCTTTGGGGTGCTCATCCTCGGAGTCTCCTTCCTGCAGGGGTGACGCTGGTGGGGCGCCCCCGGGGCGCCGCGGGCGGGGCTCTCTGCCTGTTCCTCGCCGGGACCGGGCTGCTCATCGGCATTCTGCTGCTGCTCTGGTGTCTCTACCGCCGGGCGTCACGCCACCGGCCCTTCGCACACCACCGCCTTCCCAGCGACGGCGACGAGCCTGGTGAGACCCCCTGCCTGCCGTGCGGCACTCGCGGACGGCCACGACTGTGGCGCCCAGGCAGAAGTACGGTCCTCCCACCCAAGAGCCAGGAGAGCTCTGACCCTTGCTCGGTCAGCACCTGTCCCGCAGAAACTGCGCGGGCAACCACGGGATCCCAGAGTCGGGCCCCGCCCCGCCCCGTACCCATCCCAGGGCGTGACCAGGACCCAATGCCCCGCCCCTGCCCCGGGCCCCGCCCCTGCAGCGTCCCGGCCTCCCACTCGATAATCTCTGCCAGCTCTCCCGCTTCCCTTTATTTTCTTTTTTGTGGGGGAGGTATTTTGGCCACACCCGCGGGTGCTCCAGGAGACCAACCTTAGGAGGTTGGAGGGATTGGGGATCAAACCCGGGTGAGCTGCGTGCAAGGCAAGAATGGTCCCCGCTGTACTATCTCTCCGGCCTCTCCCACTTTCATCTGATTTTTTTTTTTTTTTTTGCTTTTTGGGTCACACCCAGCGATGCTCAGGGGTTACTCCTACCTCATGCACTCAGGAATTACTCCTGGCGGTGCTTGGGGAACCATACGGGTTGCTGGGAATCGAACACGGGTCAGCCGCGTGCAAGGCAAACACCCTACCCACAGTACTATGCTCCGGGTCCCCTCCCACCGCCCCGCCCTCCCCCCCCCTTTCATTTGAAAACCCAGCTGTAGCTAGGACTCCAATCCTCTCTCCCTCCCGCGACTCAGTGGGGCCTCAGAGGGGACAACAACCCCCACATCACTCCTTTGTTCCCACAGTTATGCACTTGGATGCTCCGAAGGACCCCTACGACCTCTACTTTTACTCTCCTGACGCCTGGGTCCCTTCTCACATCGCCACCAAGCAGCCACCCTCCACACCTCCACTGCCCCCCAAACTGCCCCCGCCACCTCGCGGGGGCCGCCCCCAGCGCCTGGAACCGCTGTCCCCCGCCACGCTTCCCAACAACTTTGTGTGAGCCCTGCTTAGTCCTGCAGACCCCAGCCAGGCCCAGACGGAGGAAGGACTGGGTAATCCTGTCCTCCAGCATGCTTTGCTACGTAGTGGTGTCCTGGGATAGAGGGGTCAGCCCAAACATGCTTCTGCTGTGACTGGAAAGGCCTGAGGCCCAATAAATCACATGATGTGACCCCCCTCCAGCGTGGTCTTGGGGGCAGGGGCTTGGGATTCTGGGATCCTTGGTCTGAGGGACAGAGAGCACTGGACTCTGGGGTCTGAGGGCTGGGTGTGAGGAGATGCCAAGGGGGTTAGCTCACAGCTGAGTTTGTACACCATAGCATTTTATTGGGAGAGGGCAGGGCAGGATTTACAATCACCGAGACAGACACACAGACACAGCCCTGCCCCAGGGAACCCTCCCCTCTCCCCCAGCCCCATTCCCTTTCCTGGGATTCTGTGACTTCTTTATTTGGGCTCAAAATTCTAAGCCAAAAGAGGGGCATCTGAGAGGGAAAGGATCCCAGATTTTTAGTCATTTAGCCCCTGAGGGACACGCAAATGGCCACTGAGAAGAGGAGGGCAGTTGGGAACCACCCAGGAGAATAAAGTGCAAGGAAGTGGGGAAGAAGGGCATCTTGAAACCACCAAGGGGAAGTTCAATGGCGGTGGCTTCACATCAAGTTGATGGCCTGGAGCAGCCACTATTAGACCTGAAAACTGTCAGAAAAAGTGCATGGGGGTGGAGAGGCGTTTGATGAAAGCCACCACTTGGGGGGCTTCCCTAGACCGCGTGCCAAGCAAGGGAGGGCCAGGAGGAATTTGGTGTTACAGCAGAACCTGCTGGTGGGGGAAGGGGAGGTAGGAGGAACTTGAAACCGCCGTTTCCCCTCAGAAACGCTGGTGAAAATCAATCCCAAGAAGGGCAGGATGTGTAGTTGAAAGGGCTTGGAAACTTCTAGAAGACTTTGAATTTTTCTGGAAGGAGAGGAGGGGCTTAATCATCGGGAGCTGAGTATTCTCAGGGGTTGAAGGAAAGGAGGGTGCTCAAGGGATGCTCAAGACCACAAGAATAAGAGATTGAATTGTCCATTCAAAGAAAGCCCTGGAAGGCGAACTTGAAACCACTGAGGCAGAACTAGTGGAGAAGGGGTCTGGAAGGGACTGTGGGCATCCTTGAAACTGTCAGCCTACAGCTTCACTACCCCTGAGAGGCGACTGGGAAGGGGAAAGGGCTGGACCGCACGGGGGTGGGGTGAGCACTTCTAGGACCTGAGGGGGACAGCCAGGACTGGGGATCCTTGACACTGTCACCCAGGCCCGAGATGCGTGGAATGGAGGCCCTGGACTGCCGTTCAGTGGGAGGCACATGTCAGTAGTCCCGGACAGGAGGCGGGGGTCTTGGGGGCTGGAGAGTGCTGTGTGTGGCCCCATAGGAGGGCGGCGGAGCAGGGGGGGCTCCGGGGGGTTCCATCTCATCCTCCATCTCGCTCTCATCACTGCCAGCCAGCTGGTCGTGGCCAACGAAGCCACATTTCTCTTCGCTCATTTCCTCAGGTTCCGCCCAAGGCTGCTTCTCCCCAGAAGCGAAGACCCCATAGAAGATGACACCCCCATAGTGCACCAGGGAGGCGATGAGGAACACATACTGCCACTCCTCCCGAGTCTGTGTGGGAACAAAAGGAGGGCGGGCAGAGAAGGGGTGACCGACAGAGGCAGAAAGGAAACCCAGAGGGAAGGGAAGGGGCCAGGGAGGTGAGCCACAAATCAGGGGTGCACACCTTGTGCTTCGTCATGGCGCCCACGATGATGGGGCACACCATGCCCGACAAGGTGCCCACACCGTTGGAGATGCCCATGAGGATACTGGCATAGCGCGGGGCGATGTCCAAATGGTTCACGTTAAACCCTGGGGAGGAGACCCAGAGGGGTCACAAGAGACTCTCCCTGCAGAGACTTCCGCTGGGGGCACCCCAATCTCAACACTCCCTTCCCCTCCCACCCAGTACTGCTCTTTTCCTTTTGGGGGATACCACACCTGGCGATGCTCAGGAGTCACTCCTGGCTCTGCGCTCAGGAATTACTCCTGGCAGTACTCAGGGGGACCTTACGGGATGCCATGGATGCCATAGATCGAACCCATTACAGCCGCGTGCAAGACAAATGCCCTCCCGCGGTGCTAGGTACTATTGCTCCAGCACCCTATTCTGCTCATCTTTTAAAGCTAGAGGCTCCCCTTCCTGCGTCCGGAAGTTCCCTCTGCCCTTTCCCGCGCCGGCCCCCCCTCCGCCCCCTGCGGCAGCTGACCAGTGTCTCCCGGGGTGCCCATCGATGGGTCTCACCGGAGATGGCGAAGCCGCTGAAGCCCACGGCGAGAACCAGGAAGGAGATGGCCACGCCCTTGGAGTGCGAGTAGCCGACCACCAGCAGCAGCGTGGCTTCCATGCCGAAGCCTGGGGAGGCCCCCGCCTCTGAGCGCCGCGCGCCTCCCGCCCCCCATCCCTGTCCCCGTCCCCGCCAGCCCCACCCCGGGCCCGCCTCGCCCCTGAGACCGCCCCTACTCGGCCGCTGCGCCCTCTTCAAACCCTAGGTCCTCGGTACCTGGCCCTCCTCTGCGCGCGCACAGGCTCTAGCACCCCACCCACCCATCCCAATCGCGGCCCCCCCAAGGTCATGCCCTGAAGGTACAGCGTCCAAGCCCACCTAGGCACCCTTTCTCGGACTCCCCCAAGTGTGCAACGCGCTTCCCAGACTTTGGGTCTCCAGACTCAGTCGACCACCCCCCTGCGCCCCGCCTCCGCGACCCCCGTCGGACGCGCCCATCTGGTCACGCCTCCTTTGGGACACGCCCTCTTGGCCCCGCCCCACTCACCCCCGCAGTTCATTAGTTTGCGCACGTTGGTGGTGGACATGATATGGCGGCTCCTCAGGAAGTCCGCGATCTGACCTCCGATGGGCACAATGATGGTCATCACCAGGTGTGGCAGCGCTGAGACCAGGCCCACCTGCACGGCGCAAGAGAGGGCAGGAGTTCAGAGGTCGCAGAGCGCGTTTCAGACAGGAGAGGGGCAGGGGGAGCTTCAGCTCTCTCCTTCCCTCACACGGTTCCCCGCTCCCCGAGACCCGCGTCTCTCTCTCTCCCTCTCCCCGTCCCGACCTTGCTGATCTCGAAGCCAAACACTTCTTCGAAGTAGGCGGGCTGGGAGATGAGGAGCAGGTAGAAAGTCCAACTTCGGCAGAAGTTGGCCACGATGATGGCGTAGACGGGCATGGACGTGAAGAAGCGCCTCCAGGGGGTGTTAAATTTCTGCAGGGGCGACAAGAGAGGCTGCTAAGATAGTGACAGGAGCTGGATGCTCTCCGTGTCCTCTTGGGAATCCCACAAAGACCCGTTTCCAGGGACCGGAGAGATGCTACAAGGGGCAGAGCGCTTGTTTTGCACATGGCAGACCCAAGCTGGATTGCCGCCTCATAATAGGGTCCCCCCAATTCCACCAGGAGTGATCCCTGACTATATCTTCGTGCGCCCCCCCTAAAAAAAAAAGACCCACTTCCCGGCCTCACTAAATTCAGGAACCCAGGGATGACAATGGCCCCATTATGTCCCTTTGGGGACGCTGGGATCCTAGCCCCACAGAGAAACTTCAGGATACAGCGAACCTAACTCTACAAGCGGGCCTCAGGCTCGCAGGTGTGCAGACCCCAAGAAGAACCCAGGAACCCACATGTGGGCCCAGAAGTCACTCATTCGATTCCACTCCCTGGTTCTCGCCCCACTCACCCAGGTCTTCGCTAAACCCCACTGACTCCGCCTCCTAGTTTCAATCGAACCAATCAGTGCCTCCAGCCCCGCCTACCTCGCATCTCCCCGCCCCGACCTCGCCCCAACCCGCCCCCTAGGGTCTAAGGCTCGCCTTCGGGTTTCCTGCACCCGGCTCCCCTTTGTGAGTTGGAAGTCCCTGTCTGCTGCCTCCCAGCCTGGACAGCTGTCCCCGCCTCCGCCCCACAGGCTTGGACCCTGACCGTGACGGGGTTCATGAGTTTGGCGCTCTCGCCGATGGCGTCCTCGATGTATTTGCGTTCCTCTTCCGAAATGCTAGGGTGCAGCGCCGGGGACTCATAGGACACCAGCAGCCAGAAGAGGTACCAGAAGATCCCGAAGCTGCCTAGGGTGGGGGACCAGGAGGAGGGAAGCGAGGTGACCTTCGGCCTCCCTCTGCCCCAGCGCTACCCGGATCCAGGACGTCGAGACCGCTCACCGTAGACGTAGAACACAGAGCTCCATCCTGAGTACTGCACCAGGACCCCCGCGAGAGGCATCGCGACCACGGCCCCGGCGTAGGAACCTACGAGGGATCATGGGAACAGAGGACACGCCATCTCCGATCTGCTCCAAGAGTGCTGACCCCCAGCCGCCGCCTTTCTAGCACCCCGAAGTAGAAGCAAAAGTCTGTCCTCCTCCCTCAGAAGCATCAGGTTGCATCCGCAGTCCCTCCCTCAGACCAAGCAAGTCCGGGACCCCAGCCCCTCCCTCTCACCGCAAAAGGCTGTTGTCGCCAGGCGACTCCGCTCTAAGGGAGGGGCCCATTTGCTCCAGATCCCGTGGCAAGCGGGGTACGTGACCCCCTACGGAGAAGAAGACCCAGGTCAAGGAGAAGAGGCGGGGTCGTGGAGGGGCGGGGCTGGGCGGGGGCGGGGCTTTACCTCTACCAACCCCTGCAGAATCCTCACGAAGATGACGCAGCCGTAGTGGACGCGGGCAGCCGAAGGGATCAGCATGTTTAAAGTGGATGTAGCCACAATAGCAAAGCCAAACACCCTGATGGGTAGAGACCATGTCCCAGAAAAGGGTCCAGCTGTCCCGCCACACTGAAGATGCTCTGGCTCTTTCCTCCCACAGTGGGCCAGGCCCTATGCATCAGAACCCCAGGCGCCGCTTTCCGTGTGACTCCCACCTTCCACGACCACAGCCTTGCTATTTTCTTCTCTCTCTCTCTCTCTCTCTCTCTCTCTCTCTCTCTCTCTCTCTCTCTCTCTCTCTCTCTCTTTCTCTCTCTCTCTCTCTCTTTTTCTTGCTTATAGGTCACACCGGAGTTGCTCAGGGGTTACTCCTGGCTCTGCACTCAGGAATTACTCTTGGCAGTGCTCAGGGGACCATATTGGATGCTGGGGATTGAACCCGGGTCGGCCGCATGCAAGGGAAATGTCCTCCCCGCTGTACTATCATTCCGGCCCCAAGTCTTGCCATTCTCAAAGACTCGATGGCTCCCATACCCACGTTCCTCCTGTTTTCCTAGAACCAGATCCCTCCTCGCCCCCCCCCCCATGCAAGGCCACTTCCTGTAACTGCAGTCTCTGCCCTCCTCGAAACCCCACCCCGTACCTGTTGGCTGCAAATTTTTGGCAGATAAATCCTCCAGGAATCTGAGTCACAATGTAGCCCCAGAAAAAGGAGCCATGTATGAGGCCAACAGTCTCTGGGTCCCAGTTGAACTGAGCTTTCTGTGGACCAAAAGGCAAATTAAACAACTACTCGGGCCCTACACAAATCAGCATCCACAAAGAGTTCCTAGACCAATCAGCAACAGCATAGCCTCGACCCGCCTAAACACCCACCAATCAGAATTCAAGCCGCCCCCTCCAAATCTGGAACACTATCTTAGCATCAGGAACTATTGTTTTGTTTTATTTTATTTTTACTTTTTGGGTCACACCCAGTGATGCTAAGGGATTACTCCTAGGAATTACTCCTGGGGAATACTCCTAGGAATTACTCCTGGGGTGCTAGGGGCACCGTATGTGATGTCGCGGAATGAATCTGGATCTACCACATGCAAGGCAAATGCCCTATACCACTGTACTATTGCTCCAGACCCAGAAACTATTGCTTTTCTAGAAGCTTCACTCTACCTGCTTCCCAGCCCCTGTATACCATGACTAAATGTCAGGGGCTCATACTGAGGCCCATGCCTCTTGCTCAACATTTTCTCAAATTACAAATTGTCCAGATGTCTGGATAAGTAGCTCTAGTCTGGGATTTAAAAAATCTCTAACAGGTCAGAGAGAAGACTCAAAGGATGGAACATTTGCTTTACTGGCCGGAAACCAGGTTAAATTCCCACCACCACATGGTCCTAGGAGCACAACAGGGAACAACCCCTGAGCACTGAGCCTGGAGTATCCCCAAACATGCCAAGGGTGTCTCAAAAAAAAAACACACTGCAGATTTTTTCCTGCAAGTTTTTGAACCATATAGGGCAGTGCTTAGAAACCATATATGGAGCTAGGAATCAGCTGCAATCAGCTGCAGACTGCATTCAAGGCAAGCACCTTAACCCCTTAATGCCTCTCTGGGCTCCCCAATGTCTTTTTGTTTGGGAGTACACCTGGCTCTGCTAGGACTTAACTCCGGCTTTACACTCAGGAATTATTCTTGGTGAACTAGGGGACCATTTGAAGTGCTGGGAATCAAACCTGGGTCAGATATATGTAAGGCAAGTACCTTCCCCACTGCACTGGCTGTCTGGCCCCACATTTTGTTTTGTTTTGTTTTAAATAACTGAAGAAGTGGGGCCAGATGAAAGGAAGCAATGGGAGTGGGTAGGTCATAGCTCAAATCAGGAATGTTTGGGCTGGAGGATAGCACAGCAGACAGGGCGTTTGCCTTGCACCGGCCAACCCAGGTTCGAATCCCAGCATCCCATATGGTCACCTGAGCACCGTCAGGAGTAATTTCCGAGTGCAGAGCCAGGAGTAACCCCTGTGCATCGCTGGGGGTGACCCAAAAAAGAAAAAAAAATCAGGAATGTTTTTCTGCAATTGGAGCATGGTCTATACTGAAATGAAAAGGGAGGAGTCCTGAAGTGGAGTGGGACTTTAGATGATCGTCATCGCAGAGGGGGCAGGATTTAGCTTGCAAAAACCCAGGATCACAATTCAAAGGGAAACCTGGATCCGGCTGAAGCAGATGTGTTGGTTGGAGGTTCAAAATGGAGCCGGAGCAACCCCAAGCTGCTTTAAGGAGACAGACCCAGGCAGAAGCTACATTTGAAATTGGTACCTGGACCCACCAGAGGCAGGGCTACATTACTTTTGGGGAGGGCTTAGAAAGGGCGGGGCATAGGGGGGAGATCAGCGCTGAGTAGCCCGAACAGAAGGGTGAGGTTGCTCAGGAGTGGGTTGGCAGGGGCGTAGCCTGAACTTCCTGGGCCACCCAGTTGATGGCTACCTGCACCACGACGTGGCCCCCGCGGTGCGTGGTGCTGTTGTTGACCATGGAGACGATGGCCACGCCCAGATTGCAGCGGATGCCAAAGCTGATGCAGAAACCCAAACCGCTCATGATGGCGATGATGTAGCGGCGAGGGAGACCGAAGCAGGTACAGTCCACCACCGGCGGGTCCCGGGTCTGCGTGGTCACTGGGCGCCCGTCAGCGCTCAACTCCAGCGTCTCGGCACCTTCCTGCCGCTTCTCCAGAAGGCTACGGGGCAGTAGGAGCCAAGACGCAGATGTTTAGCAACTGACCTTCACACCACCACATCCACGCACAGCGCACTTCCCCAGCACACGGCTCCAGGGCCGAAGACCCAGGATGGAGACAGAGTTCAGCGGGCAGGGCTCTTTCTTTGCACGCTGCAGACCCTGGTTCTATCCTCGGCATCCCATACGGATTCCAGGTCACTGTCAGGAGTGATTCCTGAGCGCAGAGTCTGGAGAAATCCCTGAACATCGCTGGATGTAAGCCCCCCAAAAAAGGAAAGGAAGAAAAAAGGAAGAAAAAAGGGAGAGAGGGGCTGGAGCGATAGTACAGTGGGTAGGGCATTTGCCTTGCGCGCGGCTGACCCAGGTTCGATTCCCGGCATCCCATATGTTCCCCTGAGCACCACCAGGAGTAATTCCTGAGTGCAAGAGCCAGAAGCAACCCCTGAGCATCGCCGGGTGTGACCCAAAAAGCAAAAAAAGAAAGAAAAGAAAGGAAAGAAGAAAAGAAAGAAAGAAAGAAAGAAAGAAAGAAAGGAAAAAGAAAGAAAGAAAACCAGGATTCTAAGTCTGAGTTCCTTCCCCCACCGCCCCCCCCCCCCCACAGGATTCAAGAATATGAAACTCCCCTCCCTCAGATCAGCAATTCCAACCCTCACCCCCACCCCAGCGTTCTCATTCAGGTTCCCTTCTCCCCCAGCCCTGTTATCTCTCGACTCAGGATGTTTAGACCCTGGGCTACCCTTGGCAATTTCGAAACCTCTCCCCCAGCCCCCATCTCAAGCTCAAGACTGCAGCTGCCCCCACCCCACCCCCCGCCAGATATGAGTCTATTTGAGGAAGCAAAGGCGCTAAGGAGATGCCTCAGCAAAAGGTGTCAAAAGAACAGATGCTTCGCAGACACGTCTGCTATATATACCGACCCTGCCTCCCCCAGCCCCCATGCCCTTTTCTGCTTCCAGACTCAGGTGCTGGGCTGACACCCAGCGGACTCCACACGTAGGGAGCCCCTTCCTGCCAGCTGGGCCTGGGGAGATGTCCAGGGTCCTGAAATCCAGCCGCCCTGTGGACTGTCCCTGGGGAATCTCGGGAACAGGTTGTCAGACTACGGGATAGAAAGGGGGGGTGGGGGGGCTGTCCTGGCAAGGGACAGATGGCCCTGGTAGGGGGACTGGCTCCAGCCCCAGGATAACTCTCGCCCCCGCCCATTCTGGACCCAAGTTTGGGCCTGTGAAGACGGATCGCTTTCTGGGATGGGGGTGGGGTAGGCATTGCAACTCAAAGAAAGGCTGTGAAGGGAGAGAGGGGAGCTGAGGGGGGGAAGCAGTGACGCAAGGGAGGCAAAACTGAATGGAAAAGGGACAGAGACAGAGGGAGAGACAGAGATAGAGACAGCAAGCCAGGGAGGGGAAGACAGAGGGGGGCAGAACCTGGTAAAGGAGAAAGACAGACAGACAGACAGACAGACAGAGAGGGTATGGCAGCAACCCAGAGCCTGGAGATGAGGCGTGAGGAAAGCCAGGCTGGGCATGTGATTTGTGAGAAACGACCCTTCATGGAGGCGGGCAGGGAGGCAGCCAGAGGACCGGGCTGGATCCCAGGAAGGGGCTAGAACAGATGGAGATGAGGGAGACTCGGACGGGGGAGGAAAGAACAGCCAGACGGTCGGGGAGGGGTGCAGGGGGGAGAGAAGAGAGAACATAGTCATTCTCCCCATTCTAGAACTTAAGGAGGGAGGGAGGAGGAGAATCAGGGATGCGGAGAACACGGTGAGGGCGTGGACGTCACCCAGGGAGAAATGAAACCTTGAGGAAGCAGAGAGACCCAGAGAGCTGGTAAGCATCCAAGGGGGCAGAGAGTGGAAGTCCCCAGCATGGAGAGAACAGGGGGCACACTGCCCTTCCTGTCAGAACATGGCAACCCATGAGAACTTGACCCAGGTCAACAGCAGATAGGATTTGAAACTCGAGATGGGATTTTGGGTACCCTGAAATTTGATATCCATTAATGGGTAATGGGACAGAGATGTCTGATCTCTGAGCCCCCGCTTAACCAATGGGGGCATGGCCTTAGTATTTCACATCTGTGAAATGGGCACGAGAACAGAATGAGGAGTCACAAAGGGGACTTTGAGGGACTACAAGGGGAGGTGGTAGAGAAGAAAGGTGTCTCTCTCATTTCTTCTCAGGCTAGGCAAATAAATAAATTAACATCACACAGGTGAATAGAAGAAAAAAAAAACATTTGATTGAGTGCATTCAGGGAATCTATAGAGACTGGAGGCTTCTGGAGAAGGAAAGGCATAACAAAGGATCTAGGCTGAGTCAAAAAAATAGGATAGGGAGCTGGAATGATAGGACAGCAGGAAGGGTGTTTGCCTTGCATGTAGCTGACCTGAGTTTGATCCCCAGCACCATATAGAGTCCCCTAAGCCCACCAGGAACTATCCCTGAGTACATAGCCAGGAATAAGCCCTGAGCACTGTCAGGTATGTCCCCAAAACAAGCAGGATCGGGGAGGCTGGGGGACTCAAGGAGAGAGACCAGGTGCTGTTGCAGTGAGATATTTGCTCTGCACACAAACAGGTTAGACAGATCAAAGGGCAGTTCTGGTAAGACCCCCCCCCCCAAGTTCTGGATGCATTACTTCTATATATTACTCTGGGTGCTATAGGGTATGGTAACAGTTCCTGGTGAATCTCCCAGGCCTCAGAACAATCCAGCTGCCCAAGTGGTTCATCATGAGGAAAGCCCTTCATTGTTATTTGAGGACAGAAGAACTCGGGGTGTGGAACTGAAAATAGCTCTGAGGTTCTACAGAGGTCAAAGATGGAAGAGAGAGGAAGAAATGAAGGGCCCTCTCCTCCCTAGGTCTGGGGGACGAGGTAAAGAGGCTTAGAAAGCTGGGAATCAAAAGGTGGAAGGTCCCCTCTCTGGCTCTGCCCAATGCTCTGTCCATGACCCTGTCCCTTGCCTTCCTTTGGATCTCTTATACCTTCCCATCATACAAGTAAGGAAACTGAGGCTCAGATGGCAGAAGTAGCAGGTCCAAGGTCATATCCACCATAGGCCAGGCTCTCAGGAAGGAGGTGGTTTGGTCTTCCTTCCCCTCAGCCCCCAGCCCCCATATCCTTGTCCCAAGGGGCCCTTGGTTACTTTCTGTCCCCACCCACGTCATTCATCTTGAGAAAATTCTGCGGCCTCAGGATGGCACAGGGGACAGCCCAGGATACCTGGCCACATTCCTCATTTTCTCCAGCTTCTCCACCAGAGCCTCAGTTCTCCCAGCTTAGTCCATGATTAAATGGAGTCAAGGCATTGCATCCAAGATGGGCCAGACCCCAGCTTTGAAGTGAACCCCAGAACAGACTCGGAGGCAGGGCTTGTTGGGTCAAAGCCCTTGTGGCTCTCAGAGGGAGATGGTGGTTTCTCTAGGGGTGCAGGGAGAAGTCGGGGTACAGGAGAGCCATGAGGAACAGAAGCTGAGCTGCAGAGGCTGCAGGAAGGACCTAGAGAACCGTCCCCCAGCCCCCGCCCGCAGCGCCCCCAGCCCCCACCATCCACGCGCCTCCCTCTCCTGACTTCGCACTGATATATTTTGAGAAACTCGTGAAAGGAGGCGAGAAAAAGGGTGGGGACGGGCTGGCAGAGGGGGAGAAGAAGGAGTGAGGTTATCCCAGATGCCCCTCCCTGCTCTCCAGCCTCACCCCCCCACCCCCCACCCATTTTCTTTCCTGGAGGCTGGAGATTCTGGGTTTCTTTCGAGGAGGGACTGGCAGCAAGTGGGACCAGCATAGACTTAGCCCCTGGCTGGGGGACATGGGCTCGGACTCAAGGTGGGGTCCAGACTGCTGGGTAGGGGACCGGGGTCCAAGGGAGTGTCTGCAGGGCCCAGCGCTGAGACAGCCTTCTCTCCCCCGCACTGGGACCAGATATTTTTAGGCTTCTCCGCAGCTGAGTAATTTCTCTGACTTGGAGCCAAGGCTAGGGTTGGGGGTGAGGCTAGAGGTAAGTGTCCAAAGTTCCGGGGGACACCCGGGTCATTGGGGTCACCTCCTCACTGGGAGAGAGTCCGTCTAAGCTCTAGTCTATGTCCTGCGGGAAGTGGGACTGGCTCCAGGAGCCTTATTTTATGCCTGTAACTCCATCTCCCCTGGAGCCCCAGGACACCCCAATACCCGGCCTCTTCCTGCTAGATTAATTCTCCTCAAGGACAAGACCGAAAGAACCCCAATCCGCTTTAGCTGCAGATTAAATGCTTCGAGAGATGGAAATGGACAAATACAGAGATAGACTTGAGGGTGGTGGATCAAAACCTGGAGACAGGACAGAGACCCTAAAGGAGAAGGGCCCCAGAGAGAGAGGGATGGGGGCCCAGAGAGAGGGGGATAGGGGCCCAGAGAGAAGGGACAGGATCCCAGAGAGAAGGATTTAGGGAGATCTGCAGAGGGAGGGGCAGAAAAAGGGTGGGGGTAGAGAGTCCCAACTAAAGAGTAAGACCCTTGGGAGTTGGGGGCAGAGAGGCAGAAAAAGGACTCAGAGAGAAGCTACGGAACCAGAAGTAGGGAGATGTCAGAGACCCAAAGGGGAGAGGGACCACAGTCCCTGAGAAAAGGATAGAGCCTAGCATGGGGTGGGGCGGAGAAAAGCGAAAGATGGTAAACCCGAACAGACCAGAGAGAACAAACAGTGCCGTCGGAGACCAAAAGGGAGAAACTGAACAGACCGGGGGCCACCCCCATCCACAGGTACCGCCTAGCAGCTGTCCGTAGCGCCCAGGGAGAAATAAGCATCTTCCTTGAACCCTTGAGCTCGGGACCCCACCACGCTCACCGGTGCAGCCTCCCGAGGGCGCGACCCGCAAGCTTCCGAAACTCCTCCTGGCGGAACTCCATGGTGGCTGCCCGAGCCGCCGGTCCCCCCGCCGATCCCCCCGCCCGCGGGCCCGGGCGGCCGTGTCCGGGTTCCCGGGGTCGGGTCCGCCCCGGCCCGGCCGGCCCCGCAGCTCCGCTCGGGGGGGAAGGAGGCTGCGAGTGCCGGCTGCAGGGGCGGGGGGCTGTCACTGGACTCAGCGCCGGGGGCGGGGCGCCAGAGTCTCCGCCCACCGTGTTGCCCCGCCCACTTGAAGCTACGCCCTTCGCACGGAGTCCACGCCCCTGGGTCCCGAACGCTCTCCCCTCCCCATCTGCTCCACGTCCCGCGGCTCCTTCAAGCCCAGATTTTCTCTACCCCCTGCTTCTCTTCCCGGGGGCTTCCGCGCGACAGTTACCCCTTCTTTTATCCTCTCCTCACCGTCCTCTAAAGTTCCAGCCGCCCCTGACTTCCCTTCTTGTCTCTCACCCTCCCAGCCCTCTCTGATGGCATCCGCGCCCTCTCGGTGGAATCTCGCGCCCCGAATTCCACCTTCCCAAACCCGCATCATCCCTTCTTCCAACTTTTCCATATAGTGAGTTCTCTTCTGACTCAAGAAATTCATTCCCTCTGAATTCCACCTCCGCGCCCCCCCCCCACTCCGATGCCCCCGAGGTCCGCTCTCTTTCTCCCGCGTCCGGGCTTCCACCCACCTTGGTTTCCCTCTCTCCCCTCTGGAATTCTATCCAGTGCAGTTCCATTTTCCCTCGGGGCGCCTCTCCTCTCCCCGAGACTTCACTCCCGGCTTCCTTTTCCTCAGAGTCCATTCACGACAAGTAAACCCTGTCCTCACAATGAGCAGGCCATAAAACGCCCTCCTCCTCCTTCTGGGGTCCATCCCGCCCTTTGACTTCGATTCCACCACTGAGTTCTCTTTCCAGAGTCCTGTCCACCCCTGGTGAATTCTACCGACGCTCCAGAGTTGGACCCGCCCCCTGAGTCCAGTCCCCGCCCCCTGAACCCAGTCCCCGCCCCTTCGGTTCTGTTCTTGCTCCCGGAGTTTGGTCCACTCCTCTGGGATCTGTCCCCCCCACCCCCTGAATTCTCTCCTATTTCTCCCTAAATTGCATCCCCTCCCGCCGGGATTCTTCTCTCCGTTCTGAGACCCGACTTCTGGCGTCCGCAGTCCGCAGCGGCGCGGGAGCGCCTGTGGCCTGGCCAGCCCCTCTCCCCCACGCGGAGTCCACCTCTAGATTCCAGCCCCGGGGTCCTGTTTCCCTCGCCGGCTCCCTGCGTCGGGCCGCAAATGCATTTGGGATTAATTTTTCATGATGCCGCGCAGGACAGCCGGGGTGGGAGGGGCAGCCGGCACTGCATGCGGTCGGGCGGGCGGGCGCCACGGCGGGGGTGACACAGCCTCTAGCTCCCGGCTTTGCCTCCCTCGCTGGGTCCCAGGCCTCAGTTTCGCCCAGATGAAAAAAAAAGGAGGGGGGAGAAAAGCCCACACCCGGAGCTCAAGGAGGAGGTGTTGGGGTCTTTTGGTCCGGATGGACGGAGGGGTTGGGGCTCTGCACTACTGGGTCTGAGGGAGGAGGGCCTGGGGGTCTGCAATCCTGGGTCCGAGGGAAGGATTGAGGATCTGCACTCCTGGGTCTGAGGAAGGAGGGGCTGGGGGGTTCTGCACTTCTGGTTGAGGGAGAGGCTGGGGGTCTGCACACTTAGGTCTAAAAGAGGAAGGGCTGGGAGGGCGGGAGTTCTACGGGAGTTCTGGGTCTGAGAGAGGAGGGGCTGAGAGTTTGCACTCCTGGGACTGAAGGAAAGAAGGGCGGGTGAGGGGTGTTCTACACTCCTGGGCTTGAGGGAGGAGGAGCTGGGGGTCTGAGCTCCCCGGTGTCAGGAGAGGCAGGGGTCTGGCTCCTGGTCTGGAGGAGGCTGCCCAGCCGTCCTCACGCGCCACCCTGTGGCTGCAGCCTCCCCGCCTGGGTGTGGAGGCGGCGGCCGCGGCTGCGGGCCAGGTGTGAAGGTGGAGCAGATGGTGAAGAGGAGGGAGTGGGAAAGGAGGCCCCCGCTACTGCCAAATCCCGGGCCTCCGCCGGAACCGTCACCATGGAGACCGAGGAAGGTGGCAAGGACCCAGCCCCACACTTTTTCGGGACCATGGGAATGCTTCCAACGAGTGTCCTGTGCGAACTACGAGTCCCAGAGAGCACTGCACTTCACCGTTGGTTTCAGAAGGGCCCCGCACTACGAGGGCTGCTGGGAACTGTAGTTCCCTAAGACTACAGGCTGAAGCTTCTTGCACCCTCTGGTGGCCACGACGCGGAAGCTCGCTAGATGGCTACTTAGGACACCAAACAAAACCACCTCCAACTGCCCTCGACACGTGGAGGGGGGGGGAGTGCGCGGAGAGAGATCGAAGCACCGGGGCTTTGCTTGTGCAATCCCATGGAGCAAACCCAATCCCTGAGCAGGGAGTAATCCCAGATCACGCAAGGTGTGGCCCCCAAAAGTGAAGATCCCTGTCACCGTTTCCCCTTCTCATCATCTCCCCCTTTCTCCCAGTTCACTCAGTGAGGCCACAACCGCCTCTCCCTGCCTCCAACATTTACTACCGGAGGCTGTTCCATGACGTATCCGCCTCCAAAGAGAGGGTGCAGCAATCACTGATTCCACAAACCCTTCTGGCCTTGTTATACAACAGGGCACAGAGCGATGAGTGACAGCAGGTACTGGGGACGGCGGAGGAGGAGCTGAAAATGGAAGACGGAAGAATGCTGGGAGCTGAAAACGCTTTCCAGGAAAACTAATACGACAGACACGAGCCTGGAGGTGGGGGGCCGGGGTAGCATCTCAAGCAGAAGAAACAGATTTGAGAGCAGAGAAGGCTCACAGATGGGGCAACTGTCAGGGTCAACCAGCAAAAGTGGTTTGTCAGGATGGGGGCAGAAGCTGGAGATAAGTGAGAAGCTCAGGAAACATGCCTGGGAGAGCAAGATTTGAATTTTCTAGATTGACCCACAGAAGAGCACATAAGGGAGGAGGAAACAACAGAAAATGGGAGAAGGGGTGAAAGTTCCCGTGAGGAGGACAACCCCACTCAGAGTGGGCAGGTGGAAGGGAGAGGAGGGCCTGACAGGAAGGCCAGGCACTGTGGGCACTTGAAGGCTGGACAGAGGGCCCTGGGGCTCATCCTGGGGGAACAGGGGAGCTAAGAACAGGGGCAGGGTTGTGTGGGAGACTAATGAGGAAAGACTAGAGGTTTGAAGTGGGGCAGTGACCCCAATGTCCTCCCCTCTTCCCAGGTACTCCAACCAGAACACAAAACAAACACAAAGGTCTTTTATTTTCAGACACCGCCCCCACACTCCACACGACTGGTCAGGAAGGCGCTGTCAGAAGGGGCATGGCAACCATCAGCTGCTGCAGAGAGAGAAAAGGGGGACTCAGCGCTCCAGCATCCAGCCCCAAGCCCCCACCTCCTTCAGTCCCAGGGGCCCAGAGCTTCCCCCCACCCCTCACCCCCCAGTGTCCCTGCTTCCCTGCACAGACCTTTCTCCTCCGATGAAAGGCTGCCTTGCTCTTGTCAGAATTGATGCGCAGGGGGATGTGGACATCAAGATGGTAGAGCTTCTGGGGGCCCCCCATCACCAGACGGTTCTCCCCAATCTCCAGTGACAGTCCCAGGGCTCCATCCTGAGGATACGGTGACATCAATCCACCCTCCGTTTCACACATTGGGGTAGTAAAAACAGACCCAGAGCAGAAGTCTTGAGTGGGGCCAGCACTTAGCACAAGACAGTGCACACAGGCTTTGCATGCAGAAGGCCTGGGATTGATTCCCTGAACACCCCCAGGAGCGACCCCCCCCACCCACTGAGCCGAGAGAAGCCCCTGAGGACCAACAGATGTGGTCCCAAAACAAAAAGGTCCAAAAGAGGGGCCAGAGAAATGCACTAAGGTTAAGACTTGCCTTGCACATGGTCAGCCTCTGTTCGACAACCTCCCCCCCCCACAAACATCATACAGTCCCTTAAACACCAGTGAGAGTGACCCCTGAACACAGCTCCCGAGGACTGGTGGTATAACCCAAACCTCCCCCCAACTCCCCCACACCTGCACCCTGCCTCCCCCAAAAGACAACTCCTGCATTCAGACACTATTTCAAGGGTCTCAAGTCACAAGACAGTGCTGAAAGTGGGTGTGCAGGAACCAAGCTCACATGTCGACAAGTCCTCCAAGACATAACCCTGACCCTCCCAGACCCTGATCTGTCTCTCCTGACAAGTGGCACTTACCAGTTTGGGCAGGTCAATTTCAGCCAGGAGAAGGTCAGGGGCTTCCAGCCAGAGGTTCAGGTGAGGCTTCTCAGGGCTGTGGGAGCACTGGATAAGCAGCAGCCTGGTCTCCACCCTTCACCCTATATACGGTTCCTTTTCTTCCTCTCCTAGCAGCCCTACCGCCTCCCCAGGGGATTCCTGCTGCTCCTCGCCCCCAGTTTCCAGAGTCACTGGAAAACCAACACAGGGAAGACTGGGGAAGGGATTCAAAGGAGCACTTTTTGAAAAGGGATCTGGGGGGTCCCAGAGACACAGCAACCTGCCTGGCTTGAGTGAGGCTGTGAGTTGACCCCAAGCCACCTCACGTCACTGACTCAGGTGCCTTCCAGGCACCGCAACTGCGCCGAGGCCCACAGGTATCAAAACCAAGTGTGGGCCCCGAATACAAGCACAAAATTCAATTTGAAAAGAGAAGACCAACTACAATTTGATCCCGGCACCAAATTGTCTCCCAAGCATTGCCTGAGTGATCCCTGAACCCAGAGCCAGGAGTCAGCTCTAAGCACTGCCACGGGTAGTCATAAAAACAAAACGAAATAAATAAAAGAGGGGATCCTGGCCAGACGCACCCTTCCTCAGCTGCAGGGAGGTCCGGTGCTACCAAGTTCCCCAGCTCCTGGATTCGAGGACGCTGCTGGGAGCGGATGTTTTGCTGTGAGATGGAACCCAAGAAAGGCCGATTCTTTAACAGACGCCACTCTGCAAGAAGAGGGATGGGTGTGCGTGAAGGGGGGAGGAGGTGTCTCCTCTGTACCCTTCCAGGTGTGGCCCAGCAACCCCATAGAGCAAGGATACGCCCCCTGCGGAAAGCAGAGAAATGGCCACGCCCCCATACCTGTTACTAGGAAGCCGCCCGCCTTGGCCCCACCCCTCCCGAATATTGGCCAATAAAATGCAGCCATACATATTTCTGGCTCCGCCCCTTCCGGGCGGTCCAGATAGGAGCCTTTGACTCTGGCTCGTTAAGAGGCCTTTTCTCCCCTCCCAACCAGCCCGTGCGGGGGTGTGGGGGGGGAGGGGGAAGTGGGGGTTGAATAATCCTGCCCGGCAGCTGTAGGGCTGGAAATATTGTCCAGTGCGCAGGCCAGTTTGCTTTACACGCTACTAACCAAGGTTCAATCACCACCACCCTCAAATCTCAGATGGGTGACTCGGGTACAATTTCCCGATTCTCAAATGCATCCCGAGCACTGCCAGGAGTGATCCCTGAGCTCAGAGCTCAGAAGTAACCCAAAAACCGCCGGGTATAGCGTACTCACCTGAATTCAGCTGCAGGCCGTACTTGTCCTCAAGGCCCTCCCTGGCTATGGTGATGACGAGTTCCCGCAGGAAATCGCTATTCTAGCGGTGGGAGAGGGAGAAGCCATGCGGGCCAGAGCTGCGGGGCAGGGAGAGGCTCCTCCCAAGCCTCCCCGAAGCCCCGCCCCCACCTGCATCCTCCGGTAGAAGTCGCTGTTGACAGCCACATCATAGGCGGTACAACCCTGGCCTTCTGCGGGGAGAGAATGGGGGTGAGCCACTCCGGGAATACCTCACCACCCAGACCCCGAGGTGGAAAAACTCAGGAATCCCTAGTGACTATCAGGAAGACAGGGCTCTGGACAGAAGCAATAGCACAGCGGGTAAGGCGTTTGCCTTGCATGCGGCTGACCCAGGTCTGATTCCTGGCTCCCATATGGTCCCCCAAACCCCGCCAGGAGTAATTCCTGAGTGCAGAGTGAGGAGAAACCCCTGAGCATCGCCGGTTGTGACCCCAACAAAAAGAAAAAAAAACAATATAAAAAAATTTTTTTGCTGTTTTTGGCCGCACACAGCAATGCTTAGGGGGCAACTCCTGCCTCTGCACTCAGAAATAATTTCTGAAAGTGCTTGAGAAATCATATGGAGCGCCAGGGATCAGAACTGAGTTGATCATATGCAACGCAAGTGCTGTACCTGCTGTACTATCGCTCCAGCCCCATGTCCCTTAAGATTTCTGTAAATGAGAGCCAGAGAAAGAGCATTCAGGGGTCTCTATAACATCCCAGAGCACTGCAAGGAGCAGAGCCCCTCTCCCCAAGCACAGAGACGAGAATAGCCCCAAGCCTGACCAAAGTGACCCCAAAATAAACTATCAAAAAAGAATATAGGGGTTGGAGAGGTAGCACAGTGGGCAGGGCATTTGCCTTACATGTATCTGACCTGGGTTTGATCCCTGGCATCCCACATAGACCCCCAAGCACCGTGAGGAGTAATTCCTGAGCACAGAGCCAGAAGTAACCCCTTAGCACTGCTGTGTGACCAAAAACAAACACACACACAAGAATACAAAGTGGTTGGAGAGATAGTATAGCTGGTGCGTTCAATCCCCGACATCCCTCATGGTTCCCCGAGGCCAGCCCGGAGTAAGTTTGGGGGCCAGATTCTCCCCACCCCACCTCCACAAGGAATACAAAGACAATGCTGAAACAAGGCAGAGACCCAGGGGAGAAGGCAAAGGAGAAAATGGGCAAGCTGTCCACAGATGAGAGCCAAGAGACCAGCTAACGAGAGAAGCTGCCTAGGAGAGGGGCAGGGTGAAGTGCCAGCTTGGCTGTGTGGGGGAACCAAGTCTGCCCCATGCAGCGGATTCTGGATGTGCAGATAGGTCCAAGCAGGGGAGAGAGTGTGATGGGGGGGTGCAGGATTTCTAGCTTGGAAAAGAGACCCCTGGGTTGGACACTAGGGTTCTAGGGAAGGGAGAGAGGGAAGCCAGCTTCCTGGATCTTCTGCAGGCACTGACTTGCATCCAGCTCAGCGTGCGGCTCTCCCAGACTCATGGGGATGCGGAAGCCGGCTTGGTCCTCCTCCAGCATCTGAAGCAGCTCATCCTCCGTCAGGTCGGCCGGAGGAGGGATGGAGGGAGAGTGACAGATGTTGATGAAAACCTTTCCTTCAGAGGAGGTGGTCTTCACACAGAAACCTGGGCAAAATGGGTTGGTCTGAGCATCTCCAGCTGCTGGGTCGAGATCTCTAACCATCCTTCCCCACACTAACCTGCTGACCTGTTCCACTCTGTGGGTCTGTCCCCTTCCCAGCCCCAAATTCTGACATTAAGTCTATCTTGGAGTCTATCTCCGTCTCTATTAACTCCTATTCTTTCCTCATTCTCCTGGGTTTTTGCAATCTATATCACATCACACCCCGGAACCCATTATGGTGTTCCCCACTCCTCTCTGTGCCCCTCTCTAAGATTTATCCCTCTCTCTTTGGATTTCTGTCTTTCTCACCAGGCTGAGGTTGGATCTTTGTTGAGTCTTGTCTGCTCATTTGGGCCTGCTGGAGCTCCTTGGAGGCCTGTGTGAAGAGAAGCCTCCAGGTTTAACAGCTGTGCTATCAGATTCCTCATTTTCCCCGCAAGTTGAGCAGTTTTTACATATATGTGTCCCTTTGCTCCTCTGCAGAATCCTTAGCACCCCAATGCACCTCTCATTTCCAGAATTTAAGTAGCAAATTAAGTAACTACATTTCCCAGGGGCCCCACTGCCTCCCAGTGCATCATGGGAGCTGTAGTCCAGTCTCCCATGATGCAGACACGCAATCCCCCAAGTACTCAAAACCCAAAAGGACCCCAGAAGTCGCTCAGTCCGCACCTGCAGCAGTAGTTCCTCGAAACGCGCCGTCTCAGTGCCCGCTGTCTCAGCTTCGCTCAGCTCCGGCACTAGCAGCTTCGAGTCCGCCATGGCCCTGACCAAGAAACCTCGGCGTCCCCAGCAACCCTTTCCCGGGGAAACCTCCGCTGGGATCCGAACACCAGGGCCTACTCCCAACACTCAACTCTTCTGTTCGCAAACCTAAAAACTTAGTCACAGACTAAGATCCCACCCAGGACTGTTACCGTCCTCAATTCTATTGGGAGACAGTGGCTCTACGGTAATTCTCTCGAGCTAACGTGCCGAAAGCGTACACGCCAGCCACACTTCCTGTCTGTGTTCCAGAGTCGGGGAAGACACACTTCCCGTCAGCTTCAACCCTGATTCGTCAGTCTTGAGCCTACTTTCGGGCAACAACCAATCATAGTTGAGGTTCGAATTTCAGCCTGTTACAGCAACCAACCAAAACCAAAGACTGAGGCAGGTCCCTAAATGCCACAGTTCAGCTCCTGCATCGATTACAGGTACACTACAAGATCTGGGCGATAGTAAAAAGGATCAGGGAGCCTGGACTCGCGATCACCGCGAAGGTTGCAGTACCCAGCAGCGTCCAAAACTACCACTTTCCAAATGTTATTCAGTACCCGCCCTAAAATTCTATCAACCATAGCTGTCCCAGAGTTAGATTGACTTTACTGTATTTAAGGCTGAAAGCTATTTCTGTTTCCAACAGGTGCGGGGCGGCTGGAAAACGCCAGTGTAGAGACTTTCCTAAATCTGGCGCCCCTGCGCCCCAACATCCACACTTTCTCCCCGTTCCCCCGTTCTGAGGACTACGCATGCTCCGAACTACACTACCCAAAGAGAGGCAGTGGGCAGGGCCAGCGGGCCCCGAAGCGGTTTAACTCCTGTAGCTCCACCCTTTGGGCAGGAGGGGTGGTGCCGCCCTTTGGACCTCAAGGTTTCCCGGGGCAGAGCGCTCCGCAGTCTTGGTGGGAAGCAGCCAGGCAGGCGATGGCTGCCACGCGTGTAGAGTCCCGCGCCCGGGAGATCTTCACCTCGGTGGAGTACGGACCGGCCCCGGAGAGTCACGCATGCGCACTGGTGAGGGTAACCCCCCCACACTCCGTTTCATCCCTAGGGCGGGTTCCCGCGCCGACTCCCGTGATCCACCGCGGCGGGCCCGCCCTCCGGGAGCTGCGATTCGCGCCACCAGGAGCACACTCTGGAGCGGTCGCTCCCTCTGTCCCTTTGCCCCCTGGCGATCGTTCGCATTTCCTGAACTCTCTCGTGGCCTTTCCCCAATTCCTCAGGACCCCCGCGCGGCACTCAGAATCCCCACGGGCTTTTGGGGCTCTTCCAGAGAGTCTCAGAACGTATCCCCTTCTCCCTACTCCCCATGATTTTTCAGGATATCCTGTGGCACCCATGGTCCCCCGTCACCCCCCAATTCGTGTGGGCCTCCCGGGGTCACCCGGAGACCTCAGGTCCTCGCCGTAGTGCTCTGAGATTTCCTGGGGAACTCTCGAAACTCCCAAATACATCGGAATTCACTAATTCCCTACAGCCGTTCAGGATCTCCTCCTGAGCTTCCTGTGATCAGAGACTGTCATCTTTCAGAATGTCTTGGGGCTCCCATGGTTCTTCAGGGTGTACCCTCCCCTAAATCCAGATAAGGCGCCCATGACTGGCAGAGTACTTCAGAATACTGCCAGGGGACAGTCCTGAGCATCCCCCAGAACTCTTAGGCTTCTTGTGATTCAGTAAGGTTCTTGGAATTTCCTTTTATTGGCGGTGTGGGGGGGGGGGGGGGGACATGAACACTTGGTGCTCAGGGGTTACTCCTGGCTCTGCCACTCAGGAATTACTTCTTGCAGTACAGAGGGGATCGTATGGGGTGCCAGATATCAAACCAGATCAACTCAAGACAAGTGCCTTCCTCGCTGTACTATTGTTCCAGCCCAAGTTCGTGGGATTATCTGTACTTCCCAGGCCCTTCCAGATTGCTGTGGGTTCTCCCACAGCGCCTTCTCGCAGGAGAAGCCTGGGTCTACAGTGAGAGCTAAGGAGGCCATCACAGTGACCCAAGAGAAAACCGAGTGTCCAGAAGGGAAGGAGACAGGCAAGAGGAACCCGGTTTGAGGAACCGCTGAAGCAGCACAACTGCTGGCGTCAGCACCTGCCCCCGGGGAAAAAGCCTCTGAGATAGGTTCTCACTTGCACACAGTTCCAGGGGCCTGTGAACAACATGGGCAGGAGACAAGGACTCAGGTCTGGAGAAAGGGACTTTTGGGCATCTGTCACCACCTCCCCCCCATGCACACTATGCATTCCAAGATAGTTGAACCCTGAGAGCAAGACAATTATCTGAAATTATAGTGCGGACTCAGCTAAGGTTGAGGGACAAAGTACAGGAGAATCTCACACGTGGATGGTGCTGAGAGCCCAGATTTCTGCTGAGATGATGTGATCACAACTGACATGGGTCCGGCAGCCTCTAGCATAATCTCTTTCTGCAAAGAAGGCTGTGAGGGGCTGAGCGATAGTACAGCAGGTAGGGCATTTGCCTTGCATATGGCAAACCCCGGTTTGGTCCTCAGCATTCCTTATAGTCCCTTGAGAACACCACTAGGAATAATTCCTGAACGCAGAGCCAGGAGTAAGACCTGAGCATCTGTGGGAGTGATCCACAAAGGCAAAAAAAAAAAAAAAAAAAAGAAGAAGGAGGCTGTGAGAGGGCACAACTGACATTTTTTTTAATGTGAGTTCGTGAACAATTCCATGTAAACATCCGTGATTCCAGCTTGGAAATAAAATCCCAGAATTTGGCAACCTTTGGCTCTAGCTCTGTGACATAGATCATCTGGATCTTATCACCAGGGTGGTTTTTTGGACCAGACTTGAGTGCCTGCCTCCAACCAAAATGCTCTGCACTCAAGAGTGGCCTGCTGGGACCCTGGGGAACATTCTTGAAGGGTTTTGTTTTTCTTGGGGTGGAGAGGAGGAGAATTTTTTTTTTTTTGCAAACTTCCACAGAGCACTTAATATCATGAACTCCTGTTTACATAACATTCCGTTTCATCCATCAACCAACAATGCTCACTCCTAGGCTGTACCCCTTGATTGCACATCCCCCAACTTCTCTGACCACGATGGCAAGGCCAGATGGCACATTCATTTCTCAGAAATACTTGATCTCTGCTTTGGGACGTCACTGCCTTCCGCTTCCCTCCTTCCCTTTCCCAGCTGTTTCCCGAGTGACCTTGCCCCTGAGGGTCTTTAATCTGGGAGCCTCGGGGCTGAAGTGATAGTACAGCTGGGAGTGCGTTTGTCTTGCAGGGGGCTGACCCAGGTTTGATCCCTATCATCCTCTACGGTCCCCTGAGCACTGCCAGGAGTAATTCCTGAGTGCAGAGCCGAGAGTAACCCCTCAGCATTGTTATGCATGACCCAAAAAAGCTAAATAAATAAAAACGGGGTACCTCCAGCTGACCATTTCACTTTTTTCCACTTTATTTTTTATTTTTGCTCCCTTCCCCGTTTGCTTGTTTGCCTTCATTATTGTTGCAAAGGTGACTTGGCTGTGGTGCTTGCAGGGGTGTGGGGAGGGTGTGGGTGAAGGTGCCATGCTCCTTACCTTGGTGTGGTGCTCTCCAACTTGGTGTGATGCTCCCCAAGCTTGGTACTCTTTTAATGGTGCACGGGCACACAAAGGGTTTGCATCTGAGTCAAGGCACACAGTTATTCTTGGGGTGCTCACCGGAAATGGTCCCGAAAGTCCTTGCACATCTTTTTCGTTTGGGGTGCGTACTGGGGGGTACACCCCTTTTGTGGTATTGCTCCATACCTGCCTGCAGAGCAACCAGGAATTAACTTGCAGTGCCAGGGGTGGTAGCTAGGAGCTGCCAGGCTTGAGCAACAGAGCTCTTGGCAGCTTGTTCAGTGTATGTAGGCCGCTGGGGATTTGAACTCCAGACCATATGCTTATGAGGAAGGCGCTTGAGGCCCCTGCACTGTTCCTCCCGCCAGGAACATTTCACTTTCATGCCAACTAGGAGGCTCCAGCTGGCTGAAGCAGAGAAACTGGCATGAGGCAGGCCAAGAGTAGAGAGGGTTTGTAGACAGGGAAAAGGGGGAAGTGTGAGTTGCATTTAGCCATGACTTATGGAGACTGGGTTGAGGGAGAGGAAATTTGGGAGCAGGAATAGAGATGCAGATGTGGCCCAAAAAGCAAAAACAAGCAAAAAAAAGTGGAGATGCAGTAACGCTGGCAAAACTTTTCTTCTCCCATCTTCCCTTTCCTCCCCCTCAATTTTTGGCCCATACCCAGCAGTGCTCAGCACTTATTCCTGGCTTTGTACTGAGTAATCACCCTTGGAAGACCATATGTGGTGCTGGGGATCAGTCTTGCACAGTCTGCCATGTGCAAGACAAGTGTTTCCCGTATTGTATCATTTCTTTGACTATGCAGAACTTTTTTTTTTTTTTGGTGGGGTGGGCCACATCCAGCAATGCTCAGGGCTTACTCCTGGCTCTGCACTCAGGAATCATTCCTGGTGGTGCTTGGAGGCCATATGGGATGCCAGGGATCAAACTCAGTCAGCCATGTGCAAGGCAGGGGCCCAACCCACTGTATTCTCATACTGGTCCCATCGACAGATCTCCTTAAGTCAGCTTCTGTGAGCATTGACTTGGATTGATTTGTGGAATCTCACCAGGGACCCCCACTCCCCACTTTCCATAGCTATGGCCTTAGCTTAGTGGCCTCAACAAGAAAGTACCCACAGAGCCCAGATTTAACCCCAAGCCCCTAACTCCAGGAACCCCACACGTCGCTGCCTCTGGGGGCATACGTCGGATGCCCCTCCACCCCACCTCTGACTCAGCTATGCTTGACCTGTGTAGGCCACCTTACTCGTGTGGTGTAACTTAGGTGGACGTGGGACCCTGCAGGCTTCAAAGTTCCGCCACCCAGGGCTAAAGCGATAGTACAGCAGGTTGGGCTTATGCACGGCTGACCCAGGTTCGAATCCTCAGCATCCCATATCATTTCCCAAGCACTGCCACAAGTGATTCCTGAGTGCAGAGCCAGGAGTAACCTCTGAGCAGCCCTGGGTATGACCCAAAAAGCCAAAAGCAACAACAACAAAGTTCTGCTTCCCAGTGAGGACCTCATTCCTGGTGTGTGGGCATTGTCTCTGAGACTATAGCTAAGGGTAGGAGGTTTCCCCCAGAAAGAGCAGCACTTCCCCAAGGTGCGTCCCCGGGAGGAGATCCCTGGCCTCCCAGTTAGAAAGGCAGTTTCCCATCCATTCCTCCAAATTCGATGGTAGGAGCTCAGTGTTGGCCAAAAATAGGTGAGTGGCTCCCCGAGAAGTGACACAGTTGCCCAGAGGACCCTAGATATAAAGTAAAGTAAGTAAAGGCCCTCCCGTTGATCATCGATTTGCTCGAGCGGGCCCAGTAACGTCTCCATTGGAGACTTTGTTGTTACTGTGTCTGGCATATCGAATACGTCACGGGGAGCTTGCCAGGCTCTGCCGTGCGGGCGAGATCCTCTCTGTAGCTTGCCGGGCTCTCCGAGAGGGGCGGAGGAATCGAACTTGGGTCGGCCATGTTGGCTGCGTGCAAGGCAAATGCCCTACCGCTGTGCTATCGCTCAATAACTAGTTAGATGTCCACATTGAAACCTCTCATGAGAATGTTTGCTAGCAGTGAAAGGGCAGAAAGGGCTGGAAAACTAGTACACAGGGAAAGCACTTGCCTTGCACACAGCCAACCTAGGTATCACCCTCCACAGATACCTCCAGGAGTAATCCCTGAGCACAGAATCAGGAGTAAGCCCTGAGCACAGCTGGGTGTAGCCTCAAAACTCCACCCCAGGGGCCAGAGCGATAGCACAGTGGGTAAGGCGTTTGCTTTGCACGTGGCCGACCTGGGTTCGATCCCTGGCATCCCATATGGTCCCCCATGAATCGCCAGGAGTAATTCCTGAGCGCAGAGCCAGGAGTAACCCCTGAGCATCACTGGGTGTGACCCCCCCAAAAAAAAAAAACTCCACCCCAGGTGCTGGAGCAATAGCACAGCGGGTAGGGCATTTGCCTTGTACACGGCGGACCTGGGTTCAATTCTCATCATCCCATATGGTCCCCTGAGCACCGCCAGGGGTAATTCCTGAGCGCAGAGCCAGGAGTAAACTTTGTGCATTGCCGAGTGTGACCCAAAAAGAAAAAGAAAAAAAACTCTACCCCACTGAAAAAAAAAAGGGTAGAAATACCCCAAATGCCACCCAACCAAATGTGATTGACTTAGTTCTTGGAATTTGGTAGAACCATAAAAATATGAATTTCTGGAGACTGAAAAGTGGTTCAGGAGTTAAGGCACATGCTTGGCATATAGCCGACCTGGGTTCTATCCCTGACACCACATGGCCCCATAGGTACTACTGGGGACATGCTGGAGCTCCCATCACTGCCAGGTGGCTATGCCCAGCACCCTCAGGCCTTCTCCTTGAGCTGTCAGCCTGTTTGGATGAGAATTGCCTGATCAGGATGAGCCACTGGATATCACTTGGAAGGCCCCAAAATCCCAAAATGAAGAAATGAATTTTTTCTTTGCTTTTTGGGTCACACCTGGTAATGCTCAGGGGATACTCCTGACTTTGCACTCAGGAATTACTCCTGGCAGTGCTCGGGAGACCCTATGGGGTGCTAAGGATCAAACCTGGTGGCAACATGCAAGTCAAGTGCCCTTCTTGCTGTACCACTGCTGTGGCTCTAGTAGTTTATTTGTCACAGGACACAGGATTGGAAAGGCAGCATCTGGGTCATTCTGAAGCCATGACCTAGTGCCCTTTAGTCTGGTCACGGCATTGGCCACCCCCATTCATCACTGTCCAGTGATGCCCTGAGCACTGCCAAGCAGGGTCCAAAAACACAAAAAGAAAATACTAGAGCTGATGACCCCCAGGAGCCTTCCCCGGGGGCCGGGTAGGCATTGTGCCCCGTCAACTGTTTCCCACACTCCTGACCCACTTGTGTCCCTTCCTCCAGGCCTGGCTGGACACCCAGAACCGCCAACTGGGTCACTATGTGAATGGAAAGTGGCTCAAGCCTGACCGCAGGAGTACCGTGCCCTGCCAGGACCCTATCACAGGTGTGTGACACCCCCTGTTTCGCACCAGGAAGAGACTGAGAATTCTGATTGAGAATTGAGACTGGGGCTGGAGTGATAGCATAGTGGGTAGGGCGTTAGCCTTGCACAGCTGATCTGATCTGGGTGATCTGGGTTCAATTCCCAGCATCCCATATGTTCCCCTGAGCATGGCCAGGAGTAATTCCTGAGTGCATGAGCCAGGAGTAAACCCTGTGCATAATCGCTGGGTGTGGCCCAAAAAGCAAAAAAAAAAAAAAAAAAAGAGAGAGAGAGAGAATTGAGACTGAGAATTCAGCCTGATATGATCACTGATAATGCTGCCCTTGGAAGCCACTCTCTGCTGAACGTACCACCTCAGGGTGTGCTGCTCAGACTCAGAATCTGGAGTGATAGCACAGTGAGTAGGACATTTGCCTTGCATGTGGACAACCTGGGTTTGATCCCTGGCACCCCATCTGGTTTTCTGAGCCCACCAGCAGTGAGCCCCAGGCACTGTCAGCTGTAGCCACAAAACAAAACAGACCTTTAGGGAAACCGGCAGCAGTCTCAGCCCTCCCTTAGGCCTGGCAGGGGCCCCCATCTGGATGCCCCCTCTTCATCTTCCAGGAGAGACCTTGGCCACCTGCCTCCAGGCCGAGGCCCAGGATGTGGCGGTGGCTGTTGAGGCGGCCAGGACTGAGCTGGAGAATTGGAGCCATCTGTCCGGTGCCCACCGTGCCCAGCACCTGACCAGGTGAGGCAGTGGAGGTCTGAACCCCAGCAGGGTGGTGAGGGTCTTCATTCCCCCAGTATCTGCTTGAGATGGTGGAGCAGAAGCTCTTCCCAACCCTCCACAGAAGTAACTGGGAGCTGAGGCACGTATTTCCAGCTGCCTTTGAGTCTTTAGTGGCTCAAAAATCTACAGTTGGGCCTTGTACCTTGTAGATGTGAGGCCCTGGTTTCAATCTCTGGCACTGCCCTCCGTCCCCCCCCCCAAAAAAATATACTACCCTTGAGCAGAGAAACAGCTCAGTGGACTGAGCTCATTTGGGAAATCTGGTGTGATTCCTGATCACCAAGACCCTTGAGCAACACCAGCACCGCCAGGCATAGCCCCCAAAACAAAACAGATCCCACATTTGACCTTTCAACATTGTGAACAGCCAGATTTTATTCTACACAGACACTTAATCAATATGGTGCAGACCTAGGGCTTAATCAATATGGAGCAGGTAGGGCCTTTGCCTTTCATCTGGCTGACCTGAGTTCAATCCCTAGCTTACTGGATAGTTCCCTGAGCCCACCAGGACTGATCCCTTTGCAGAGAGGATCCCTGAATACCACCCAGGTGTGCCCAGTGTACCCCCCTCAAAAAAAATATAGGGGCTGGAGCAATAGGACAGTGGGTAGGGCGTTTACCTTGCATGCAGCTGACCCGGGTTTGATTCCCAGCATCCTATATGGTGCCCCCAAGCACCACCAGGAGTAATTCCTGAGTGCAGAGCCAGGAGTAACCCCTGTGCATCGCCATGTGTGACTCAAAAAGAAAAAGAAAAAAAGTAGTCCAAGCCTGTAAATATAGTTTATTTAACTTTTTGTCATTTTATTTATATATTAAATATATTTTTAGTTGAATCACTGAGATATACAGTTACAAGGTTGTTAATGGTTTGGTTTCAGTCATATGTTCTAACCAGTGTACATTTCCCACCACCAATGTCCCCAGTTTCCCTCCCTCCTGTCCCCTTGCCCCCCTGCTTCGATAGCAGGGGCAGGCACTTTTCTACTTTTCTTCTCTCTCTCTCTCTCTCTCTCTCTTTCTCCCCTTTTGACTTTTGAGCATTATGGTTTTCAATAGATACTGAAAGCTTATCATCTATAAGCCTTTACCTACTTTCAACACTCAGTTCTTAGTTCTTATCCAAAGTGATAATTTCCAACTGTCATTATCATAATGGTCCCTTCTCTATCCTAACTGCCTTTCACTTCCCATACACTTGTGACAATATATTTTTCTCTCCTCTGATGTTTATAGTTCTCTTTTCTCTGGAAGAAGCTTTGATGTGACAATACAGTATATAAGACACAGAACCCGCAAAGGTTGTGCTTGGCCACAGGTAGACTAAGGAGAAGTTCAGTTGGAGAGAATCAGGAATTATGTGAAGATTTCATTTGTTCTAGTTTTGAGACCACAACCAATGGTGCTTGTGCTTGGGGCCATTCCTGGCTCTGCTCAGGAGTGACCCCAGTTGTTCCTGAGGGATCCTCTTCAGGGCCAAAAAACACTTTTTCAAGACACAGAGATACCATTTCCCAAAATAAAATAGAGATGAAAGCTAGTCTTTCCTGCAAATCTGGGAGAGTCAGTTAACCAAGATACTGTGTGTGCGTGTGCATGTGTGCTTGCACGCGTGTGCATGCGTGTGCGTGTTCGTGTGTGTTTTTCTAGGACTACATTTCCCATAACTCTGGATCCCCAAAGGCTTCATGGGAGTTGTTGTTCAATGCACGTGTAACGAGAGTTCTCAGGCCTGGGGACCCTGAGAAATGACCATCAACCTTGCTTTCTCCACAGGCTGTCCAAGGTGATTCAGAAGCACCAGCGGCTGCTATGGACCTTGGACTCCCTGGTTACCGGGCGGGCAGTTCGTGAGGTTCGAGACAGAGATATCCCGCTGGCTCAGCAGCTGCTTCAGTACCATGCAGTCCAGGCACACAGCCAGGAGGAGGCGCTGGCAGGCTGGGAGGCCGTGGGTGAGCAGCCAGGGCTTCCTGCAGCCCTGTCCTCCATCCTGAGTCAGCCCCAAGAACCCCATGTTCTTGTTCTTTCAGGGGTCATCGGCGTCATCTTGCCACCCACGTTCTCCTTCATCGAGATGATGTGGAGGATCTGCCCTGCCCTCGCTGTGGGTAAATGACGGGCTCAGAGCCGAGACATGTTCAGTGGGCTGGAGTGTGGGCACCACACACAGGAGGCCCTGAGTTCGATCCCCCACCACCACAAAGCCAGGAATAGTTCCTGAGCACCACTGGGGGCGTGCCTCCCCCAAAAACAAGCCAACAAAAAGATGGGCTCAGTGTTGATCCCTGGGTCTGTGGGAGGACGGGCCTGGGCTAGAGGAGGAGGTGTGCAGGCCTCGGGATTCCTGGGTCTGAGGGAGGAGGCATCCAGGGCTGGCTGGATTCCTTGGTTTGAAGGAGGCAGCAAGCAGGCCTCAGTTTGAGGGCTGAGACTCCAAAACCCTTAGCCGCCTCCTTTCCAGGCTGCACTGTGGTGGTGCTCACACCCCCAGACTCGCCGACACCCCTACTCCTGGCCCAGCTGGCGGGGGAGCTGGGCGCATTCCCAGGGGTCCTCAACGTGCTCAGTGGCCCGACCTCCTTGGGGCCCATCCTGGCCTCCCAGCCTGGAGTCCAGAAGGTGGCCTTCTGCGGAACTGTCGAGGTATCTTCGGGGCGGGAGAAAGACGGGGGACCTCGTGGGGTTCTGGAAGGCCCTACCCGCAGCTCATTGAGCATGGTGACGGGCCCGCAGGACGGACGTGCCCTTCGGCGGAGCGTGGCAGGCACAGGGGCTGAGTTGGGACTGACCCTGGGCACTGAGTCTCTGCTGCTGCTGACCGACACAGCCGACGTGGACTCAGCCGTGGAAGGCGTCGTAGATGCAGCCTGGTCTGACCGCAGCCCGGTAAGGCCACATACTCCGGTGTGTCCTCAGACCTGGAGCGCCCTGTCCCTACTTATTTGGATATTCTTTTTTTTTTTTTTTTTTTGCTTCTTTTGGGTCACACCTGGTGGTGCACAGGGATTACTCCTGGCTCATGCACTCAGTAATTACTCCTGAAGGTGTTCAGGGGACCATATGGGGCGCTGGGAATCAAACCCGGGTTGGCCGTGTGGGAGACAAGTGCCCTACCCACTGTGCTATCACTCCAGCCCCTGGATATTCAGTTCTTCGTGTCCCCAAACTGTCTATATATGTGACTTTGATTCAGCGACTTTCCCAAACTCCAGTCGCTGCACGGAACCTAGGACCTTGGGCATCTCTGGGGCCTCAGCCACTTCTCCCTGGCCCAGTCTGTGGGCACTGAGTTTGCCCACTAGATGCCTCTCTCCCTTCCAGGGTGGCCTCAGGCTTCTCATCCAGGAGTCCGTGTGGAATGACTGCATGAGGCGGCTCCAGACTCGCATGGCACAGCTGAGGGCTGGCCGAGGGCTGGACGGGGCCGTGGACATGGGTGCCCGAGGGACTGCCATGTGGGGTCTGGCACAGCGTTACATATGTGAGGCTAAGAGCCAGGGGGCACAGGTAGGTAGAAGACAGGGATTTCTCGGGGGAGGGCTGGACCTCCATGTCTGAGGGAGGAGACAAAGGGATTAGAATTCCAGATCTGAGGGAGAAGGAGCTGGGGGTCTGGACTCCTGGGCGTAGATCCCTGGGTCTAAGATAGGAGGCGCTGGGCCCAGATGCTAGTTTGAGGGAGGAGGCACTGAGCCTGAACTTTCTTTCTCTTCCCAAGGTGTTCCAGGCTGGTGATGTGCCCTCGGGTAGCCCGTTCTTTCCTCCCACCTTGGTCTCTGACCTGCCCCCTGCTTCCCCGTGTGCTCAGGCAGAGGTGAGGCCTTTTGCTCCCAAGAGTCCCAAAGATCTTCTGCCCCCCTGCTGCCCCTCCAGAGGCCTCTGTGGCTGGGGTGTTGGGGGGAGGGGCTGCCCAGATCTTAGTACCCCGACCCTTTCCAGGTGCCATGGCCAGTGGTGTTGGCCTCCCCATTCCGAACTGCCAAGGAGGCTCTGGCGGTGGCCAATGGAACCCCCCGGGGAGGCAGTGCCAGCGTGTGGAGCGAGCGACTGGGCCAGGCCCTGGAGCTGGGCTACGGGTCAGTTGGCATAGCGGGGGCTCTGCGGGGGGGGGGGGTCCCCAAGCAGCAACTCCTATTCTGATGGCCCCTGCTGGCCCCTAGCCTCCGGATGGGTAGCGTGTGGATCAACGCCCATGGCCTCCGGGACCCTGTAGTGCCCACAGGTGGCTGCAAGGAGAGTGGGTCCTCCTGGCATGGAGGCTCAGAGGTGAGGCCCCACATCTGCCCTTCACCCTCTGCCCCCTGGGTTGCCCACCTAGCACCCTTCTGACACAGTAACCCACAGGGCCTGTATGAGTATCTGCAGCCCGCGGGCACCCCTGCCCTGCTGCCCGTCGTTCCCGAGAATCTGGATTATGACGCTTTTGGCCTCTCAGTATCCTCTGCCCTTCCAGCGGGGCCTGAGACCGGGCCCAGGTGAGCTGTGCCAGCCGCACCCCTAGGATGCCTGCTGGGGGGTGGGGTGATGAGGGGGAAGGCTGTGGCTGCTGCCTCTAGGTTGAAGGGGTTTGTGGGAGCCAGCAGGGGACCTCCAAGACCTGAGAAGTGCATATTGGGGCTAATGAACTCACCCCCATACCCTTCAAATATCCCCCAACCTGGTGAGAGTTTCAGTTTATGGTCTTCCAGAGATCCAGAAGGCCAGAAATTTGAGGTCCCTCAGACACTCATGGGAGCAGGAATTTGAGGCCCCAAGATGCTGATGGGAGCAGGAGTTTGGGGGTCCCAGAGGCTGATGGGAGCAGGAGTTTGGGGGCCCCAGAGACTCATGGGAACAGGAGCTTGAGGGCCCCAGAGGCTTATGGGAGGGAGAGCTTGGGTCCCCAGAGGCTCAGTGGATTGAGGCCTGGGGTCCAAGCATACCCTGGTCTCAGGACCCATCCTCATGCCTTGACCTACTCTAGCCCAGCACCCCCTTATGGGCTCTTCGTGGGAGGCCGTTTCCAGGCACCTGGGGCCCGGAGCTCGCGGCCCATCTGGGATTCACAGGGTCAACTCCATAGTTACGTGGCTGAAGGCGGAGCCAAGGATATCCGGGGGGCTGTGGAAGCCGCCCATCAGGCCGCCTCTGGGTAAGTAGGGGTGGGGAGGGTCACTGGGGAAAGCCCAGGGGTCCTGGAAGGCTAGTCAGGGATCACCAACATCTGATGGAATATGGGGTCTGTCTTTGGGGTCTGGGATCCCAGGTCTGAGGGAAGAGGCTGGGGGTCTGGGTCCCAGGGTCTGTGGGAGGAGGGACAGGGCAGCAACGAGACAGCTAAGAGAGCCGCCGCAAGATGCTGACCCAGTGTGCATCGCTCCCCCAGGTGGCTAGGCCGGTCCCCGGAAACACGCAGGGCGCTGCTTTGGGAGCTGGCAACGGCCCTGAAGCGCCGGGAAGCGGCGCTGCTTGCCCACTTGGAGTGGCACGGAGTGGGGCCCACGGCCGCCAAGGCTGAGGTGGAGCTGAGCATCAGGCGACTTCGGGCCTGGGGGATGCATGCACAGGCCCCAGGGCAGACCCTGCAGGTGAGAGGGAGAATTCACAGGACGGGGTCAGCACTCTGAAACCACCAGGCTGGGAGCTCCAGCCCAGCCCACTGTCTCCCATGGCCAGGATCACCCAGCAGAGATCTCACTTCTCTACCCTCGGTTTCCTCATCTATAGAATAGGCCTCTGACCCATTACCCAGTCCCCAAAAGTCAACTGCGTTCATCACAGCCTTGGGTTTTCTTTCCTTTTGTGGAGCTGGAGATTGGGCACAGGGCCTCCCTCACGCACGGGAGGCTAATGCTCTGCCAAGCTAGATTCCCTGCCCAACTTGCTTTCTTTTTTGGTTTTTGAGCTATGCCTGCTGGTGCTCCGGCTCAATCCCTGGGCTCCTGCATGGGACAAACAAACAAACAAACAAACAAACCACAAACTTTTGAGCCCAAAATACACACACACACACGCACTACACACACACACACACACACACCTCTACAACCACAGCCTTGGGCTGTTTTCCGTCTGAGTCCTCTCCACATAGAAATTCCTTTTAGGGCTGGAGTGATAGTCCAACAGGGAGGGCATTTGCCTTGTATGTGACTGACCCAGGTTCGATCCCCAACATCCCCATGCACCAGGAGTAATTCCTGAGTGCAGAGCGCAGTGTGAGAGAGCGAGGAGTAACCACTGAGCATCACAGGGTATGACCCAAAAAGAAAAAAAAGAAAAAAGAAAAAGAGAGAGAGAGAGAGAGAAATTCCTTTTATCCTAACAGCGTGTCTCTAAGGTAGGCACTATTTTTAACCACTATTTTTTTTTCTTCAGTGTTCTGGGCCCAGGTGCCACTCATATGTAGTGTGAGAGATCAAACCTGGGTGAGCCAGGTGCAGTCTAAGTGCCTAAAACTTCTGTACTATCTCTCCAGATCCATATGTTCATTTTTTGTTTTGGGGGTACACCTGGCAGTGCTCAGAACTTACTCCTGGCTCTGCACTCAGGGATCACCCCTGGTGGGGCTCAGTGGAGCCCTTGTGTGCCGGGTATTGAGCCCAAGTCAGCAGCATGCAAGGCAACTGTCCTACCCACTGTGCTATCTCTCTGGCCCCCGTACAGTCATTTTAAAGATGATGTTACTGGGGCCAGAGAGAGCTCAAAGGGTCAGTCATGTCCATCACATGCACAAGTACCAGCATCACATGATCCCCAGCTACTGCCCGGAGAAACCCCCAAGCACCTCTGCAAAAACCAAAAAAGAAGGGCCGGAGAGATAAGGGCAGGAGTAAGCAGTGAATGCCACTGGGTTTGGCCCCCCCAAAAACAAAACAATAACATCAAATTGGGGAAACTGAGATTCAGAAAGGTAAAGAACTTGCTCAAGTTTGCACTGCCCAGGAGTCGCTGGTGTCAGGCCTCAGTAGGCTGTGTTCTGATTGGGATATGAGCTGGGAAGGTGAAGACTGAGGTGAATGTGGAAAGGGGCGGGTCACCGAGGAGGATAACAGGAGCTGGGCAAGGTCCCCAAGTCCCTGCAACCCATGATCTCCCACTGTGCTGCAGGTGGCCGAGCTGCGAGGCCCTGTGCTCCAGCTGCGGGAGCCCCTGGGTGTCCTGGCTATCGTGTGCCCGGATGAGGGGGCGCTGCTTGCCTTCGTGTCCTTGCTGGCCCCTGCGCTCGCCTGCGGCAATGCAGTGGTGGTGGTGCCCAGTGGCACCTGCCCCATCCCCGCCTTGGAGATCTGCCAGGTACAATCTCTTGCTTCTTGCAGAAAAGGGGTCCCTGAGCCTCCCATCCCACCCCCAGGCCTTCAGGGAGCTCCACAGCCACTGCCCTCCCAGCTGCGCCCACTTCCTTTCTCTGGCCCTGCCTGACCCACTCTCACTAGGAAATGGCCAACTCGATGCCAGCGGGCCTGGTGAACGTGGTGACTGGAGACAAGGACCACCTGACCCGCTGCTTGGCCCTGCACCAGGACGTCCAGGCGCTGTGGTATTTCGGATCTGCCCAGGTACCCTCAGCTCTGTCCCTTTTTTCCTGTCTTCCACTTCAGCCCACCTGACTCTTCTTGTCCTGGGGAATGAGGCCCCGCCCTCTTACCCACCCCGTTGCTAAGCAGGGGAGACTTCCTGGTAACCAGGTTATGAGGGCCTATCCCTTTAGCTTGCTGGTTGCCAAGGAAACACATCTCCTTAGCAACGAGGGTCTGTGATTCCACCCCCTCCCAAGTACCTCATCTCATTGGACAGCGTGTTGCTAAGGACCACACCTTAGCTACTTACTCTGTTGAGTAGGAGATTCAGTGTGGTCTCAGAACTCCTGATCAGCAAACCCCTTTGCCTCTGGGTTATTCAAATGGTGAAGGAGCCCCTCTTCCCGGGGCTGACCTCAGTCTGCCCAGCATCTGCAACTTTCCTTGATAGAAGGAAAGTGTTCCAGCCCAGGGCCAAGCCTCCTTGTGGCCCCTCCTCATGAGTGGCACCTGTTACTAAGGAGGCAGCTGCTTAGCAACTCACCATTGGTAGTCCTGACAACCCCCCCTCCCCCATTCCAGGGCTCCCAGTTTGTGGAGTGGGCCTCGGCAGGAAACCTGAAGCCCGTGTGGGTGAGTCGGGGCCATGTGCGGGCCTGGGACGAGGAGGCCCAGGGAGCAGGCCCCGAACTGGGGAGGCGGGCCACACGCACCAAGGCTCTGTGGCTGCCCATGGGGGACTGATGGAGGAGATGCCCCCTGCCCATGGCACACACCTGGAACCTTCCTCGCTTCCCCTGCCTGTGCCCTCCAATAAACTCTCATCAACTGTGACTGTGCTTGTTTTGGGACGAGGAAGGGGTGGCACAGCGCGTCTGGGCTGTTAAGGCCACTTTTGTTCTGACACTCAGTGGCCCTGTGTCATCCTGGCCCTAGGCCCATCTGGTATTTGGGAGCCTGATGAAGAGATTCAGACCCCAGGGCAGGGCCGGGTTCCTGCTCTGTGGTTTCCTCTGCCTGGGCATTGATATCAGGAAACATATTCGCTCTTTGGAAACAAAAGGCCTGGCAAAGGGTGCAGGAAATGGCTTAGCCTTAGCGGCCTGGAACACCTGCTTTGCATGTAAGAGCCCTGGATTCAGGAGCTAGAGAGAGAAGACATGGGGGAGGGCGCACCTGCTCTACTTAGATTCAATGCCTGGCACCCTATGTGATCCCCCAAGAACTGCCAGGAGTCATTCATGAGACAGAGCCAGGAGTCACCCCGGAGCATTTGCCAAGTGTCGTTCAAAAACAAACAAGAAAAAAGCCCCTCCCCAATACCACTGGCCTCCGCCCAAGCCCTGTTGCATGGGTTTTAGGGTCACTCCCAGCTCTCGAAGACCCACTGTTTACACAGTTCTTAAACTGTCTCCCGCATGTGATGAATCCTCTTAGGTCCTTTGAGCCATCGCCCCCTGCGCAGACATCCCTGATTTTTTTTTTTTGAGGTGGGGCATACGCAGCGGGGTGCAAGGCTTACTCCTGGCTCTCCATTCAGGGATCATTTCTGGTGGGCTCAGGGGTGCCAGGGATCTAGCCCAAGTCTGCCACATGCAACCAGCACCTTACCCACTCTCCTATTGGTCTGGGTCTGTATCTTTCCCAGCTCAGGACTTTCCCAGCTCAGGGCCTGCCCACTCAGCCTCTTCATCCCACAGGAAGCAGGACCTGAGGGTGCCCTCAAGAACCACAGCGGCAGGAACCAAAACAAGACTGTTTTGAGGGGGCCGAAGCGATAGCACAGCGGGTAGGGCATTTGCCTTGCACATGGTTGACCCGGGTTCGATTCCTAGCATCTCATATTGCCCCCAAACAGTGCCAGGAGTAATTTCTGAGTGCAGAGCCAGGAGTAACCCCTGAGCATCGCTGGGTGTGACCCAAAAAGGAAAAAAAAAAAAGAAGAAAAAAAAAAGACTGTTCTGAGATCTGCTCTCCTGGACCTCCTGGATGCTCATCAGCTTCATCCAGATCTTTCCAGCTGTGTGACTTTAGGAAAGCTGCAGCCTTGGCTTCCTTATCTGTGAAATGGCTGAAGAGCCCCAGCTGCCTTATACTGGCTCAGCGTGTAGGCGGGGATACTTCCTGTGCTGAGGTTTGCTTTGATCTTTTGATTACACCCAGTGGTTCTTAGGGGTCACTCCCCAGCAGTGTTTGGGGGATCAGGTGCCAGGGATGGACCTTGAGTGCAAAGCCTCTGAGCCATCTCCCGGCCTGCCTAGCCCGCCTTGAGCAATGTGTGCTATCCTGGGCAAATGAGGGCATCCAGTCAGTATTTGACTGGACAGAGGGGATGACCACTCTTGGGATCTGGACATGAGAGTGAGAGCATTGGAGGAAAGTCCCTAAAAGATTCCAGTTCCTCTCAGTGACCTGACAACTCCTTTCTACTTCTGTGGGCTGCCAAAGTGACCTTCCCTTTGATCTGTGGCTTCAACCATTTCAAACCAATGACCCAAGAAAATTGTGTGTGTGTGTGTGTGTGTGTGTGTGTGTATTGGGAGGCAACACCGGCTATGCTAAGGGGTTACTCCTGGCTCTGTGCTCAGGGACCACTCATCTCCACGCTGAGGGACCTTATGAGATGCGGGGGATCAAACCCAGATAAGTCACATGGAAGGCAAACGCCCTCCCCACTGTCCTATCACTTTGGCCCTAGATCAAGAATATAACTTAAGGGGCTGGAGCAATAGGACAGCAGGGAGGGCATCAGCAGGGAGGGCATTTTTGCCTTCATGCGCCAACTGGATTTGATCCCCAGCATCCCACAGGGTCCTCAGAGTCACACCCTCAGGTCTGGCCCCAAAGCCAAAAAGTAAAAATCAAAGAAAAAAAAAGAATGGAATGTTACTTCAGCTTAGACCTCTGAGATTGTCCACCAGGGCCCCCTAAGGAGAGATGTGATTGACCAGCATGGGTCAAGTGTCCACCTCTTTCCCGCCCAGTCAGGTCTGGAGTTGGTCCAGTCAGCCATAAGGTGCAGGTGTGCCTGGTGGCAGCCACCACCCACCTGGATCAACAAGCGTGGCGCCAGCTCCAGGTGAGAAGGTGCTTTGGGTGTGGGGCAAGCAACCGGGAACCAGGTGGAGAATTGGCTTCCAAGGACGGAATTCAGAACAGGCACCTTGGGGTCCCGAAGGGGCATCAGCAGGACTGTCTTCCTTTCCAGCGTGGTAGGAGCTTTTGCCATGCTCACAGGCTGCCTGTGTCCCTCGGTTTGTGGCCATGTGGACTTCAAAACCAGCGATGGGGACCAAGTTCAGCAGGGGAGGACATTTGCCCTGCACATGGGGTTCAATCCCCAGCATCACATGGACCCTGAGTCCTGCCAGGAGTAACTCCTGAGTTTAGAGCCAGGAGTAAGGGGCTGGAGTAATAGCACAGCTGGTAGGGCGTTTGCCTTGCATGGAGCTGACCCGGGTTCAATTCCCAGTATCCCATATGGTCCCCTGAGCACCACCAGGGGTAATTCCTGAGTGCAGAGCCAGGAGTAACCCCTATGCATCGCTGGGTGTGACCCAAAAAGAAAAAAAAAAAAAACAGAGCCAGGAATAAGCCATGAGTGTCGCCTGGTGTGACAACCCCAGAAATCAAAAACCAAACAGACCAACAAAAGCAGTCAGCATGCACCATGCTGGGCTGCAGAGACAACCCCCAGCTTCGTGGGGGGGAGGTGAGTCAACAGAACTAAAATGTGCCTTTCTTGCTGATTGCCTGCTTGCATGGTGCCGGGGACCCCCTGCTTATCAGAGCTCCCAGGGGCCTCCTAAATGCTTGGGAGTGGCCAGTCCGCTGCCCAGTTCTCCACTCATCACATCAGCCAAAGTGGGTCATGTGAGCCCTCACATTCCCCAGGGTGGGGCCCAAGAATCCATCTGATGCCTGCAACAGTGAGAGGTCTAGGACAAACCAGAGATATTCAGGAAACTTCTGGATGAAACTGCATGTGGGAGAAACCTTATATTTTGTCTCATTTCCCCTACACCCCACTTTACCCCAATTTGGGATAGAAAAAAAATAAACAAGACACAGGGCATGGGGGCTGGAGTGATAGCACAGCAGGCAGGGCGTTTGCCTTGCACGTGGCCAACCCAGGTTTGATTCCCAGCATCCCATATGGTCCCCCGAGCACCGCCATGAATAATTCCTGAGTGCAGAGCCAGGAGTAACCCCTGTGCGTTGCCGGGTGTGACCCAAAAAGCCAAAAAAAAAAAAAAAAGACACAGGACATGGAAGTAATCAAGCTCCCAAAGCCACAGTGAGGGCTGAACACCTGCCGGCTCCTGTGTGCCAGGGTCTGTGTGCTAGCATCTGGGAGAGTGAAGCAGAGTAGCGCCCATGCCCTCCAGGGAGGAGGGAGGGAGAAGAGCCACTGTCCCTTACTCTTGGGAGTGCTGGTGGACTGTATGTGATGCCAGGGATTGAACTGGGATCAGCCATATGCAAGGCAAGTGCCTTAACTTCTGTATTATCTCTCCAGTACCTCCATTACTTTTTGTGGGAGTATTCTGGGCCACACTCAACAATGCTCAGGAGTTACTCCTGGCTCTGTGCTCAGAAATCACTCCTGGCCTTGCTTAGTAAACCATATGTGGTACCGGGGATCGAACCTGGGTCAGACGTGGGATTCAAACCAGCATGGCTGCAACCACATGCAAGGTAAGTACCTGAGCTCTGGACAGTCTCTCTGCTCCCCTGGTACGTGTTTAGGTACTTCATTCTCTTTGCCCCGTGAACCCCATTTTCTCCACTACTGCCCCAACTCCTAACAGACCCCATCCTACTCTCTGCTTCTATGTGTATACTTTGGGGTCACACCGAGTCAGTAGTGCTCTGGGGCTATTCCCATTTTGGTTCCCAGAAGGTGCTCCCAGCAGTGTTCTGGGGACCATCTGGTACAAGGGGTAAAATCCGGGCCTCCTGTATATCATCTCTCCAGCCCATGTCTGTTTGCTTGCTTCTGGTCACTGTGCTCAGAGGTCACTCCTAGCAGTGCTCAGGAGACCATATGTGGTGCTGGGGAGCTAAGCGGGGGTGGCGGTACCAGCCAGAGGGAAGTGCTCTACCCCTGGACCATCGCTCCAGCCCTCAAGTCCACGTCTTTTTCTGGTTCCCCATAGCAGGAGGCCTTCTGCTGCTTCCAGCACTTTTCTGTCCCGACTGACTCCTATCCGCTCGAGTCTAGACCAGTTTCCTTTCCGCCCCATTGGCAGATGGACACGTAGGTTGTTTCCAGGCCTGGGCGATTGTGAATAAAGCGCTAGTGGGCGTTAGGGCTGTGGGTATCTCTTCAAGATAGGGACTCAGAAGCCAGATTGCAGCCCGTATAGTAGCTCTATTATTTATTTTTGCTGCACTCTCCACCCTGTCTTTTGTCCCAGTAACACTATTTTTATTTAATTTTTTGGGGGGAGCCACTCCCAGCAGTGCTCAGGAGTTCCCCTGTCTCTGCACTCAGGAACCACTCCTGGCAGTGCTTGGGGGACCGGATGTCGGGGATTGAACCTAGGACAAGCATCTGCAAGACTAATGCCTGACCCATTGTGCTCTGTCTCCAACACCATCTTTGCCCTCTCACCCTCAGAGTGCTGGGCTTCCCTTTTCACCACATCATTGTTAGGGCATCACCCGCACTTCTAGTCTTCTTTGGTTTGATTTTGGTTTGGGGCATTGTTTATGTTTTAGTTTGTAGGCCACACCCAATGGTGCTCCTGCCTCTGTGCTCAGTAACCATTCCTAGCCTGGCTCTGGGGACCTTCTTTGGTGCCGGGGATCTAACCTGGGTGAATCACATGCAAGGCCAGCACTGCTAGCCCCTTTACTATCTCTCTGGCCCTCTTTCGTTCAGAAGGGCCAGTCTGCCAGAGGGAGAGGGTTTTACCTAGTGCCTCTGATTTGCATTTTCCTGAAGATTGTCTAACGATTGCATTGAGACTGCTCTGTTGAGAGCATCCCAGGCCAAGTGCTCTAAGAGAGAAGTCAATGCCCCCCGCTTCAATGTAAGCTTGGTGGAGAATGCACCCTTGGCCAAGTCACCATCTTTTTTTTTTTCTTTTTGGGTCACACCCGGCAGTGCACAGGGGTTACCTCCTGGCTTTCCACTCAGGAATTACTCCTGGCGGTGCTCAGGGGACCATATGGGATGCTGGGAATCGAACCTGGGTTGGCCGCGTGCAAGGCAAATGCCCTACCTACTGTACAGTCGCTCCAGCTCCCCAAGTCACCACCTTTATCCCCAAATCGCTCTGGGTTATTGAGGAGGAGGGACCCCTACAGCTAATAGTTGTTCTTTCTTCTTTTTTTGTTTCTGGGTCACAACCAGCGATGCTCTGGGATTACTCCTGGCTCTCATATGGGATCCAGGGATCGAACCTGGGTCAGCCTCATGCGAGGCAAGCTGCCTCCCTGTTGTATTATCGCTCCAGCCCTGACAGTTGTTCTTGCAGACAGATGAGGAGGCAACGAGGAGATGGCTATCTAGAGGCTGGACTCTGGGGACCAGAGGCCAGGCAACTCAGTTTCTCGACCCCTCCTCTTCCCAGAGGCTGGAGGTTGGAGGACAGGTTGGGCTGGGATTCTGGTTTCAAAGCCCCAGTCCTCCACCATGTGATCTTTCAGGCCCTATGAGGCCAAATCCTGAGTCACCATTAGCATAAACTCAGGTGTGGCCCTGGTACCTGTCCCTTGAATAACAAAGATCACTGACTGGGGAAATTCCTAGAGGTTATCTTCCTTGGGACTGACCAAGTTCTAGCATATTCTATCGCTGGATCCTCAGGTAGAAGCCAAGAGGCAGCTGACATGCACTTGTTTGTCCTTGAACCCAGGTCAAGCTCCCACTAGGAGTCACAAGTGATCCTAGGCGCTAGAGGGCCAGTGGGGTAACCAGACCCCAACTCCGCCCTCCTGGAGAGGCTCATGAATGGGAACCAGGGATTGTGAAAAGAGAAGTAAATTGTGGCGTGTCAGCAGAGACTAGGAAGCAGGACAAGACCCAAGCAGGGGTGAGTAAGAGTGTGGGGGAGGTGGGAGGGGCATCACCATTTGAAAATGGAGAGACCAGAATGATGCCTTGGGCATCTGAATCCAGACCTGAATGAAATGAAGTGAACCTTGTGGGTTCCTGGGGGATGGTTGTTCTGGTTGAGGGGACAGTATAGGGTGGTTTACCCATGTGACCCAAATGAAGAGGGATGCTGGGGAGGGAGGGGGCTCTGGATCAAATCCAGCAGGCTGGCTATAGATTTGGCTTAGATTATGGGGTTAGGGAGAGTCTGGTGCTGAGAAGGGACAGGAGCTGGGGTTTTCCAGACTCTCCCAGTCTGGGGGTGGGGAGTTGAGGAGGTTACAGTGATCTTTCTGTCTTCAGATGGGAGTTGGTGGTGCCAGGAGGCGGGTGCTGGTGGCAGGGGTGAGGGAGAACTGGCACCTTCCGGCTGTGTTTTGCTCCTGGCACCGCTTTGTCTCTGGTCAGAGCTGGTGGCCAATGCTGGCTGAAGGGATCATGGACCGATAGAAGCAGCATCACCTGCCTTAATGTCTGGAGGGGTCAGGGCAAGAGTGGAGAGTTTAGAGTCATTTGCCACTTGCCACTTTGGTTCTAGCAGGAGGCAGATATACTCCCTGCGAGGCCCCATTCTCTGCCCACCAATCTCAGCCCTCTAGAGTTCCAGCCCCCCGCCATGATCGCCACCAGGTGGTGCCCTTCCCCCCCAGATCCACCCCGCTCTCCCTCTTCTCCCCCCCAAATTCCCTTTCACTTTCGGTCTCCCGTTGTCAGTCCAGCTGGGGCAAGGCTAGTGCGTGCGGAGAAATGGGCTCCTGTTTCCCGAGGGGCGGGGTGGCGCCCCTCACTTCGGGCTGAGGGAGGAGGCATGGGGAGTACGGGTTCCTGGGTGCCTGGCCTGGGGAGGGTTCCGGGGACCGGACGTCGGGGTTCTTGGAAGGAGAGATGCGGAGTTTACAGCATAACTGGGGCTCACTCAGGAAGCCCGAGGGGGTGGGAGGCGGAAACTTGGCCACATCAAGGGGCCGTGGGAGGGGCGGGGAGGTGACGGGGTGGCTGAGGAAAGGGCTGGGTTGCAAGGGTCCGAACCTCGCTCTTCTGTCCCCCGCAAGATCTGGCCACAGGCATGAGGGGTCCCCGGCAGAGATGATACTGCTGGCGCCAGCCTGGAGCGCAACAGTGCGTATATTGGGGGCCGGGAGTAAGGGGAGCTGAGCCCAGGTGGTACTGACAGTGGGGAGATGGGCTGAGGTGGGGGAGAAGGAGGCTGCAACGCGAGGGATGGGGTGGGGGCGGGGGCGGGACAGGCAGGTGGAGGGGGACAGTGCTGAGGGGCGGTCACGGGGGATGGAGTTGGGGATCCAGCCTGGGATGAGAGGCAGTGAGGAAAACAGGGTTTGGCCACAGCCAGAGCCCCACGGACGAGGTCCCAACGCTGAGGTCAGTGGGGTGAATCCCGGGGTGTGGGTGCGGGAGCGCTGTGAGGGGGGCTGTTTGCAGAGGTGCTGGTACCCCACCGCAGACCCCGCTGCTGCTGCTGCTGCTGCTGAGCCCCGGCCTTCGCGGGACCCCGGATTGCTCTTTCCAGTACAACCCCATCTCCTCCACCTTCACGGCCACCATCAGCAAGCTGGTGAGGTGGTGCCTCGCCCCTTTCCAGGCTGGTGTGGGGGCCCTGGGTGTGAGGTACTCCTCTCTGGATCCCCATCCCTCGGTTTCTGGTATCTGGACGCTGCAGGGATCTCCGTCCCCTCACCAGCACTGATCCGGTTCCTCCTGCAGGCTGACTACCTGCTCCAGGACTACCCGGTCACAGTCGCCTCCAACCTGCAGGACGTGAGTCAGACGGGAGGGGCGTGAGATGGAAATGGGAAGGAGAGACTCAGGGATTTAAGGGATTTTGCTGAACACCCCACCCCTCTCTCTGGGGGCCCTCAAGGCCCCGCCCCTTTCCCAGGTATCCCCGCCCCGTCTCTGAGGCTCCGCCCCCGACCGAAAAACCCCGCCCCAATCTATGATGCCCCGCCCCACCTCTGCTTCGTGAGTTCCGATTGGTTTGTCGTCCCCCCGCCCCACCCCTCAGGACGAGGTCTGCGGGGCCTTCTGGAGGCTGGTCCTGGCCCAGCGCTGGATGGGGCGCCTTAAGTCTGTGGCGGGGGCCCACATGCAAGAACTTCTGGAGGCGGTCAACACCGAGATCCATTTTGTCACCTCATGTGCCTTCCAGGTCAGCCCTGAATTTGGGGGACCAGGACGGGGAGAAAGGGCCCCCTCCCAGAGTGGAGAGTCGAGCCTCTCCGGGTTGCTGGGCGTTGCTAAGGACGCTGCCCCCTAGCGACCAGGGAGCTGGAGACAAGCTGGAAGATGCAGGTGGCAGGAGGATGCTGTTGCAGGGAAGGCGCTGGGCTTGAGGACATTTGGGATGATGTGGTGGTGACTGTCCCTCCCCTACTCCTAGCCCCTCCCCAGCTGTCTTCGCCTCGTCCAGACCAACATCTCCCACCTCCTGCAGGACACATCCGAGCAGCTGGGGGCCCTGAAGCCCTGGATCACCCAGCGGAACTTCTCCAGGTGCCTGGAGCTGCAGTGTCAGCCGGGTAAAGGCCCCTGTCCTCCGCCGCCCCTGCTCCAGGCGCTCACACCGCCCCCTTTCCCACAGCGGTTATGTATTTGGACCCCTAAGTTCATTCACCTCCAGTGCATCTGTTTCCCCATCTCTGAGAAAGGCGCGAGGCAGTTTAGAAGCAGCTGATGGAAATACGCATAAACTTTCTTTTTGGGGACCCCAGAACTGGAGCCAGGGTACGCTGTGTGCCAGTCCCTTGTTATTTCTTTCAGGGTTTTATTGCTTTTTCTTATTGTTTATGAGCTTTTCAGGATTGGGAGGAGCCTCACCCAGCGGTGCTTGGGTGTTGTTCCCACCTCTGTGCTCAGGCGACTGTGTGGTGCTGGAACCCTGACCTCCCCACAGGCAAAGCCTGCACTCAGCTAATTCTGAGACCCTCTTGAGGTTTTGGGCTTGTTTTGCTCAGGGAACCACATACGGTGGTACTCAGGGCTTATTCCCTGGCAGGACTTGGGGGACCATCTGGGGTGCCAGGGATTGAATCCATGTCAGCCGTATGCAAGGCAAGCACCTTCCCCGCTGTACTGTGACTCTGGCCCTGTCAGTGAGGCTTAAGATATGTACCTTCCTGTTATCACAAACAAGACACTGAACCTCATAGCCAAATCCCACTCTATCTCCTGAGAACTCTGATCTCTTTTCCATCCAAGTGCTAACCAAGTCCCACCATGCTTAGCTTCCAGGATCAGACAAAATCAGACTCATTCAGAGTGCTTGGGTCGTAGACACTACAAATACCTTCTCTAGAGTGATTTTTATTAAATTTAATTTTCAAAGCTTTATAATTGTTTTATTGGGGTGTGGGTTTTTTTGGGGGGGTAACACACCCAGCTATGTTCAGGGATCATTCTTGGCAAGACTCAGGGAACCATGAGTAGTGCCAAGGATTAAACTAGGGTCAGCTGCCTGCAAGGCAAGCAGCCTTACCTGCTGTACTATCTCTCTGGCCCATTAGTCCTGTATCATTAGTCATTTACATAATAAGCTTTGTTTAACCAGATAGTTTCAAAATGGTACCACTTTAGCCTTTGGGGGGGGGCGGGGGGCGGGGGAGTGCGATAGTGCAGTGGGGAGGGTATTTACCTTGCACACAGCTGACCCTAGTTCTATCTCTGGCATCTTCTATGGTTCCCCGAGAACTACCAGGAGTAATTCCTGAGTGTAGACCTGGGAGTAACCTCTGAGTATTGGCTCTGTGACCCAAAAAGAAAAAATAAATAAGGTACCACTCCAACAGGTATTTAAAAGTATTATTTCCCTTCATTTAAAGTCTTTTTTTTATGGTCTTGGGGTCGCACCAGGCAGTGCTCAGGGGTTATTTCTAGGTCTATGCTCAAGAGTGAACTCTGGTGATGCTGGGAGTCCCATCTCTAGGGCTCAGGGATTTGAACCGGGATCCAAGCGTCTTCTCCCCTGTACTATCTCTCCAGTCCCAGATGTGAAACTTTTTCTTCTGGTTTTTGGGCCACACCTGGCTCTGTGTTCAGTATTCACTCTGGAGGAGCGGGGGCCACTTCGGGGACAATCATCAGTGCAGAGATTGAACCTAGGTTGGCCTCCTGCAAAACAAGCTCCCTCTCTGCTGTCCTATCTGTATGCAGAGTTTCTCCTATCTGTACTTCCACATTCAGAGTAGGAGATGGAAGGGCTGGTTGGCAGGTAGCGGGGAGCCATCGTGGATTTGGGTACTGGAATCTATCCCTGGCACTTTGTAGGGCAGGACCAGGAGTGGCCTTGGGTATGACCCAACATCCCCCAAAAAAGTTAATCTATGATTTTCAGATTCTTTTTTTTTTTTGTATTTTTTGCTTTGTTTTGGCACCATACTCAGTGCTCAGGGGTTCCTCCTGGCTCTGTGCTTAGAAGACATTCCTGGAAGGGCTCAGGGAACCCTATGGGGTGCTGAGGATGGAACCCACAGCAAATGCCCATTATACTGTCTCGCCAGCCCTCGATTTTCTGATTCTTAGGCCGAGTGCCCCAGCTCTGCGGTTGTTCTCTCTTGCACGCGAGGAGACAATTGGCCCGTGGGTTGTGACTTTTGCCCTTTCATCAGATCTTTGTGGCCCTCAGCTTTGGCCAGCATGTAATCCAAGGAAAGAATTGTGGATTCTTTGGGCCTCAGTGAAGTTGAATGAGGGTCTGTCTTCCTGCTTCATCACGGAGCTATTTTGAGTCTTTCCAACACTGTTTGTGTATTAGATGTGACCCACTCTGAGAGGGTGATGGAGAAGTCTCCCACGCTGAGATTCTCTCCATGGCTTCTGCATGTCCAATCAATTCGTCATTCCTCGTTAGCTTGGTTGGTCATTTGTGTTTGTCAGTCACCTGACATCTGTGGGGGTGCCCGGGCCCGGTTTGGAAAGCAGCTGTGCAAATTGGGGAGACACGACAAACATGTTCACAGAGTTCAGCAGGGAAATATCTGGGTGTCATGGAGCCCTCAATCAGACAGTAAAACAGGGTAAGATTTGTGAGTGGGGTAACTAGCAGAGAAGCCCGGAAAGCAAGAAGCCAGCAAACAGTCAATGCAAAGGTCCTGCGGCAGAAAGCTGTAAGAGATGAGTGAGGGGTGAAGAGTGGGCTACAGAGGAAGCAAAGCAGGGCCGGATAGAGTGGGACCTTATATTTATGATTATTATATTATCCATAATATAATAAGATCTAACATCCTTAAGTTAAACTATGGTAATATATGTTGACGAGCCACAAAATAATGGTGGATATAAAAGCACCACGTAAGACAGATTAGGGCTGGGATGACAGGGTAGAGGGGAGGACTCTTAACCTTCCACACAGCCACCTGGGGTAGATTTCTAGCATCCCGTAGGGTTCCTTGAGCCCTGCCAGATGTGATCCTAGAATGCAGAGTTTGGAATAAGCCCTGAGCGCCTCTGTGTGTGACTCAGATACTGAAATAAAAACCAGATCAGGCTGATAGGAAGTGCTCGCAGATCTGGACAAGAGGAGCATTGTAGCACTGTTCTTCCGTTGTTCATCGATTTGCTCGAGCGGGCACCAGTAACGTCTCCATTGTGAGACTTGTTACTACTTTTGGCATATTGAATACGCCACAGGTAGCTTGCCAGGCTCTGCCATGCAGGCGGGATACTCTAGGTAGCTTGCCGGGCTCCCCGAGAGGGACGGAGGAATCGAACCCAGGTCGGCCTCATGCAAGGCAAATGCCCTACCAACTGTGCTATCGCTTCAGCCGGACAAGAAGAGAAATATCCAAATCGCTGGAAAGCCAGTCCCGGGAACTCAATGACACAGGTGTGTAAGGTGCTGTAGACCTCAGGGCAAGGCAGCAGGTGAGATGGTAAACAGGTGCCCAGAGGAGAGGGGCCCCAACCCGGATGGGAACACCGCAGGTCTCTGCTTGTCCAGTTGACCTCACTCTGAGGTCCTGGGCTGTTTGTGCTAACTTCCCATGAGAGGAGCTAGGATTAGCCCATTTCACAGATGAGACTGAGGCCTGGGTTCGGGAGCCTGCTGAGGTTACCCAGCCTCCTCTCTCCTTCCAGACTCTTCCACTCTGTTGCCCCTGAGGACCCCGAGGGCCCTGGAGGCCACCCCACTGCCAGCCCCCGCACCCCCTCTGCTGCTGCTGCTGCTCCTGCTGCCCGGGGCCCTCACGTTGCTGGTGGCCGCCTGGTGTCTACACTGGCGAAGGAGGGGGTGGAGGACTCGGAGGACGCCCCGCCCCGGAGAGCTGGTGAGCTGCAATGGGGGGGAGCCAAGGGGTGGCCGAAGGTTCCAGCAGTGACTGTGACTGAACTTTGTGGGGTTCACAGGTACCCCCCAATTCCAGTCCTCAGGAGGTACTGCCCCTGCGGCCCCCGGAATCCTGACTTATTGGGGTGAGTCTTTCCCAAGTGGAGACACGGGCGTAGCAGGGAGGGGTAGGGTCCTTTCTGGGTGCAGAAGGCCCATGAGGGGGACTGCCAGAGTGCAGGTGTCCAGAGATCAAGAACGGGGCAGGGTGGGGGGCTGAACAGTCCCTGGGGGTGGAGGTCACGGGGACAGCACTGAAGATGGACATGAACAAATGCCCCTGGGTGTGACCCTGTGGCCATGTGGGGACCCCAGGGAAGAGAGAGATACGGGGACATTAATGAGCTGGGTAGGGAATTCTTAAGGTTTCCACAGGAAGATCTTTGAGTACAGGAGTCCCACAGGCATGAGGTGAACAGGCCTTGTGGGACAGTACAGTGGAAGGGCATTTGCCTTGCACAAGACTGACCTGAGTTCAATCCCCGGCATCCCATATGGTCCCTCAAGCACTGGCAGGAGTAATTCCTGAGTGCAGAGCCAGGAGTAACCCCTGAGCATAGCTAGGTGTGACCCAAAATCAAAAACAAACAAACAAACAAACAAAAAATAACAGACCTTGTGAGTCCTCCAGAGAGGAACATGCTCTGGTTGTAGTAACTTCAGGCAGCCAGGGGGTGGGCGGGGCTGGGGAATTGCTCCAACCCTGGAGCTGGAGTTCCTAGGATGGAGGGGGTTAGGCCCAGAGGTTTCCAGCAATTGTGCTCTGGCTTCACTCAGGGCCCTGTGATTTCCTCTCAGCTCAACCCATGTCACTCACGTCACTGAGAAGCTGGTGCCAGAACGAGCCTCTTTTTCGATGGCTGAGAAGTTCAACAAACACAAATTAGATATTTTATTTATTTATTTATTTACTTTTGCTTTTTGGGTCACACCCGGCAATGCACAGGGGTTACTCCTGGCTCATGCACTTAGAAATTACTCCTGGCGGTGCTTGCGGAACCATACGGGTTGCTAGGAATTGAACCCGAGTCGGCTGCGTGCAAGTCAAATGCCTTACCCGGTGTGCTATTACTCCAATCCAAATTAGATATTTTAAAAATAGGGGGGCAGGGGCTAGAGAGGTCGAACAGGAATAGAGTACTCACCTTACACCGCCAGGAGCGGTTCCTAAGGGCAGAGCCAGAAGTAACTCCTAAGCACCACTTTAAAAAAAAAAAAAAATAGATTTCTTTTTTTTCTTTTTTAATTTTTTTGCTTTTTGGGTCACACCTGGCAATGTTCATGGGTTATTCCTGGCTCTGTACTCAGGAGTTACTCCTGACAGTGCTTGAGGGACCATATAGGATACCAGGGATCAAACCCAGGTCGGGTATAAGGTAAACGCCCACCCTGCTGTACTTTTCTTTTTTTTTTTTTTTTGCTTTTTGGGTCACACCCATCGATGCACAGGGGTTACTCCTGGCTCATGCACTTAGGAATTGCTCCTGGCGGTGCTTGGGGAACCATATGGGATGCTGGGAATCGAACCTGGGTTGGCCGTGTGCAAGGCAAACGCCCTACCCGCTGTGCTATTGCTCCAGCCCCCACTTTTTTTTTTCAAATACTTTTTTTTCTTTTTAAATTTTTTTTTTGCTTTTTAGGTCACACCTGGCAATGCTCATGGGTTACTCCTGGCTCTATACTCAGGAGTTACTCCTGACAGTGCTCGAAGGACCATATAGGATAGCACTGCACTGTAGCACTGTCCTCCCGTTGTTCATTGATTCGCTTGAGCAGGCACCAGTAATGTCTCCATTGTGAGACTTGTTGTTACTGTGTTTGGCATATCGAATATGCCATGGGGATACTATCGGTAGCTTGTTGGGTTCTCTGAGAGGGACAGAGGAATCGAACCCAGGTCAGCCGCGTGCAAGGCAAACGCCCTACCTGCTGTGCTATTATAGATCCGGCCCCAGCATCGCTTTCTTAAACTTTTTTTTTTTTAATTAAAATACGGGGCCTGCTGGAGAGCCGGCACAGGAATTAAGGGTCTTGTCTTGACTGTGGCCAACCCTGGTTTGCTCCTGACTCCCATGGTCCACCAGGAACGACCCCCAAGCACAGAGCCAGGAGTTACAGCTGAACACTTCCAAGTGTGGGCCCAACCTCCCCCCAAAAAAAAAATTTGTGAGGGACCAGGGATGTGCTTGTTGTAGGGTTCTTGCATTGATAGGTGGAGTTCAGTTCTAAGCTTTTGTTTTTCCTTTTTTGTTTGTTTGTTCTTTGGGTCACACCCAGCAGTGCTCAGTGTTTCTCCTGGCTTTGCGCTCAAGAATCACTCTTTGCAGTGCTTGGGGCACCACATGGGATGCCAGGGATCCAACCAGTTAGTCTACCCGCAAACGCCCTCCCTGTGGTACTATCACTCCAGCCCCACTTTCTTTTTAAGTTGCAGGAGAAAGGTTGACAGCGAGTAAGACACTTGCCTTGGATGTGATGACCCTGGTTTGATTCCTGGCATGATCCTCCTGAGCCCACCAGGAGTGATCCCTGAGCACTGCTGGGTGTAGCCTCCCATCCAAAAAGACAATAAATAAATAAACTTCAGGAATTTGGTGCTACCCTCAGGATATAGCACAATGCAGATGCGCAGATGCTATTTTTATTTGGGGGTGTAGTCAATGCTGAGGGAGCGGATGCTGGACTGGGGGCCAGAATTACCTGACCCACCACGTGTGACCCATTTCAGGCTCTATCTGTGCCAGGAGGCTGTGTTGCTCAACTTTGAAACATCCAGTTTTCCCTTTCATTGTGCGGGTGGGGAGCAGTCTCTAATTTCATGTTTTTTAAAAACTTAAGCACTTACTTGAATTTGTTGTGAGTCCACATGTGTTTCTGTTGTGGTTTTATTTATATGGGAGGTCACACCCCAGGGTGCTCAGGGTTTACTGCTGGCTCTATACTCAGGGATCACACCTCACTGGGTGAATATGGTGTGCCCAGACTGAACCTAGGTCAGACACGTTGGAGGCAAGTGCCTTCCCTGCTGTGCTATCGCTCCAGGCCTCTTCAGCATGTTTCTGAAGTGTATTTGTGTATATGTGTGGTGCAGAGATGTAACCATGTTGGGGCTGGAGCGCTAGCACAGCGGATAGGGCATTTGCCTTGCACTCGGCCGACCCGGGTTCAATTCCAGCATCCCATATGGTGCCCTTTGGACAACCTGGCAGGCTACCAAATGTAACCTGCCCACACAGCAGAGTCTAGCAAACTCCCCGTGGCGTACCCAATATGCCAAATACCAGTAACAATGATGAGTCTCATTCTCCTAACCCTGAAAGAGCCTTGAATATGCCACTTTTTAAAATCTCAGGGCTAGGATGAAGGAGACGTTACTGGGGCCTTCCCGAGGCAACCGACAAACAACAGGATGATCGTGATTGTGATCATGATGGTGCCCCAAGCACCGCCAGGAGTAATTTCTGAGTGCATGAGCCGGGAGTAACCCTGTGCATCGCCGGGTGTGACCCAAAAAGCAAAAAATCAAAACAAATAGATGTAACCATGTCTCTTGCGTGCAAGGCATGCAGTTTAGCACTGGGCCACATCCGAGGCAGGAATTGTTTATTTATTTACTTTAAAATTCACGGGGGCAGGGCTGGGCGTTTGCCTTGCACGCGGTCAACCGGATTCGATTCCCAGCATCCCCAAGCACCGCCAGTAGTAATTCCTGAGTGCAGAGCCAGAAGCAACCCCTGTGCATCGCTGGGTGTGAGCCAAAAAGCAAAAAATAAATAAATAAAATAAAATCCACAGGGGCTTGGTTTAGACACATTGAAAAGCTCTTGGGCTTTTCCTGGCTCTGTGCTCAGAAGCGACCCCTGGCGGTGCCCATAGAACTGCAAGCCACGTGGGTGATTAAGGCTAAGAAAACGCCACTCCCCCCTCGGGGGCGCAGGAATTGATCTGGTTTGCAGCAAGGGCTAGGGTGCAGAGACACTATTCCTCTCCAGACCCACCCCTAAAGTCGAGGTCTCCATTCATCGCCAACCCTCTGACCCCTCTATCTGTTCACTCCTTCCCCTCTCCTAACATCTCTGCTGTGGTCAGGATCAAAGAGTTGGTCTTTTGCTTTGTTTGCACACTGGACTTGATTCTTTGTCTTCCACCTATAAGTGAAATCTTCTGGTATTTGTGGTATTTCTCTCTTTCCGTTGTGCTAATTTCACTCAGTTTAATGTCCTCCAGCTCCATTCAGGTCATTGCAAATCTGAACAATTGTTTTTATTATTTTTTTTGTTTTGCTTTGTTTTGGGGTCCCATTATAGGAGCTATGTTGGCAGTATTCAAAACTCCATATGATGTCTTCCCCCATGCCAAGGCTGACCTCCAGCCCTCCAAACTGTCTCTCTTGGCATTTACAAGGTCATACCCAGTGGGGTTTGGGGCCACCAGATAATATCATATCATTTTTTTTCCTTTTTTTTGGGGGGGGTCACACCTGGCGATGCTCAGGAGTTACTCCTGGTTCATGTACTCAGGAACTACTCCTGGCCGTGCTCAGGGGACCATATGGGATGCTGGGGATCGAACCAGGGTCAGGCCGTGTGCAAGGCAAACGCCCTACCCACTGTGCTATCACTCCAGCCCCCATATCATTTTTTTTTAAACAGCCAAAATTCTTATTTATTTCTTGCATTGGAAGTACTCCTCGATGACATCCTTGGCCTGTGATTCTTTGCCACAGTCCTTAACCACAACACAACTGCAGCCTACCACTTTACGGGGTTTCCCTTCTCTGTTGATTTTACAGAGGCCAACCCATTCTCCTAGTTTCTTATTGTCATCAACCTTAATTTGGTTGATCTGGTGTTCAGCACAAAGTGTCTCCACCAACTTGACATACATAGGCTCATCACAGTTGGATGCAAGCACACAAAGATGGGCTTGGCGCTTGTCTAGGGCTTTGGCGGCTTCGCGGATGCCACGTGCGAGGCCATCGTGGATGAGGGTGGTCTTCGGCACCTCTTGCAGCGCAGTATTCACGTCCATTACACCTCCAGCAGCAATGCCTTCCTCGGCCTTGGCGGTGGATTATGGGTGGGGCCGAATCTTGAATGCACCTGAGCCTCTGCGGTGGCAGGGAAAGCCATATCATATCATTTTGGGGGTTGATTTTTGTTTCTGAGCCACACTCGGCTGTGCTCAGGACTTACTCCTGGCTCTGTGCTCAAAGATGAGTCCTTGCATTGTTGGGGAACCATAGGCAGTGACTGGGATCGAGCCTGGATCAGCTGCCTCATTCTTTTTTTCTTGTTTTTGTGACCACACTCAACAGTGCTCAGGGCTTACTCCTGGCTCTGCACTCAGGGATCACTTCTGGAGTGCTTGGGGGATTATATGGGATACAGGGGACAGAACTCGAGTTGGACAAGGCCGTTCCCGCTGTACTGTGGCTCTTGCCCCAACCCCATACATTTTTTAGGTCACTGAGAAGTTTTCTTGCCCATCCCCCTGATAACCACATTTTTGTTTGAGGCCAGGCCCAGCAGTGTTCTCATGAACCTCCAACCTCCCCCATGCAAACTAGCTGAACTGTCTCTCCAACCCCACATTCACATTAAGAGAAAATTAGACACGATAAAAAATTCATTATAGGGGCCAGAGCGATGGTACAGCAGGTAGGGCATTTGCCTTGCATACGGCCTACCCGCATTTGATCCCCAGCATCCCATATGGTCTCCCAAGCACCACCAGGAGTAATTCCTGAGTGCAGAGACAGGAGTAACTCCTGAGCATTAATGGGTGTGACCCAAAAAGCAAAAAAAAAAAAAAATCAGCATAGTGGGTAAGACACTGCCCTGCATGCAGTCAACTCAACTTCAATCCCGGCACCATATGTAGTCCCCTGTTCCCTGACAAGAGTGACCCGTTGAACACACAGCCAGGGGTCAGTCCTAAATACAGGCTGGGTGTGGCCTTCAGACCAAATACAAAAAAATAGGGGCTAGAGAGATGATAGAAGGGGGCAAATTACTTAACAAGGGTTGAATCCCCAGAACTGCATGTGTTCCGGGAGCGCTGAGCCAGGAATAAGCCTTGTGCACTGCTAGGTGTGGCCTCAAAGCACATGCACCAGCCCCATCTGCATTACCCTGCAGTGGAGAGCACAGATGTTTACCTTCTTGCCAGCTCTTCTCTGGCCAGTGATGCACTGAGCATGCTGAGCACACAAGGAGTAGGATTATTTGGGAACCTAGTCTATTTTATTTTGTCTGGGGCCCACACCCTGTTGTGTTGGGGCACTGCTCCCGACTCTTCTCCCAGCTGTGCCTGGGATGGGACCAAGGGGCTCAACCCATGGGCTGTCTCTGGTGCCAGGACACTAGGTCAGTTTTTTATTTTTCTTTTTGGGTCACACCCAGTGATGCTCAGGGGTTAATCCTGGCTCTGCACTCAGGAATGACTCTGCTGGCAGTGCTGGGGGGGACCATATGGGATGCCGGGGATCGAACCCGGGTCGGCCGCGTGCAAGGTAAATGCCCTACCCGCTGTACTATCGCCCAGCCCCACCAGGTCAGTTCTGAGCCAGATGCTTTTCTCTCCATCCAGGAGTCTCGGATAACCTAGTGAATCAGAGGCATCACTTGTCCCGATTTGCAAAGGACATCAAAGCCCGGAGAAGCATATCGCCGACCTGGAGGGAAGTCAGCTGGCTGCTGCCTCTTGTCTGGTTTTGCTGTCCCCTTTCGCTCAGGACCATGGCAATGCCAGGACAAGGCCTCACCTGCCTCCCTCTGTACAAAGTTTCTGTGCCCTGGAAATTGTATATAAATCATCCTTTTCTACCAGTGTCTGGCCAGCCTGTCTGTGAATGGGACAAGGTGTGGTGGGCATGGTTTGGGGGCTTTGTTTGGGGGTTACTCCTGGCTCTGTCCTCAGGAACCACTCCTGGCAGTGATCCAGAGACAATACTGTGGTGCCAGGGATCAAACATGGTCAACTGCATGCAAAGCAAGTGCCCTACCTGCTGTCCCATGCTCTGCCTCATGTAGGAGTGGTTTTGAATGGAATAGCCGGTTCTCATTTACTGCCATGTCCCCTTCAAGGGGTGCCCATTGCAGATCTGGGGCCTACTGGGAATCTGGGGACAATGCCTGGCAGTGTTCAGGAACTAGACGTGGTTCTGCGCTCAGGGATCACACTTGGTAGTGCTATGATGCCTTATATATTGGTGGGGTTGACCCCATGTTGACCACATGCAAGGCAAGCACCCTACACACTACTCCCTCTGGACCTCATCACCCAGTTTTGGGAGGGGAAGGTGGGCACACTCTGAGATGCTCAGGGGCTGATTGTGACTCTGTGCTCTGGAATGCCCCCTGGCAGGTGCTAGGGGATATGTGTTGTGGGGGTTCCAACCTGGTTGGCTGCATCTAAGGCAAGTGCCTTAACGGTTGTATTATCTCTGCAGTCACCATGCCCCGTCTCCCTACCCAGCATGGGGGTCTGAACCAGCCAGTTCTCCAGAGGCCTCTGCCTGAGAGGAGAGGGATGGGGGTGGAAGAGAACTCAGAGGGCCCCTTATCCAGGGTGACCTGAACCCTCTCTATTGTGGCAGAATTCGAGGGTGCTCTTTAGGGAACACCCTGGTTGAAAGAGCTGGAGCCAGCGGGCACTGGGCTTGTACCATGTAACATTTGGGAAGATGGGCAGGGACAGGGAGGCAACCCAGGCCGCTGGAGGGGCGTGGGGGTTGAGCCCAAGGTCGGTTCTGAGTGCAGGAAGTGTGGTCTTCAGGGGTCTGCAATGGGGCTTTCAAGCACTCAGACGTTACAGGGAAGAACGTGGCCAACCTGTTTTGCAGCTGCACCACTGAGATCGACAGGGCTGCGGCTGAGCCAGGTCACCGTGAGGACACCTGAGTCCTAACCTCTAAATCCAGGCTGGGCTCAGAAAGGCTAACCTAGAGGCCACCCGCGAGTCACCACGCGCCGCAAGCTGCCGTCGCTAGGGGGGAGTAAGAGCGTTGCAGTGGCCAGCCCTGCCGGTGGCTTGCGGAAGGCGTGCAGGGAGCTCCTCATAAGTATGGCGGTCCTGGCAGGACGACCCCGCCCCTGGAGCCCCGCCTCCCGCACCACGTGACTCTCCACCTAGTACCGCCAGGGCCGCCGCGGACCGAGCGGAACGATCCCCTGATTGGGTAGTCAGTCGCCGTCCCGCCTCCAGGCGGGGAGCTCTCTACGCACGCGCACAGCCTCTGGCCAATGGGAAGTCGGAAGGCCGCTCGCGCCGCCCGTGTCGCATCACTTCCTCCGCCCCTGATTCAAGGCATAAGAAACCCTGCAGCTAGTCTTCCTTCTTTCCCAGGCGGCTGCCGAAGATGGCGGAGGGGCAGGTGGGGCTCCGCGCGGGCTGTGGCGGCGTGGGGCCGGGTGGGACCCGGGCCGGCGCGGGGTTGCCCCCTCTTTCCCCTCGTACCTGTGTGGTGGCACTTAAGCTCGGTAATTGAACAAGGCGGGACGCTTGTGGGGGGAAGAGGGATCTTACATGGGGGGGTAAGAGACGCAGCGGAGGTTGCCTGGGAATGGCCGAATGGCGGCCTCGTTGCTCCCCGCGGGGCGGCGATAGAACCTTCTAGCGCGCGGGAAGAAGGGAATACTCAGGTTTTGCTTGTTTCGCTCTCGCTCGGCTTGGCCCCAGTTAGACCCTCGTGTCCCCCGGCGGTGGGTAAGCGCGTGGCCCGCGACCTCGGGGACTTTAAATGATACCGTGGGCTGACATGCATTGAGGGACCTTCCATGCCGCCCTATTCGCGCGGCCCCATTGCTTGTAGGGATGCTAACGAACATTCGCAGGCAGCCACGAGAGTTTTGGTATTAAGTACTAATGCGGTGGGGTCGAGTTAGGGTCGTTGTGGAGCGAATTGCGCTTCGGGATACGGCTGTGCGATGAGGCCCCATCTCGCCGCCTTCGCTAACTCCTGGGGTGGGCGTTGGAAAGACAGCGGAAAATTGGGTCCTGGGTCTCAGGTAAATGCAAAGCAGGACGACTCCGCAGGGGGGCCCCGGACACGTGGCTCTGTTTACTTGGCCGGATGGCATTGTTGGGCGTCCCTCGGTGAACCCGCATTCCAGAGCACAATTCATTAGAGCTGAGAGTGGGGGCGGGGGTCTCGATGCTGGAGCGTGGCAGTTAGCTGGAAAGCGGAGGCCGGCGGAGCCGCGCTGGCCCTGAACCTCAGTTTTCTTTGCTGTGTATTGCAGTTAGGAACAAGCACCGAGATCAGGAGAGCTAGATTCTGGCAGGATGGCTCAGCTTACAGCTCGTAAGTGCTAACTGAATGGTCGCTGAGTGTTGCCGAGCCCGCCCGGGGCCTTCCGGGCCAATGTGACCTGGGATTCAAAACGCCTGCCCTTCCGCTCAGACATGAAGGGGTTTTCTAGGGGCTGATCCCATTCACTCAAAGCATCACTGAACCCTTTGCTTCCTAGGCTTCGTCCGTAAAGGGAGCCTCGGGTCCTGCTTCCTGGCTGCGATAGTTGGATGGGAGGGAATGGGGAAGGAGGGTGGCAAAGGTGGAATGTATAGGGGAGTCCAAAATGGGGTGCCTGCAAGGTCTCTTCCTGTCTACAGCAGGTGCTGGTGCTCGATGGCCGAGGCCATCTCCTGGGCCGCCTGGCTGCCATCGTGGCCAAGCAAGTGCTGCTGGGTAAGTGGATGTCAGCCTGTCACCTGCCTAGGTCAGTGATGAGCAACAATCACCATCTTTCGTTTGAGTCTCAAGACCATGAGATCAACCCCATGCACCGCTCTGAGACCTGAGGCAAATCTCCGGTTCTGTGGGCTGTTGGGAACTCTGACCGGGGCCCTTTCCTGGGTATTGTTAGGTGCCTTTGAGTAGTGCTGACCTTTGCCCTCTGCTGTCCTACCCTCCCTATAGGCCGGAAGGTAGTGGTCGTCCGGTGTGAAGGCATCAACATTTCTGGAAATTTCTACAGAAATAAGTGTAAGTTCAGGGGGCGGAGGTGGTGGGGGCAGAAGATGGGTGTGTCTGGAGCATCTTGGCTTCCAGGGGGTGTGTGCTCAATCCCCCACCTCTACTTCCAGTGAAGTACCTAGCCTTCCTTCGGAAGCGGATGAACACTAACCCCTGCCGGGGCCCCTACCACTTCCGGGCCCCCAGCCGCATGTTTTGGCGGACAGTAAGAGGTAAGCTGGACCCTTAGGGAGATGGGGGGGCAGCTTGTGGGGGCATGGCTAGTGATGAGGTTTCTCCCACTAATGTTCGAGTTGCCCAACCATGAGATGACTCCACATGCACTACCATCTGAGGCCACTACTCTGCATGCCCCGCCCCGCCCCGCCCCACCGCCACAGGATGGGTCCGCAGAGACCCTCAGCTGCCCAAATCTCCCCTGCCCGCAGGCATGCTGCCCCACAAGACCAAACGAGGCCAGGCTGCCTTGGACCGGCTCAAAGTGTTCGATGGAATCCCGCCCCCCTATGACAAGGTGAGCTGAACCAGCGCCTCCGGGCAGACAGTGCAGCCACAGGCGTCAATGATGTCCGCACTGTACCTACATTGTTTGACCCTCATGAGAACAGCACTGCCTGAGACGTCCCTGGCCCTGCTGCTGATGTCTGGCCCCCATATCTGGTTTCTAAGCCCCTTCCTCTCTCTGCAGAAAAAGCGGATGGTGGTACCAGCTGCTCTGAAGGTGGTTCGCCTGAAGCCCACCCGGAAGGTGAGTCTGTGGAGGGGCTCCAGGGCCAGTGGGACAGGACGGGGGGGAATGGATGGAGCTCCTGACCTGGCAGATGATGGCTTTTTCTCACGATGGTCTGCGGATGCCACAGTGGGCACTGCCGAGAATGCCAAAGGCATAGCTGATGCTAGGGCAAGAGGGGCCCTCAGCAAGCTCATTCTAGCCCTTCAGTTTAGAGCATGCTGGGTGAAAGGTGCTAAAATTCCCCAAGTTTTACTTTTCATGTAACTGCCCCCACCAGCCCTCAGAACTTCTCCCATAGCTGCCCCATATAATCTTGAATTTTTTTTTCTCTCCCAAACCCCCTTCCTCCAGTTTGCCTATCTGGGACGCCTGGCTCATGAGGTTGGCTGGAAATACCAGGCAGTGACAGCCACTCTTGAGGAGAAGAGGAAGGAGAAGGCCAAGATGCATTACCGCAAGAAAAAGCAGCTCATGGTGAGAGCAGGGCCTTGCATGGGCTCGGGTTCTGCGCAGCTGGAAGCCTGTCTAATTGGTTCTGCCCCTCCCACAGAGGCTACGGAAACAAGCCGAAAAGAATGTGGAAAAGAAGATCACAAAGTTCACAGATGTCCTCAAGGCCCACGGACTCCTGGTCTGAGTGCAATAAACTTGACTATTGCTTCTCATACGAGATCTGGCCTATCTTCCTTGCCGGCCCCTGGGATGCTGGGGAGACTGGAGGTTTCCTAGCCTCTGAACCATGCTAGGGTGGGTGCAGGCATGCTCTGCCAGGACCTGAGTCCCCATGTAGTTGGGTGTGAGTGCAACAGGGGGTTGACTGGCACTGTCCACCACAGGGACCTGGGCCCTCCCTCCCAGTGTGAAGAAATCTCCAAACTACCTGGCCTTGCAGGGACCCAGAAGCAGCTCCAGAATCCATTTGCACAGACACCGGTGCTTCCTGGGGGAATTACCCCACAAGATCCCCATGTCCATCCATGTCCAGGGCCTGTAATGTCCCCTGAGGAGCAGCTGGTATCCTAGCCAAGTGCTTTTTTTCCCCTTGGTAGAAAGGCTCCTGGGGTGCTCCTGTCTCCTGAGCCAGGGGTTCAAATTCACTAAAGGACTGTACTATATGCAAAGGCATGAGGCAAGTTAGGTTAGCTGGGGCGCATCCTGTACAGGACCAGCCCGTACAGTGTCCTGGCCCCACAAATGAATCTACCTCAGTGTCTTGAAGACTGAATCTCAGCAAGCACGTTTTCTGTCCTGCTACACCAAGTTCACCTCAGATGGACAAGGCAGAGTTGTGGGGGTGGCAGTGGGTTCAGGACGGGGGTTGGACATGGGTAAAAATGTTGGCATCAGGTCAGGCACCTCAGCTGGTCCCTTCCCAACAGTCCTGCTGTAGTGGTCACTGGATGCAGAGTGCCAGGTGCCTAGAACTAAGTGGCACTTAACTTATACTGCAGGGTACCAAGCACCACCAGGAATGTCCCCTGAAATCGGACCCTCAGCCCCTATTGCACCTCAGGGTGTGGCTCTAAGACATCCAGTGAGGTTCTGGCTTTACAAAAGAACCAAGGAATGTGAGAACCTGGGTTAAATGCAAAGATTTTTACCAGGTCCTTGCTGGCAGAGCATTTGCCTTGTACCTGGCAGATGCAGGTTCAATTCCTCTCCCCTCTGGAGAGTCGGAGAGCCTTGCAAGCTACAGAGAGTATCTCGCCCACACACCAAACCCTGGCAGGCTCCCCATGATGTTTTCGATATGTCAAAAACAAGTCTCAACAATTTATTGTGACACAGTACTGGTGCTTGCTCCAGCAAATTGATGAACAATGGGAGGACAGTGCTACAGTACTGGCAGGGCTTACACCCTTTGTAGTGCTAGGCTGTACTCTCCTTTTAGATAAACCTTCCAGGAAATGAGGGACTGGGGTGCCTCCTTTGCAAGTGAGATCCCCTGGTCCTTGCTTCCCTCACTGCTTGGTCCCCAAGGCACCTGTGGGAACCACCCCAAATAAACTTACACCCAGAGCACCCTTGGGTGTGGCCAAACAGAAGGAAGTCCTGGAACACTACAACAGGAATTCAAGCTTAAATTCCTCAGCCCCCAGATGCCAACCACTTCCTTCCAGGGTCTTTTCAAGGAACTTGTGAGGTCTTAGCATGCATCTGAGATACCAAGGCCCAATGATGGGTTTTGAAAACAAAAAAAGGGGCCAGGAGATTAAAATAGGATGTGGCTGACCCCGGTTCTACCCCCAGCGCCCCATATGATCACCGCTATGAGTGACCCCTGAGTACTGAGCCAGAAAGTCACTCCTAAGCACTGCTGGGTGGCCCCCAAAGTACAAAACACCAAGGAGGCAGCAGATACATCTGTGCTGACGATGACTGGAGTAGGATGCTTAGGGGTTTATTTTCAGGGGCCACACTGGCAATGCTCAGGAGTTACTCCTGGCCCTCAGTCACTCCGGTGAGCTCAAGATGCCTGGATGGTCTTTGGGCAAAAGCTGTACCTATTTTACTATGGCTCCAGCAGTTGGGGTAGCTCATTTGAGGGGAGGGGCTGAGAGACAGGTAGAAGGATTTGGGGCCACATCTGGAGAGCGACCCTTGGAACTGTGGTAGAGGGCCACTCTTAGTGCTCAGGGCCTTGGAGATGGAACCAGGGCCTCACATGCAAGGCAAGTCTCTCCCGCGAGCCCCATCCTGGAGTCAGGGATCTTGAAAGAGGTCCAAGAGAAGGAACAGCTGTCAGGGAGCTACAGGCAAAGTTGGGCTCCTGCCCACGCGCCCTCACAGGGCCAGATGTCAGGCATTCACATGTGCCAAACAGGAAATTGCCACAGCATTGCCCCCTTGTTTCCAAGGATGGAACCCAGGACCTTACATCTCCCACATAGCTTGCATCTTGTCACTGAGTCACATTTCCCTGGTGCCTCAAAGCTCCCTTTTCCTTTTTTTTTTTTTTTTTTTTTTTTTTTGGTGTTACACCCAGCAATGCTCAGGGGCTACTCCTCGCTCTGCATTCAGGAATCACTCCTGGTGGTACTTGGGGACCATATGGGTTGCCAAGGATCCAACCAGGGTCAGTCATGTGCAAGGCAGAAGTTCGCCTCCCCTACTGTATTATCACTCCAGCCCCTAAGCTCCGTTCTTTAAAGGCAGGTTTCAGGTTGAGAAGGTAGATTAAAAGGGGCTTTGACTGCAGGAAGTCTGGGTCCACTTCACCATCTGGTCCCTGGAACACTTAGCCTGCCAGTGGGCTGAGAATTGTGCTTTCCTCCCCCACCCAACTCACTTCTCTCTTTTTTTTTTTTTTTTGCACAACTCTGAGCAGCTGTGGCCTCAATCTGTCTCAATCGCAGGAAGAATCCTTGGCACAACGTCCGCCTCAGGCCATTGTTGCCTAAGATTCAGCTTTCTCTTTTTGTTTTGGGGCCATACCTGAAGGTGTTCAGGGATCACTCCTGGTGTGCTAGGTGACCTTATGAGGTGCAGGGAATCAACTCGGGCTGGCTCAAGGCAGGTGTCCTACCCACTGTATTATTTCTCCGGCCCCAGATTCAGCTTTCTAAACATGTATAACATAAAGTGGGCTCATGTGACTCTTATATTTAAAGAGTTCACAATCAAAGTGAAAGATCCAGTGCAGGAGCAAGCTGAAAGAGTCAGAGTGCTTGCACTTGCTTCGCATGCTGGAAGCCTATTCCATCCTGTACCGCACGGTAGCGCAGCTCAACTCCCGTTCCCACTGTTAAGGTTTGCCTGAGTGAGGTCTCAGACTGTCACTCATCTGGAGTAGCCCCTGAATACCTGGTAAAAGTGACACTCACCAAAAGAAATTCAGCAGGTACCACAAAGTCGGTGCTAGAGAGTGCACATAACGTTTCAACGAAAACGTCTTTACACAGTTTGTCTTTACTGACAAAACCTATCACACTCCCCCTCCCCGCCCCCTAAAAAACAACCAACCAACCAACCAACCAACCAACTCTTTGGGATTTAAAAAGGGCCAAAGTGGAGTGCAATTTACATTTTTCATTAAACTGCAATAGAGGGGCAGGAAAGCTTTTATGGTGCTTATTGAGATTGCTTTGCACACGGCCGACCCAGGGTAGATCCCCCGCACCCCATGTGGTCCCAAGCACCTCCAGGAGTGATTCCTGAGCCAGTGGTAAGCTCTGAGCACCTGCAGACGGGGCCCAAAAACCAAAACACAGAACCGGGAGGTGGTTCACCGGAAAGGAGCACGCCTTGCATGCATGAGACCTGGGTGCGATGCCCAGCATGGGGCATCTTTATAAAGCCCAGACATAGCTCGAGATCACCCAGGAGATGGAGGGTGCACGAGCCTATGACTTCCGTAGCACGCTCTGCAAAAGATGGCGGCCACCACATCCATGCGGGACCACAAGACGCCCATGTGAAACTCTGTAAAACATGTCGGCCTCCGTGTGAATTCTCGCGATACCCCAAAGGGACTTGCGGCTGACCACGCCTCCCCAAAGTGAACTAGCGGGACTACAACGAGGCTGGTCTGAACTCTCGCGAGGTCATGTCACAGCTTCCCGCCTCTCTCCCTGTACCATCATGGCGTTGTCGGTGCCGTCTCCCAAATGCGGTTTGGCCCCTTCGTCAGAGTCGCGCCCAAGACTCCGCCCAGATGTACTGCCGCTCCCTGTTGGCGTCACTTCCGCTAGCGCCCATGCGCAGTCGATAAGGAAACCGGACGCTGCCGCGACTTTCCTTTTTCCTGGCGGCCGCGAAGATGGCGGACATTCAGGTGCGCGCTCCGGGCAGACGTCAAAGCTGCGGGGTTTACAGAACGCCGGACTCGCTCCGCGTCCCGCTGTGGGGCTGAATCGCTGGCCCCCCTAATTTTCGGAGGGTTAATCTACGCTCGCGGCTCCGAAATCGGAATTAGCTGCTGGGGTTTAATGGCGGTTGTAACGTTGGAAGCTGAATTTCTTGAAGTTCAGGACTTAGGGGATAGGTTTTTTGGACCACAGGAGTTCATGGGTCCTGACATCGGAAACGGGTGCCCGTCGTCTCTGTGTTTGATTCAGAAAGCCCCCAGAACAAAAAATGAGACCTGCCGGAATTGTGATTTTTGTGGCTCCGGCTTTTGTTTTGCTTTTTGGTTTCTGAGTACCCGCCGGTGCTCAGGGTTTATTCCTAGCTGTGCGCCCAGGGATCAGTCCTGGCGGGGCTCGAGGAACCGTCTGTGGTTCCAGGGGTGGAACCCGGGTTAGCCACGTGCAAGCCAAGCACCATTGTACTATCATCTTGGCCCCGTTGTCTGCGGGTTTGAAAGGATGAATTTAACGGATGGTGCGGGATAATGTGGAATACAGATGCTGAGTAACTCTGGGGTTTAGAGTTCTCTGGGTTAGAGGGAGGTTTGAGCAGCAGGAAACAGGTCAGGATTTTTGAGAGGGCAGGAGCTCCCAGCTCTAGTGACTGTGGAGTTCCATAGTTGCCTCTTTTCTGCAGACCGAGCGTGCCTACCAGAAGCAGCCGACCATCTTCCAAAACAAGAAGAGGGTCCTGCTTGGAGAAACCGGCAAGGAGAAACTGCCAAGATACTACAAGAACATTGGTTTAGGCTTCAAGACTCCAAAGGAGGTAGGGAACCCTGAAAAAGCAAGCGGGACAGCGCTGTGTCCCGGGATCCAAGCTGGGCTCCTGCCCTGGGGACTGCTGGGAATTGTAGTTTGTGTCCCTGGTGTCACGCCCTCTAGCCCTTTTTCCAGAAGACTAATTTCACCACTTATTCATTCCAGGCCATTGAGGGCACCTACATTGACAAGAAATGCCCTTTCACGGGTAATGTCTCCATCCGAGGGCGCATCCTATCTGGTGAGTGAGCCCCTGTGTTGGGGTCTGTGGGGGGACTCGGGCTGTGATATGTCTGCACTTCTGGGTCCAGGGCACCCCTGGCATATGATGTCTGTTCTCACGATGGTCTTCTGATGCCCACCTGGGGCATTGCTGAGAAAGCCATTTGGCACTGCTGATGTCAGAAGTGGGGGGGGCTCTTACTTTGCACACAGTCTGCCCAGGTTCAGTCCCCAGTATCCCATATGGTCTCCTGAATGCCAAGCCAGGGGTAAACCCTGGGCATTACTGGGTGTGACCCAAAAGGGGGAAAAGAGAAGTGGGTCATCTTGGGCAGGCCCCTCCCTTATTCATGGCACGTTAACTCTTGCATGCTGTCCCCACAGGTGTGGTGACCAAGATGAAGATGCAGAGGACCATTGTTATCCGACGCGACTATCTCCACTACATCCGGAAGTACAACCGCTTTGAGAAGCGTCACAAGAACATGTCCGTGCACCTGTCCCCTTGCTTCAGGTGGGCATGGGGAAACCCAAGGCTCTGGAGGGGGGAAGGAAGGGTGGGCTCAAGCTGAGGGGGCCCCAGGTGACACCACTGCCACCACTCTTCTGCAGAGACGTGCAAATTGGAGACATCGTCACGGTGGGCGAGTGTCGGCCTCTCAGCAAGACTGTGCGCTTCAATGTGCTCAAGGTGACCAAGGCGGCTGGAACCAAGAAACAGTTCCAGAAATTCTGAGCCCCGCACAATAAAGATCTTTTTTATTCGTGCCTTTGGGAGTTGAGTGCGGTTCATGTGGGGGACAGGGTTCTGGCTCAGCTCGGGGAAGCTTCTGCCCACCCTTCCCTTCTCATGGGGTCTCCATGGTTCCCTCATTCCCTCACTTGCTGGCGCTTGACTGCAGGAAGGATTGGGGTGGAGAGGCCAGACAGAACACCCCCTTCCCCCCCCCCCCCCAGCAATGCCATCCCCCCACACATACCCTGGGACTGCACTAACTACTGCTAATAGGCAAGCTTCTTGGCCTGGAGCCCCCCTCCCCACCCAGCAACCACCATTTCTGGAAATGGCCTTTGGGGAGAGAGCCACACCTGTTCAGGTGTCAGGATTGATCCACATGCGAAGGGAGCATTTCCCCTCATTTCTCCAGCCCGATTTTACTTTGTTGGAAATAATTTCCTTCAACCCAGAAAGGAAATGGGCTTCTAAAACATTTCAAATCCTGTGGACAGGAATAAACATTTTTTAGGGTTTCTAAACCCAGTAAGGGTGACAACCTCCCATCTGGGCCTAGAGATGAGGGCATGTGGGTGAGGGGCATCATCATGAGCCCTGGAACACAGCAAGGGGATGAGGGGTGCGGGGAGGTACAGACCTGAGGGATGGTCCAGATGAATGGCCTCAGATACAAACCGCTGGCCTTGGGCATCACTTCGGGGTTCCCTGCTGGTTTCCTGTTCACATGGACACTGCTGGGGTCCCCAGGTCCCTGCCCCCCAAACCTGTACCAGCAACTTAGCAGTGCTGGTACAAGGGTTGGGAGACAGGGCCCTGAGGAGTGGATCCTGAGGCCTCCAGTGTCTCTGGGCAGCCCAGCACCTCCTTTTCACCAGGCCCATAAGGGCGGGGGTACTTACCAGAGGAAGTGGGGCCTCATCAAAGGGGACAGGAAGGGGCTAGCCTTATGTGAGGGGTGTGCCCCAGCTGCCGGAAAACCCACTCTACCCAGGTTCCAGAAAATGGAGGACAGGCCTAGGGATGGGGCAAACCCAGAGGGAAAGAAGGGGTGGAGATGCAGACAGATGTGGTCAACAGGGACCCCGTGTAATGGGTGGGTGGGGACCCCTGGGTGGGGTGGGCGGGGTCCCCGCAGGTGTTTCCGCTGGGGAGAGCCATGCAGACAACAGCAGCTGCGCTCAGCCTCCTTCCTCACAGCTGTTGCTGGGGGAGTCTCCTTGGCACTTGGCACACCCCAGACTGGCCAGGGAATCAGCCTGTGCTGCTGAATTTTAGGGACAGGGCAGCCTGTAGCCTCTAACTGGCCTTTCCCACCAGCGTCCTCCTGCCACAGGGTGAGCCCCCTGGGGTGCCTCGCCCCTTCCTGAGTCCTGATCTCCAGTGTTGCTCCCTCTGCCTCGATGCTCTGAAACCTCCATGCAACCCCTCCAGGCCCTGCTCTTCGCTTAGGGTGAGTGGGTTGAGCCACTGTGATAGAGCTGGCGAGTTTCCCAATGATGGTTCCAGCAACTTGGGATCCTCACACACTCCAACAATGTGCGCCTGAGTCCTGCACCCCCACATCCCTGACCCTTGAAAAGCAGGAGAGTGAATGAATGCACATGGAAGTGATTGTTGAACATCAAAGGTGTTTTGGGGGGGCCAGAGAGGTAGTACAATGGGGAGAGCATTTGCCTAGTGTGCAGCCAATCAGATTCAACCCCCCACACTGTGACCTCCAAGATCCACCAGGGTGACTCCTGAATACCGTGAACGCTGCCAGGGTGACCCCAAAACAAAGATTTTGGTTCTTAGAAGTGTGGTGTATCTCAATGGGCTGCAGAGATAGGAGAGGGGTTCAGGCACTGGCACACATGCTAGCCCAAGTTCAGTTCCCAGCTCTAAATCTTCTAAGCACCCCCAGAACTTTCCTGAGCACAGAGCTAGGAGTAGCCTCTAAGCACCACCGGCTGTGGGCCCAAACAAGAAGGAAGTTTGGTGGTTTCTGTGGGATGAGGGGTGCTGGGATCTATCGCAGGGCTCAGCCGCTGGGCCCGTGCCCAGGAGAGACGCACTAGAAACTTCGCCCTTGTTTGTAGCGGTGGTTTCCTTCAGCTCTGTTTGTCTTAGCTTCAAAGTTTTGTTTTGGTTTGGGTCAGGGACCACACCTTGCAATATTCAGGGCTCACTCCTGGCTCTGCACTCGGGGACCAATGAGATGTGGGGGATCAAACTCAGGTTAACTGCATGCAAGGCAAATACCCTACCCGCTGTACTATCGTTCTGGCCCCGCATCAAAGTTTTTGAGCAGAAAAAAAAAGTTTTTAAGCCCATGGAGGACAGAGGACATACCCACCCGTTCCTTCACCTCATTTGTTCACCCACCAACTACTGGCACCAGAGTTAAACAGTTTCTTCTTTCCCAGTGCTGAGATGTCAGTGGCGGGCATGAATGTCCTTCATGTACGTTTCTATGCTTGCACCCCTGCCTCTAAGGAGCCAAGCACCCACTGTCCTGTTTCTCCAGCCTCCCGAGTGTCATCGCTGTTGTTTTGGTTTTGGGGGACCAGATGCTGCTCAAGGCTTACTCCTGTTTCTCCATTCAGGGATTACTCTGGCAGGATTCAGGGGACCATATAGGGTGCAGGGGATCACTCTGCAAATGCCCTACCCGCTGTACTATCTCTCTGGCCCCCTCAGTGTCTTTGTAGAATTGTTTCAGGGTCATGTCCAACCAGCCAGGTAGGGGGTCATTCATTATTGCCTCCATTTGTTCTACAAATTCTCATCTTGCTGGCCTTTGGGCCTTTGGGCAAGGGCATGGCTCAATGGCAGAGCACTTTTCACCAACCTGTGTGTGAAAAGTCCTGAGTTCAAGCCCAAGCATGAGAGAGAGAGAGAGACAGAGAGAGAGAGAGACAGAGAGAGAGAGAGAACCAGCCCCAATGGGAGGATCAAGTGGGCTCTCTGGGGAGGTATTAGGGGAGCACGTGTTACTACTTTCACCTACTTACACCCGTCTGAGTCTGCCTTTGCTTCCCAGAGGCACAAGATTATTAACTGATTAAAAGACAAAAGAATAGAGACACTCACCACTGGACAGAAAGAGGAAGGATTTGATACTTTGGTTCTAAATACAGGTGCGATTGCTTCCTGGGGGCAGTAGGGGATGGGGGAGGGTCGGGGGGGGGGCAGGACAAGGTGAGTGTTTGCCATGGAGGTTCCTGGAGCAGAACCCACTGAGTTGCTGTCTTAACTATACAAAGGCCACAAAGGGCTGGAGAAATGGAGAGTGAGGCCATAAAGCTCTTGCCTTGTGCATGGGTGACCTGAGTTCAATCCTCAGCACCACTTAGGGTCCCCTGAGCCCTGCCAGGGGTGATCCCTGAGTGCAGTCAGGAGTCAGCTCTTAGCCGCCGACCCTAATAGGGAACCACACCCAGTTATATTGGGGTGAGTATGTGTGTGTGTTAGACTTCTGGCTGATCCCCAGCTGAGACTCTGAAACTGGTGGCGTGCTGGGGGCCACCAGGGCCACCAAGGCAATACCCCCAGGTTCTTGGGAGTGCCATATGATGCTAGGGATTGATGTCCTTTACTGCCTCCCCTGCTCAGGGGCCTCCCCACCTCATGGGTGTGGTCCTTCAGAAGAGACCCCCACATTATTTTATGATGACAGGGCTCCACACCCAGCGACAGCCCTGGGAATCCAAACAGCAGTGAGACCAGAATAGTATAAGGGCACCACTGGGGATCAACCTCTCAGCCTCCCACCTATAGGCTGTAGCTCTCTGACAAACTCTCCCAAGGATGTCCACCACTCACTTGGCACTGTGCCACCAGGGATGGTCCCACCCTAGGCTGTTCTGCCCTGCTGGCCCCACGAAGCCTGGATGCGGGTCCCAGGGCAGCTGCAAGTTTCTGGCAGGCCTGATAAAGCAGGTCCCTGAGAGGGGCAGGAGAAAGGGAGCCCCTGGCCATGGCAAGAAGCTGGAGATTGTCCCCCAACAATATCAAACCTGGAACCCTCAAACGTGGACCTAGGGAACCATAGAGGATGAAAGGGATTTTGCGCATGTGGTCTGGCACTCAGGAATGGTCTGGATTATGCAGGGGGGCTAGCAGCCTGAGAGAGGGGAAGCAAGAAACAGGAGGCAGAGAGAAGGGGTGCTTTCTGGTTTTGCTTGCTTGGGGAATTTTGAGTCACACTTGGGGGATTTTGAGTTCTGCACTCAGGGGTCTCTCCCAGAGGTGCTAGGGAGACTATATGTGGTGCCAGAGAAACTGAACCTGTGGCCCCCAGAAATAATGGATGAGAAGGTAAAGGTTTGGGCTGTGTTTAGGTCACCAAGAACTCAGTGACTGTTCTAGCAACCATGGGAATTGAATTCCTGAAAAATACATAGGTCATTGTGTATTTTTCTTTTCTTATTTTTGGAGTTGAGCCATAACAGTGATGCTCAGGGGTTACTCCTGGCTCTCTGCTCAGGAATTACTCCTGGCAGTGCTTAGGGAATCTTATGTGATGCTGAGGATCGAACTTGAGTCAGCCGCCTGCAAAGCAAACGCCTTCTCCACTGTACTGTCACCCCAGCCCCTCTTTTTTTCTTCCTTTTCCTTTTTCTTTTTCCCTTTTTGGGCAACACCTGGCGATTATCAGGGGTTACTCCTGACTCCACACTCAGGGATCACTCCTGGTGGTGTTCAGGGACCATATGGGATGCTGGGGATCAAACCCAGGTCAGCCACATGTGAGGCAAGTGCCCCACCCACTATACTATTGCCCCGTCCCTCTTTTTTCCCTTTTCTTTTCCTTTCTATTCTTTTTTGCTTCCTTTTCTTTTCTCTCCCTTTTTGTTTTGGTCTTGGGATCCCACCATGTGGTGCTCAGTGGCTACTCCGGCTCTGTGCGGAGGGGTCACTCCTATTGGTACTCAGGGACCAGGTGACGCCAGGAATCCAGCCTGGTGTCCTACTTAAAAGCATGCACCCAGCTCTCAGACCCTTCCCCCCTCTTCTATGTGTTTTTGTTTTGGCCACACCCGGCAGTGCT